TTGAGATTCAAGATCAAACTTCGTGATTTAAAGTTACTGTAGATCTGGCTTTATATATATCATAATCGCTCATGTTACATTTGTAAAGATAGCTCACCAAATTTGCTTAACTATAGATCCTTTGATAGTAGGCCTACTTATTTATGAAACCTACAAGCAATTTGCCAAGCCCCCATTGCTCCGTTTAGGTGAATTTATACTTTGATTTACACAGCCACTGGTGAAAAAAAAACATTCTCCTCTGACAAAATTATCCCTCTTGGTCACAGCCTAGTTTATCTCTAAAACTGTAAATCATTTAAAGAAAAATAAGTATAACATTTAGGGATTTAAAGTTCATGCTCTGTGATAATATGAAACACTTGTTTACTGAGATTTATACTACTGTATATGTAATGTAGTATTGCCTTGTAAAATTGATGTATATATGATTTATATTGTATTTTATTAAATAAAGAAAAAAAGTTTGACAGGTTCGTCAAAGTTATTGCTTACCTTATGAGTTAGGTGGTTATGGCAGCCATCAGTAGTATGTCCTGATCCCTGGATACTGCTGAGTTACGCAAGGTGTTGAGAAGTTGATGTATGGCATCTTGTTCATGGCTGAGGTGTTTCTGAAGACGTGGTACTCTTTTACCTCCCCTCTCTTCCCCTAAGACAGCTGTCTCAGTGCCCACCACCATACCTGGTACAGTGGTGTAGTGCCCACCACCACACCTGGTACAGTGGTGTAGTGCCCACCACCACACCTGGTACAGTGGTGTAGTGCCCACCACCACACCTGGCATAGTGCCTACCACACGTGGTAGTGCCCACCACACCTGGTACAGTGCCCACCACCACACCTGGTATAGTGCCCACCATCACCACACCAGGTACAGTGCCCACCACCACCACACCTGGTACAGTGCCCACCACCACCACACCTGGTACAGTGCCCACCACCACCACACCAGGTACAGTGCCCACCACCACCACACCTGGTACAGTGCCCACCACCACACCAGGTACAGTGCCCACCACCACCACACCAGGTACAGTGCCCACCACCACCACACCAGGTACAGTGCCCACCACCACCACACCTGGTACAGTGCCCACCACCACCACACCTGGTACAGTGCCCACCACCACCACACCAGGTACAGTGCCCACCACCACCACACCTGGTACAGTGCCCACCACCACCACACCAGGTACAGTGCCCACCACCACCACACCTGGTACAGTGCCCACCACCACCACACCAGGTACAGTGCCCACCACCACCACACCAGGTACAGTGCCCACCACCACCACACCTGGTACAGTGCCCACCACCACCACACCTGGTACAGTGCCCACCACCACCACACCAGGTACAGTGCCCACCACCACCACACCAGGTACAGTGCCCACCACCACCACACCTGTCAGCACAACATTCTGATCCAGTGGTCGTGGACACCACTTGCGGCGGCCCTCAGGAGAGGAAGCCTGTCCACGTCTCTGCTGGTGACAGCTGCTCCAGGGTGCCAGCAGCAGCCACAGCAGAGTGCCAGGACGCCCACCACCTCCCCCCTGACCCACCACCTGCCCCCTGACCCACCACCACCACCTGGCCGCAGCCCTCTAACAATTAACACAAGTTGAGGTCAACAGGCCATCATCACACTACACTTCGTCATGATTATAAATGCTGATTTTCAGCATTAGTGTTTTTCCACTTTTTCAGTCACTGTTCTCACTTATTGTTCTGGGTTATGTGCAGGTGTTACAGGTGTTATTAAGCACTGTAGTTGGCAGACTGTGGGAGACAGGTGGGACGAGGTCTCCCTCGTTGGCTCGTCTCACTCAGTCTGGCGTCGTTACCAACTGTCTCGCTTCAATGAGATAACAATAAGAAAATAATAAGTGATTTACTATCCACTCAACGTATTTCGAATTTGTTGCACAATGTTGTTGTTAATATTTACTCTTTGTTCTTAAACACGAAGATACCAATAGCATTAGGCATTTATAAGTTACTACTCTTACTACCAATAAAGTAATTCTGCATTGTTGGTAACGTAGAGTAAGCAAGAACCATCCTACTGTTGTCATTACTTATATTAACGATATCGACCATCATACATATATTGACATAATGGACAGTTAGAAAGTAGAATTTAGTACTATTGTATTTAGAAAAGCCAGTAAAGGTTTTGTATTTATGTTGCTAATAAAACCTAACCTAACCATCCTAGGCTTAATACACCCTGAGGCCTAATATAGTTCATATATGTGCTATACTAAGGCTAGGAATATTTAGGTTTTGTGTTTAGCTTTATTTTTTCCGGACTATAAAGTGAATATGAGCCCATCATCACAGCAAATCCATTACCATGAGAGGCCACCTAGATAGTTTGTGATTAAACCACCATTATCTAGATATTTGTGATGATCTGAAAGCATATTATGGTTCCAGTAATAGTCTACATGTAATCTGGCAAATGAATCTTTGTCATAAACAGATATTATTTTCAAGTTATAATGTTGTTGTATTATAAATCCTTGATTTAAAATATAAAAATTGTAGGCTGAAAATGTTTTCTTTGAATAATATGGTTTTCTGTAAACAGAATTCACGGGTACACTAAAATAGTTTTCAAATTTCACAGTATTGTCACTAATAAACTTTATTAACGTAACCAAATCCAATGAAGCCTATCCTAACCAAACCAAACCTTAACTTAAAGTAACCTTTTAGTTAACCTATGATGCTAATCTAACCATGGATAGAGAGTAGATAATAACACTAATTATGTAGGCATTTCCAATCCATTCCCTTGAGTGGAGCTCCTCTCTGAGGACAGCTTGTGTGTTGAGTGTGTGATAGTACCAAATTTCACTGTCTAATTGTCCATATGTCAGTATGTGTACGATTGTCCACATAATTACAAAAAGTACTATCTAAACGGGAGGATGGGTGAGAAACACAAAACAAGAGCACCCATGCAAGGACATCTCAACGACTGCCTAAGAAGCATGTTATTATGCTTGCGGGGGTTTATTGTATTACGTAATCTATGTAATAAACCCCCTTATTTGTTGATTACATTACGTAATCAACCTCCGCAATTACATACATTATGTAATGTACATTACGTCTTGTGGGTGCCTGGGATCAGAGTAGCTTTGGCCGGGAAGTTAACTTGGTAATACATTATGCAGAACCATCATTCTCACCAACCACCATGTCCGCAAATGCTAAAATGTTAAAACTTAACACCTAGCTAGGTTACAGCTTGTGGTACATCTGTAATAAAGCTGGTACAGTACCTTTGATACCAAAGTGATTTTATGGTGACAGGCAAGGCTTCATTGTGGTGGCAGACATGTAAATTATGTTGTGGTAGCAAGCAAAGAAGATAGGAATGTTATTATGTAACACACATGGAGTATAATAAAGATGGTCAGGAGTCTCATTGTGAGTTTTTTTGCATTACTTATTTGGAATAAATAAAAACAAATTGTTATATTTATTTATTAAATATGTACAATCATATTATGATGAGATGGGAATACATACATGACACAGGAACTATAAACATTCCATCTTGAAAGCCTCATTACACATGCCAATTCCAGAGTACAGTATAAAACAAAATTATATTACCTGTAAATATTTTCTCTAAAAAATTACAGTACAGTATATGTATAGACATGCCTTTAATTATCAGCTTTACAATTTGCTAAAATATGTTCTAATTATTGAGTCAGGCAAATGCCAGCTACTCTCACCATAAAAAATAAAAGTATGAGGCAGAATAGTATTACAGTTACTTAAAAATATCATTTAGAGGAAAAAAATGAAGAGTAAAACCAAATTAAATGTGTGTGTGACTATATATGCAACTATGCAGTTGCAACAGCAACTATGAATGCAATATTTTTTTGCAATTGATTGAGGAAGGTATGTGGTGTTTGTTTTAAGCCAGAATACCTCAAAAATGTACATACAGTATTATAAAATCTCCAATGCAGAATGCCACCCTTTTCCCAGCTTATATGATTATAATAATCATGTTAAACTTGTCATTCAATATTTATATAGTACAAAGAAAATAATATATTTAAATAAAATATTTATATATTTTAATTTTAAGCTATAACATTTAGAAATGTACTGTTAAAAGTACGGTATCTTAATTTTTTTTTACTCTATGTACAGAATATAGCATTGGGGGGGGGGGGGGGTTCACAGTGTTGTCTGGGTCTATCTATATTTGTCTCCCCTCTCTTATATATCTATCTCTACATCGCTCTATCTACCAGGTATGTCTTTCTATCTCTCTCTATACCTATTTTATCCCCTCCCCCCTCTCTACCCTCATCTTCACTACATACTATCTTCATTGCCATAACCATCTACTCTGTAAGATCCATCCCATACCCCAGACTCTGGAAATTTAGGTGAGGCTAGCCCCTGACTGTTGCCAGTCGTGACCTGACATAGCTGCCACTTGCACCCTACAGCCTCATCTTACAGCACTCTGTGTTCTGATGTCGTATCGACATACATCAACCCACTGTAACCATTTTATCAAATATACATAGATAACCATAATGTGTGTTTACTTTCTTTTTGTCAGGGGTATCTTAAAGTGAGATTAAACAACCTCAGTCGATAGTTGAATCATCTACAATACAACTGCATAACTTTGCCACTGTTCTATTTTACTGATAAAAGATTTTGTTTTATGTATCAGAATTTTTTTTTAATTAAATAAAATTTAAAGGAAATGATCTGGGCACTGACAACTGAGAATATGAGTAAACAATAGTAGATGAGAATTATAGGCAACAATTGAAATGACATTGGTTTATTAGAGATAAAAAAAATTATTTATACAGTATATATATATACAAGAGTTCTTATATTCTTGCACAGCCACTAGCATAGCATTTCGGGCAAGTCCTTAATCCTAATATTCCCTGGAATATGACCTGCCAAATCTTTAACAACCAGGTACCCATTTTACTGTTGGGCAAACAGAGGCCACAGTTAAGGATTGGCTCCCGGTAAACCTTTCCTGGCCAGGATACGAACCCGAGCCAAAGCACTCGCGAAACACCAGGCGAGTGTCTTACCACTACACCATGGGCACTGCTTATATATATCGAATGTATGGATAATGTAGATCCAACATCAAGTCAATGACATTAATGATTGCATTACATAAATAAAATTAATCCAATGGTCAATACCATTGATTAAATATTAAATCAATATGAATTTGGGAAGATTTGCCGTATATCAGAAAATCTGTGTATGTATTTAAAAGAACCTGTGTTCCAGTTTGTAGGAGTTTACAGAATACAGTATAGGATTATCAATGCTACTGTATTGTATACCAAAGCAAATAGGGATACTTTCTTAAAAATTTCACCAAAAAATTAGTAAACCAAACCAGCTGTTTTTTATATCATTTAATGAATTTCAACCTAACTCTTACTAATATTTGGCAGATTTTTAGTTAAGAGAATGTATAATACAAGACACACAGAAGTAATTTGGAAAATAAAAGTTATGTTACATCAACATGATAAGTTTCACACTGGAACTCTATTGTTATAGCAAAAATAATATGATTTCCCAGTTATGTAAAACTTCTCTCTGCTGATTAGGATTTAATTTATTTACCACTAGACACAAACATACTATCATGCATACTTTAACTGCATTTCAGACATGTTTTTCGTTAGCCAATAGAATCTGCACCGACTTCATGCGTCATGATCCTATGATGCTCATATTCTGAGAGCTTTACGTGGAATTCCGTCCATTGCCGACTCCATGGAGTCCAAGAAGGTGGAAGAGCTGTGTATGGTGGAGCCTCCCAAAATGATATGTACTCCAGGGTTGTTGGTATTGAACTGATGAACTGCAACGGATTCTTCGTATGTTGCTCCACCAATGATGAACACAACTACATTCTGGGGTCTGTGGAACATGGTAGGTGTTACAAAATGTACTCAAATGTGTGTATACATAGTTAGCAAGTATAATAAAAATCACCGCTATAGTTACCTATACATTACATATTTTGTTTTTCTTTCTTTCTCTTGCTTTAGTAAGTTTGGTCATTTATTATGCACCCCATACCCATCCTGCTGGCAGTTGTGGAAAGGGATACATAGGCACATAATATTACATGTTGTTACAATTGTTCTCTTGGCACAAAGTAATTAATGTTTCTATATTTATGAGAGCACAGTGAACGTCAACTTGTACACTGTTCCATTCTAGGCCATTTTTATCAAACAATAAAATAACAGTACAGTACTAATAAAGTACAGTATATCTGAATGTTGATATTCATGAGTGTTGTGTTACTGGCTAGTCCTGAGAATACGGCACTTGAGGCGAATTGAGAACAATATGATATGTTTTAAACACTATCTAAAGTCCACTTTTATTTTTTACGTGATCTATTTTAATAAACTACATACCTGAATATTATTAAAAATTTCCTCAGCCACTTTTCAGCGACAAAAATAGTTTATACACATAGCTGGACACTCGGATATAAAATTCACGGAAAACACTCAGGAAAAATTCAGGCCTAGCATGGTCCTGTCCAGATCAGTGACAACATACTGAAAATATGCTGCTAAGGAACATCAAACTAAATTTTGGAACAAAACATTAAAAAATGTACCAGTTCTTATGTATAAGCAATCTTTGCTTATTATTGAAATTTGGATACAATTCCAAACTGAAGGAAGACAGATCTGTGCACAAAGCACATCTGACTTTGAGTGAGAAGTAAAGCCAAGTGTATAATATTTGTGGAAGTTGAGAGGCAATGCACACATGTCATGTGTTTCAGCAGTGATGACAAAACTTTGCACAGTACTGCATGAGAGTGGCATCTTGGGGGTGCTGCAGGATTTACAGAATTTTGGTTAAGGAGAGAGCCATGATACAAGAATTAATCCAGTGTGTGCATGGTGAAAGGCATTATCAAGGGAAAAGCACCAAGCCATTACGACTATATAGCACTTGGAAGGGGTCAGGATAAGGATTTGGGATGGGACAGGGGGGAAGGAATGGTGCCCAACCACTTGGACAGTCGGGGATTGAACGCCGACCTGCATGAAGCAAGACCGTCGCTCTACCGTCCAACCCAAGTGGTTAGACGTGTGCATGGTGAGAAAAACATGCCACATAAAAACACCCTTGCAATAACCAATAAATTTATTATAAAGAACAGTTATGCAGTGTTAAATTTACACTATGTAACTTCAGGCTTCATGTAGCTCTACTTAACTATTAATAAACCAGAGCAGGATGAACTCACTAATAATAATGGTCCAGGATGGACTGAAATATTGTCGTTTCTTCCTTTTCTGATATGGAACAAGCATTTCACTTATTGTGGATACAGAATACAGTATTGTGAATAGTGGATACAGAAGTGATGTCTTCTGTGTATTCCTCTTGTCAGGGATAAGAAGCCTGCACTCTTAGGAGTATCCACATACCTCCTAGGCCATCTACTGACCTTTCCTGGGATGCAACCCACAACAGTTGCTCAACTCCCAGGTACCTATTTACCGTCACACGAACAAAGCAACAGGTAAGAGATAAAGTGACTGAACCTGGGATTCACAATTGTGATTGTCAAAGATGCAGACCACTGTATTGTACTATAGTTATGAAAAGGGAAGGGAAAGTATCAGGAGAAAGTACCAAGCCATTAAACCATACAGAACTTGGAAGAGATCAGGATAACGATTTGGGATGGGATGGGGGAAAAGGAATGGTACCCAACCACTTTGATGGTTGGAGATTGACTGCTGACCTGCGTGAAGCGAGACCGTCGCTCTACCATCCAACCCAAGTGATTGGGTTAGATTCCTAAATATACTGTCTTTACCTTATAACGAAACTTAGTTTAGGTTAGGAGAACATATTCATACAAATTTTATCTTTCTATCATACATAATTCTAAGAGTTCTCTAGACTCTACCAATTAACCATAGAATACTTGTAATAAACATAATCGGATAAAAATATTTAAGAAATATGATGTATATACACTCTACCTGGCTACTGTTGAGGAAGGTGGATTTCCACAGAAGGGAAAGGCTCCCTCGCGTAAACGACCCCTCATCAGTTCCATTAAAGTCTCCAGCAACAGCGGTTTATGTTGAGTGTACACATTGTCTACACCCTTCAATCCCTGCAATGTTTAAATAAAGGTCATAGAATATTTCTTATACTGTACTGTGGAAGCCCTGCTTGAATAGAACTCTTTCTACTAGAAATTTGAAACAATAAATGAATTTCATTCTAGTATTAAGAATTTTGTGATCAGGTTAAACAAAAAAAAATGTCAGGTGGAGTGAATATATGTATTAGCTCAACTGGAATTCAGTGAAGATTTTTGTAATTATTCAACAAAATAATAATAATAATAATCCAAGCAATGTTAGCATCAAATTGTACACAAAGCATGTACAATTGTTAATTATAATCAAAACATAATAATGACTGATCAAAAAATAGAATAAAATGGAAGTTCCTTTGCAGCAGATGGGTCCTGTATGGCTGCAAATATGTATATTTGCATATACAGGACAGATGGGTCCTGTATGGTCCATGTCTACTCGTGCTCATTTGCCCAGTACTGAATCTAAAGGATGTTACAACCCTCAGTATTGTATTTTATTTCTTCACGCATCACATAAGCAAAGCAACAACAGCAACTTTCAATCACAAGACGTTAGTGTGGCAAGTGCTGACTAAATATGGGTTGAGAAGTGCCCCCAAGGTGCCTATGCCAAATGGCCCCAGAGGGTCACTGTCACAAGGGCACATTGAGAGCTGGGACTCAAGAGCAAAAGCTCAACCCCTGCAAGCACAACTACATAAGTACATTAACAGGAAAAATTGAGAACTGAGCCTACAAGTGCATACTATAACCACAAAAGTTAGGGGAAGGTTTAAAGGTTTTAGTAAGTGCATACCAGTAAAAATTAAAAAAAATAATAAAAGTTTAGAACTTTTCACAAATGCACACTAGTGAGAAAGGTTGGGAAGGTCCTCATCAAGTGCACTCGAGTGAAAAAATAAACGAGTTGAAGCATGTGGTAGGAAAAAAAAAACATCCTTGAGTTAATAGAAAAATGATTCAAGTGCAGCATCAATGAAGAATCATAACATTAATCAACTCTTTTCATACTGATATTCAGAATCACGACTTCAACTTATCAACGACACTAACTTTGAAGAGGCGTTTCTTAATTGCCGACACGTCCTGTGGAACTTGGGTGCCAAACAAGTCACTCTGACGAGCTCTTGCTCCACCAAAGTCCATTAAAGATGACAACAGCTGTAAACAAATAACATTACTTAAAATAAAAAACAATAAAATGCAGGAATTATAAACCTGGAAAACAAACCAACATATGAGACAAACATTCTTGCATGCTTCATCCACCCACAACTCCTTGTTTTCCCTGTCCATCACTTTATCTCCCTCTCCCTTATTTTAAAAATCCTTACCAGCCCTGCTCCTGTAAGGGGAGAGAAGATATGAGGTAAGATAGGGAGGGAAGTTGTTGAGGGGTTATGCAATTTATTTGAAAATGGACTACAACTCAAATACACCAATACATTTAAAGTTACGAAGCAAGTTCAGGAACTATAGCTTACTCCAAAACACTGGTAGGTAAGTACAATTAGTCAAGTATATGCATGCAACAAACATGCAGTATATTAGCCTGCACGTGCATACAATATATGAAAATAGTGCCGTCACAATACATGAAAATACTGCAGTAAATTTATACGGGTCCTCGTGCTACAGTGGCTTGTCAATACACACTCACATGCCCTGAAAACAAAATATTTAATAAATAATAATAATAATAATAATAAATTTTTAACTTTATTTACCCTTTCTGCAATATCCAGTCCAGTACCTCATTAGAAAGTTCCTTTTGCAAACATTTTGGTAGACAATTAAAACAGTTTAAGTAAGATGATGGATGCCAAAACTGTCAGTAGTTTCAAAGCATCATATGACAAATAGTACTGGGAAGAGAGGACACCACAGACTTTCAAGTGAAGGACTTACATACCCATGTTTGCATATTTATCTTTGCATGGAGAGAAATCTGGCTCATGGAACCCACTTCTTAGCTATCAGTAGTCTGGTACAATTACTCGTGCTGAATGACTTCACACAAGGAGACATACATAGGCTTGGCTTGAAATTGTATTTTGAAATTGAAAAGAAAATACTCGAACCTCTCAGCCCAGGGTTTTAAAGTACAGTATACAAAGGTTATAACCTTAACTCAGGTGTTGCAGGGAGAAATAGCTGTAACATATCTTTTCATCAGTTTTTCATGCATGGAAAATAGTAAATGCATCTGATAAAATAAAGTACACCACAATCTAACCAACCTATTATCTTACAAAGAACATCACTTTTCAATCGTACGCATTACAAAAGGCAAAAAAATTGTCATTCCAGAAAATAGAAGCGGCTTGAGAAAGTAATGTACCCGTTTTCTGTTTTGGGTCCTCTGGTAGGTTAGGCGAGGACACTTTAAACTGACCGTTTTCTTGACATTGGCCAACTTTAGTAGGACGGGCTGATCTAACTTATGGTTTCCCCATTATCAGAGGGCAGAATGCCTGTTAGACTTATCAAAGTTCCCCTAGCCAACTGCAGGCCATTTACCAGCATGCAATGCACAACAGTTGACTAACTCCCAAGGACTTCTTTACCGATTTACTGTTTAGTACCCAGCGTATTTTCTGTCACTATATAAAATAGTCTCGGTATCAGTCAGGTTTGATAGAGAAAATGTCTATCACAGCCATTTCAGGTACACTAATGAATTGTTCCTCAAGATTATCTATGATTAATTCCTCTCCGAGGAATTTATATCTGATTATTTTTCTCTCACAGTTTCCTGGTAAGAAAATCATCAAATTCTGCCTGGTCATTATCCACTCAAGGAAAATGACGACCTGCGATCCAAAATTTGTTCCAGCCATGCTGCAAGTTCAATTATTTTACCATGTTCCATGCAAGTTCAATATTCCATATAGAAGATTTTAATAGGAAGGTTTAAACCCTCCTTAAAATTACCATGCTATTCATGATGGTATCTTGGAAATTCATTTCAGAACAAATGTTTAATGGTTCAAAATTATTCCTTGATCCATGAATTGGATGAAGGAAGCTGTGTTGCGGAACAGCTACATAGCACAACATATTGTTTTAGAGTATCTCATTCTCATGTGGACATAATGGGCTATCATTAAGAAATGAAGTCACCCTGCTGTTCTTTGGTAAACCATCGCTTTTAAAGTGGTCGTTCATCTTAACTACAAAATGAGCTAGAAACCAGTCTCAAAATATGACTTGGAACACTACGGAGGAACATGACCCCTTTAAATAATTCCCATTATCGAGGATCAACTACTGACCTTTCCTGGGATGAAACACACAATAAGTGCCAAATTCCTGTGTCCCTATTTACTGCTAAGTGAACATAAGCATCCAGATGTAGGAAACGTGGCCAACCATGCTACACGATTTAAATTTTCTTGTCACAAGTAATTTCTATGTAGGCCAGCTGCATTGCCACAGAACAGCACAGTGAGCCTGTCTTTGTTCATCTTTTATGAAAAAAGTATTCCAATTTCACCATAACCAAGTCAACTCTCACACAGCACCAGGAAAGTTTGAGGGGTCTCTAAGACTAACATGACAAACCAGACAACACAGCTGATCTTGAGGTTATCTTGAGATGATTTCGGGGCTTTTTAGTGTCCCTGTGGCCCGGTCCTCGACCAGGCCTCCACCCCCAGGAAGCAGCCCGTGACAGCTGACTAACACCCAGTTACCTATTTTACTGCTAGGTAACAGGGGCATAGGGTGAAAGAAACTCTGCCCATTGTTTCTCGCCAGCACCTGGGATCGAACCCAGGACCACAGGATCACAAGTCCAGCGTGCTGTCCGCTCGGCTGACCGGCTCCGATCCATGTTAGCTGATGTCACCGAGACCTTTATAATACTGTACTGAACAAATTCAAAGACATAAATCCAGACCACTTCTATAAGAAGTCCAAATGACAGATCATTTTCATTAAGCAGGATAAATTTCCAAAATTGTTTTGTTAGCAAAACCCATCCACGTTAATATTGAAATGAGGTAATTAGCACGCAGCATATAAATGGCTTGATGGTGGGGGCATAAAGAGATAGATCTCACTCCCTTACTGATAAGTAAGCACTATCTTGGGGTTCCTGAATTAGGAAATCCATTTTAATTCACTACTAAATTAGATTCAATCCTATAGCCAAACCAGAATATTAGAAGTATAATTTCTTATAAAGAGCTCTATACTAGTTACCTTATTGTTCCTAAGGCTTTAGGAACAATAGAGTAACAAGTCTTACCTTTAGGTAGCGGTCCATAACATTTCTCTTCTTAAGTGCGCTTACAAGACCTCTTGTGTCATTGTTCGGGTGACCTTCATGCCTGAGAGCGTAGAGCATCACAAGTATCACAGCATCTATCTCCCTAACTTTAGGATCTGTCACCAGCCGATATATACTCTGTGGATAAAAAGATGAATATGCACCACTTAAGTTGTTTTGATGTTGTTTGTGGCACAATGGCAAATCTTAGTTCTGGGTCTTATAAAACAAGTATGGAAACCCCATTTGATATCGCTCGACATAATTAAGACTTATTAAAGTAGCAGTTATTACCATTAATAAATAAATAAATAATATATATATATATGCAAAATGTACAAAAATAAATTAGTACCTGAAGATTTGTAGTGTGATCAGATCCACAAACCAGCTCCTGTTGACACTCTGATATTGCTAGGAGTCCATGGGAACCCACCAGCCGCGACAACTCTCCTACCACAGTCACATGCTTGCTCACTGTTCCAGACATTTTCTGTAAATTAAAGTACAATTTTAAAATAGCAAGGGCTAAACAAATGAAACAAAAATTATGATAATGTCGAATGTATTTACAGTATAATTTCAAATATGGAGCCAACAGTATGTGCAGTATTTCAAGAATACCAATGTTATACACACATGAGAAGCAAACCAAATACCTCATATATATGTAATACTGTACCTTAGTAAGCATGCCACGAGTCTACTACACATTAATCCTAAATTTCTAAGGATGACAACAAGGCACTAAACAAAATCCAGTTTTGACCCTACCCAACCATCACGTGGATGACTACCATAATCCAATTCAATGAAGCATACAATGATGCTGTCCTTGGAAGCATCCTCGATAACAATTCTCATCATAAATGGTAACTACAGTATCCATAACAAATACACAACCTGCAGATAACTAAGACATGCATCCTTCTCATTAACCACACTAAGAGATAATACCACTGAATACTCACCTTAAACTGGGGATAATTCTCCACAAAACTCTTCATATCATTTATTGACTCAACCTTCTGCTGTTTTGAAAGTCTTTTCTGATACTCCTCCATCAGGTCCTTAATAGTTTGCCCAATTTCACCATAATTCAGGTACATACTCTGCAATTTAATAAAGTTTTTTACAAAATGGTATGCTACTCTGAAAAGTTCTAAGCTAAGAAACACACATAAACAGCCCATCCTCCTGTTTTGGTAGTACTTATAGTAACTTTGGTAGTACACGTTTACTTTTTAGCTTCATTTATTTTAAAAGAATTCCTTACTAGTTGGTATAATTCTATCTAAAAGCTAAGTACGTATGAATTCGTGACTATTGACGATCTCACAATAGGGATTATCTAAACAGGAGGATGGGTTGTATAATTCATAATATAATTCGTTACATGTAGCAGACCAGCCACGGCTTTCAGTCCCTGTCGAGGCCACTAGAGATGACGGCCAGTAAATTCAGGTAAATATTAGACTAAGTTTACTGTATTATGAAAATCCAAATCAAAGGTAACTAGTCAAGACAATTTTGTTTAAATAAAATTATGGTTATTAAAAGTGGCATTTTTGAGCTGTACAGTACTGTTAAGATAAACAAAGTATAGGTTATTAATATTCAGTGATAATGATGTAGGCCTACCCAAAACAGCATGATAAACAAAACTGGCCTTTTGAGGATACTGGGGCATGAGTGATCTAACAAATCCAAGGTGGAACAAATTGGCCATACATCATACACTTCACTCAAGCCAGGTCCCACTGTAGTATTATTATATTGTATTACAAAATATTTGTTTATATTATTTATACATCTGATCATGATTTCTCGTGGTTAAAGACAGGAAACCTGTTAGGCTTTTTGAGGTCCCCTCATCAGTTCTTACTTTCAGGTACTTATTTATTGCAAGGTGACCACAGGTAACTGTTATAAGAAAATGTGTCAAAATATGAAGTCTATCATTTACTTTAAGAAAAATCCTAAATATCTGGTGATAAATAAGCTACCCATAAAATGAAAATTATCTTGAAATTCAGAACCCTCCTAACTGAGACCATCTGGAATGAATTATGTGAATTACAGTACAAATACACGAGACAATATAAAACAATACAAAAAAATCATGCTGGCCAAATACCTTGTGTCTAAAATATGAAACAACAATATCTTATCGGTAAAAATTCTTGAACAAATAACATAATATTACACAATCGACTTGAGAATGGTCCAGGACGGACCGAAACGTCGTCGTCCCTTCACCTTCTAGTGTGTGGTCTGGTCAACTCAACATAACATTAAGAAGTATCAATAAAGTTAACTTACCCTGGCATAAAATTCATCCTGGGTGGGAGACATAACAACTTCCTTTAAGTCGTCAGCTACACCAGAAACATGAGCCAGACTCACTCGGCCATTACTCACACCAATCAGCTCGTGTACCATTGCTTCGTACGTCCACTGCATTACGGTAGGAAAGATCCACAAGCATATTTATTACAGGTGACACAGATTAAATTAAAAGTTTTAATTACCATATTAATTAAGTTAATACTTAAGAACAAACTAAAATATAGTTCAACAAATATACAGTTTTCATTATTCTATCTACAGCATACACAGGATGATGAGATACCAGAGCCATGTAAATTTTGGTGTAAATATTTTAAACCAAATACTGCATAGGATAGAGGATGTGGGGGGGATGTGGAGGAGGTTCTTTCTTATCTATTCGGGGAAAGCAAAAAAATTCTGACGTCAGCAGTCCTTGTGGTAATATACTTGCTCGTCATCTCATTGACAATTTTGTCTTAGGAATCAACTTGTCACAACACCGTTCTACCATTCACACAACCACTGTAACCAGTAAATGAAATAATAATTCACTATGTCGGGGGACAGGAAGCCAGAGTTTATTCATATACGTTAGGCTTTTATCTAGCCCCCCCCCCCACGGGTCGAAATACTGATCCCGCCCAGAATGCAAGCCCACAACAAGCCGACTAACTCCTGAGTACCTACTTGCTGCTAGGTGAAAAGAGGCATTAGGTGAAAGAAAATGTGTCTAACCATTTCTGTCCCACCCGGGACAGAATTCTCTATTGTGTGGCAAGAACGAACCAGACTGTACTACAGGGATATGTATGTACATCTAAAATTACCATACAGTACTATTCCTCGGGTAAAATTCGAGTTACTGTAATTTGTTTTATTATAGCAATCAGTATACACCATAAACCTATTTAATATTTTAAGTGAAATATTTTAATTTTAATTATATAGAATAGAAATCAGAGATTAGCTCTTTCTATTTTATAATGGGGAGTTTAATAGGATGCTCTATGGTAGCTCTCCAACTTCTTCCACTTGGACTGGATGGGGGAGCAACGGTCTTGGTTCTTGAAGGTTGGCATTCAGTCCCCCGACTGTTCAAGTGGTTGGGCAGCATTCCTTTCTCTTGTCCCATTCTGCATCCTTACCCTACTAACTGCCATATACAGTAGTCATAATGGTATAGTGTCTTCTGATAATGACCTCACTTTTCCACTTCACAATTAAATTTTTTGTTACACACTACCTGATGAAGAAGAGGTGTGACTGGGTCGTCTCGGCGGTCGAGGATAAGCAGAAGTGTGTTCCCTTCTGCCTCGGTGCTGTTATATAAGGAGCTCTCGGTCAGGATGGTTTGCTGCAAGCCAACATCATAAGTGTTAACATAAGAATCTTTTATGCAAATCTAAACAGATATAAATAACCTTACGGTCATTCCATGCCAGAGCATCGCAAAAAGTGTACTTGTTCAACTCGCCCATCTCAGATTTTTATAAAATTTGGTAAAATGGTAGAAAACATGACATGACATACATACATATGCAAGGCTTTAGCACTTGGTGATGCATGATATTTATACAGAAAAGTTGCCAATGTGAACAGAATTTTTCCTAACAAACTCAAAAAAGTAAATACTTTGCTTCTAATTGTGTTTGTTTTGAAGCAAAGGAATGAAAGAATCCAATAGTTTTCATAAATACTGGATTTTTTTGTTTGAAGTTAACATGATGTGACATTTGACCTTGGATATACTGCATATGGTGTACGTTTTATTTTTTGGGAGAATTTTTTTATACAGTTAAATGCATTGTTTCTTTGGTACAAGTTTTATTTTGGGATAAATAAAGTTTTCCAAAGTTTTATTTTGGGATAAGGTGCGCTTCTTCCGAGATTTCGCTGTCCGCAGCAGTTACTGTGTAAGCTTGGCTTGTTGCAGTCTAGTATGTGGATCAGCCTTAGTGAGGGCTTGTTCATTATGTCTGGCTGGTAAGAACACACATATGATGGGGATGAACAACTGGGATGTAGGAAACTAATCAAAACCTCCCGTGATGTTGTATTCACATTCATAAACCTAACCACTAGGCATCATTATAGATGGTCACAAAACCTTTTATATTTTCCAAAGAAATGTTTCGTGTGGGATATTTCTTTGCTGAAAACTAGTCGCTTCTATAGAAAGCCTCTTTTTATTAATTCATTCCTTGTTCCTGATATAATAGCATGAAATGTTTAAGTTCCAGGTACATGCCTAGCATTCTGTCACCTGTGTAGCAACTTCTTATTCTCCATTATTTCTTGTTGACACACACACATGTAAAGTTCATGTTCTTGATACAGTATTGTCTTTGGCCCAGATGACCAACTATCTTAAAGTCATAATTTGATCAGTATAGATACATTGTAAACTTGCATTAGCTGCTAGCCTCTTCACAGTTCCACCAAGTTCATCACATAGGTTCTTGCCGTGAGATGTGGCAAAGATATGCTACTCAGCTGGAATCCCTAAATCAACTTTGTGGTGTACCAAGTTTGAAAAGGTTTTGCACATCCATCCGAGAAATAATTTATCTTGGATACATTTTGCACATATTGTTTTAGAACTTGAATGAGATGCTTTTGAAATATATGCACAGCTACTGAATTGTGTTGTAGTGTGAAATACTGTAAGTACTAAGTATGCACATGACAATTTTCCTGCTGGTTTTAGTAATAAATGGGAAATTGATGAATTGTGGCTTGGTGATTATTCCAGTGGAAACCTTGCAGCTCATCTTGAAGAGGGAAAGGGGTAGAACTCTGGTCACTTAACACAATAATTTCACCAATAATTTCACAAATCTCTATACCATCCTTCAGGCTTGTCAAATATAATACTGTAACTACTGAACAGCAATGAAAGAGTGCATCTGTGCTTGCATTAACTTAGAAATGAATACCTCAATGGATACCTTCAATGGACTTTGTAAGTGTGTCAAGTTTACATATCTGTGATGTAATCCACTGTTTGTAGGTAATATTATCACTGGCATTTCCTTCTAGTACATTTTCCAAAATGCTCTTTATATTATTACATCCTGCACATTCACCACATTACTGAAACACACTACTTTGGGCGGATTGCACTTCAAATTAAACACACACATTTTTTTATATATTCAAGGTCAAAGATCATTATGTGATCCTGAAAAAAAATCAGTATTTAATGTAAAACTATTTTTAATTAAACCAATGTCTCCTTAACTTCAAAACAAGCCCAAACTGAAAGTTCTACCTCAATTAGAAGCAAAGTTATGAATGGTTTTGTTGAGCTTATAAACAACAAGTTATATTTTTTATGATATTGGCACCCCTGCTGTCTGAATATCATCCATCACCGAGGCCTAAAATGTTGCACATGTGTATTACTATACTTCATGCGCAACATTCATACTCTAACATCCTATCAAATTTCTCACAGGTCCGAGATGGTCAGGTTGGAAGCTGTAATGATGTAGCATGGATTGAACCCTTAGTAAATGGGGCTGAAGCAAACATGATCATTTCTTAACATCCTGTACATATTCATAAAACACATCCATTTAATAATTTTTTAATAACTTCATATTGTAGTTGATATTTCTACTCCTTATTCTAGCTACAGTAACTTCCCGGTTGAATGTAACATGGATCACTGGACATTCAGTTGAAATGGAAGGATTCTATTCTAGTAATCAGTCTGCAGTCTCCGTGGTGTAGTGGTAAGACACTCGCCTGGCGCTCCGCGAGCGCTATGTCATGGGTTCGTATCCTGGCTGGGGAGGATTTACTGGGCGCAATTCCTAAACTGTAGCCTCTGTTTAACGCAACAGTAAAATGTGTACTTGGATGAAAAAACGATTCTTCGCGGCAGGGGATCGTATTCCAGGGACCGTAGGATTAAGGACTTGCCCGAAACGCTACGCGTACTAGTGGCTGTACAAGAATGTAACAACTTGTATATATCTCAAAAAAAAAAAAAAAAAAGTAATAACATGGTTGGAAGCAATTGCAAAGGAAAAATAAAAACAAGCTTCCAGTGGTGTTTCCAGTGGATTTTCTCATTAACTTAAATATTCTTGTTCCGTTTTAAAATCAATATAAATTATTCTTGACAAGTCTTTTTATTTTTCCCTGAAGGCACTTCTACCATTACCCTCTACCATCAGCTTGTATAGTATTAGCCTCTTTGACCCTTCCATTCATAAACTGTCATTTTCTTTATAAAGCAAAATGGAACACTTACATACTTCTGAGAGAGATGTTAAAACAATAACACACATTGAAGATCAGAAACTATATACAGTATTTAGCTCAATAACATTTACTTTCTTTTAATTTATCTGTGTCCAAGACATTTTTTAATTCTGAAACCAAGATACAAAAACATCAGTAGAATACATTTGGAAATAGTCTCACCCGAATATTTTCAGCAAGAACACGAGCCATTTCAGAGTTATTCTGATAGCGGATTGTAGGTAGGAACTGAAGACTAAATAGCACTGCAGCTAAACCTTGAACTGTTCTCTGTAATGCACCTCCGGCCCACTTCAAGCCTAAAAAAAAAAAAAAAATGCATAATTACATATATTGTATAGAATGACACCTCTAAAAACCTCAGCATCAGAGAACATATAAAGGTCAGGCATGACGTTATGTAGTATGAAAAGCACTTCTCCGAGTGCCATCACAGCCAGAGTCACAAGAATGCCTTCCACAGGCTGAATGTTGGTTAGCCTGAAAAAAATCACGAGCCCGCGCAGAAATGGCAAAACAACCCACCCAGGCACGCAGCACTAGCTTGCTCAACATATCACGCCATATTACAAGATAAACAATTAATACTCACGACTCACCAAGGCAGTGTAGGGGCATATTGAGCGAGAACAAATGTGGGGAGAGAGCCTGGTAATCTGCATATACTTCCTGCACCTCGCGCACAACTTCATGTTCATCTGCTTCTGCCAAAAGTTTCACATCACTTTTGCTCACTACATTGCTGAAATCTGGTGAACAAGAAAAATTATATAATGAGCTTTGTAGGTCTGTACCCCACAATCAGCTTTATATGTATGTATGCATCTAGAAGGTTTAAGGAAAGGTCAAATGCCATATTATTTTTAGTAAATTTAATTGGGAGGCAATATCAATTAAAACATCTTTAAATCAATAATTCACTTGGAAATTATTTTAAAATAAAAAATTGGCACTGTTATTTTATGTAAAAAGACTGTTGGGTGTATTTCTTTACACCTGATATGTCTTAACCTAGCAGCGTGTAGGTACAGAGAATCAAGACAATTTCTGACCTTGGGAAGGTCAGTCATTGGCAAAGGAAAAACTATGAATAGCTTTACATTACTTACAGGCTATCTTTTTTTTCCTTTCTGACCAGCAAAAGTTAAATATTTAATGTAACAATATAAACTAAATCAATTTTGTTTTGGACTAGATCCCTCACAAAAGCATGTTGCCCACTCATAGTACATGGACTGGCAGTACTTTACAAACTACCTGTCATTGATCTGGGTTTTATATTTACCCAATTTGGGCTGGTGACAGTGTCAACTAGCAATGATTAAAGAATAACAAAACTCCTCTCAATCACATTCCTTGCAATCTACAGCTTCAGCAAACCACAACAAACTGCTGCTGGTATGATTTACTATAATACGTAAAATTATCATTTAATCCATTATATTTTGCTCTGAAAGCAGGAAGGGGAAAAGCTTGCAAAATTAAATCTTACATGTCTGATTGTAGAAGTTCAGATAATGCCAAAGTTGCCACAATACAGTAACATGCCATTATGTTACTGTATTGTGGTAACCAAATACAGTAACAACTGTATTACCTAAACTACACCCTCCACATGTGTGTGTGTGTACCTGTGGACATGCACACGCATGCCTTCCTGGGTCCTGGGGCCTGGTAGCCTGGTGGATAGCGCGCAGGACTCGTAATTCTGTGGCGCGGGTTCGATTCCCGCACCAGGCAGAAACAAATGGGCAAAGTTTCTTTCACCCTGAATGCCCCTGTTACCTAGCAGTAAATAGGTACCTTGGAGTTAGTCAGCTGTCACGGGCTGCTTCCCGGGGTGTGTGTGTGTGTGTGGTGTGGAGAAAAAAAAGTAGTTAGTAAAAAGTTGATTGACAGTTGAGAGGCGGGCCAAAAGAGCAGAGCTCAACCCCCGCAAACACAACTAGGTGAATACACATACTTACCCAACAAGTTATGTTAAAAGATGATAAAGATCTTCGACTAGGAAATATTTTGAGTTGCGGTACTAAATAGTAAACTGTTGCCAAAAGAATACATTACAGTCATAGTAAGAGGGGCCTATTTTGCTCTGGGAAGTTACAGAATTATTTTTATATTCACGGTTTGAGAAATGCCTATAAAGAAATGGAATGACATGGTCAAACCCAAATCACAGAAACTACAAGGAAATGCTGGAGACATTAAATGTTAAAAAAACAATGATATGGTCACCAGATAGAAAATTTACAAATTTATAACATTTATAAGGATGACATTTATAAGTGTTGCCAATCAATGTGCAAAATTTAACAGTATACATACAGTATGTGTTTGCCATACCATTCAGTGGTAAAATTAAAATCTTAAATCTTACATATGTAATATGCTCCATATCTAGGTTTCTGAAGTTCTCGTGAAAGCAGGTCGATATTATCTCTAGTGGGTCTGATATACACCAAACACTTGAGGTAAGACATATTTTCCCCCGAGCTGGTCTGATCAAGACGTTCAAACATGTAAACCTCTTGACGCATCACCTCGCTCATGCCAAGAACTACACTCACAAAAGATGTCTGAAAAATAAAGCATTCAGTGTTTGAAAAGTCATTCATACAATATAATTTCTCAAGCTAAACAACCAGAAACAGGCTTAACAAGTACAAGATGCATGAAATAACATAAAAGGGGAAAATTAGTTATTTTTAATTTTAGTGAACAAAGTTACCAACTCAATAATACTTGGCCAATATTAGTATCCTGGCATCAATGGCTGGGACCATTCTGACAAGCCACACACCTGCAGCCATGGCTTAATTTAGTCATCTACATTAATGTTGTTTCATCACTCTAAACTGCATAAAACACAGATTCTCCCTTATTTTTATGTTTGTGATCCATCAAATGAAGGTTCTGCTAGAGTGACAACTAAATGAATACACATATACTGTACCTAGGAAAACTGAACCACTAGGCTGGATAAGTCAACAGCCAGGTAAGGCAAACTGACTGGTGTAACTAAGCAGTGAGGCAAAATGACTCCCTTACTCTGAATACTATTCTCAGCTTTCATAGAAATATATACTTTAATTAATTTGTTCTCATTACATACTATTGCCCACTTGCACATCTACATATTTCAAAAGATATACGTATTTATGATCAGCTTGATAACTGCTCCATCCTAGCCCAGTAACTGATCATTACACACATACTCATAAGAACATTTCTAAAATGTGTCATTTCTCACCAATGTAACCGAGATGGTGTATGCAGCTCAGTAATTGATAATAAAATTATAATTCTTATTATTAGAGCTAATGGTACCCACATTATCAGTGCGAGGGGTCCATAAGCCAGTCTGTGAATAAAGACACTTAGGAGAAGTTATCAAAGCCTCACACTATCAGGATAGCCTCTAGTTGTTTAGGAATACTGTACCTCTGCAAGGTCAGATAACACATACTGAAGATATCGAGGAAATACTGAATATATCACGTGATGACGCATAGGCTACATCCCGTCGAGGCCACTAGAGATGCAGGTCCTTGGGTAAATTTAGGTAAATGGCACATCTCAGGCAGACATTAAGTAACTCAAGTCATTGTATCGCACACACAAAGATATACTTACTTAATTAACTACTAACTTTAATCAAATCAAATGTTTATTCAGCTAAAAGTACATACATAGATTAATTAACCTAACTCACGTATCTAAAACTTAAATACACGAGACTGTATAAAAAAATACATCATCTGGCAGCCAGAAACATACAACATTACTTAAGAAAACATTAAGAAAAACCCCATCAATTGGTTATCATTAGCAGAATAAATATTTATCAAAAGAAGGCACCAAGCTGAATACCTTTAAAATACCGAATACCGATAAAATAGGAGGAAAACTGGCCTTATGTAAGGTAATCTTGCAGCTACATCAAACAAGTTCAAGTATGTTTATTGAGACAAGAAAGAATTACATCTCAAAGGAATAGAGTAAACTTAGGCTAAGACAGACTTACAGTTTCCTTATCCATGAGCATAATCTTGTAGCCTGGCTCGCTCTCCGTGATCATCTTGGTCACATAGTTCTTGACGGCCTGCACCACGCTCATGGCTGCTGCTGGTCTCTCTCACCTCCTCGAAGACAATCACAGAGATGTCCCAGCTGAGGGAGATGTCTGACAGGTGTTTGTTTACCTCAAGACGCCTCCTGGTAGAGTGAGGCGGGACACTCCTCGCTCCTTCACCTGATGCCAACATGGCGCCCCCGCCTGACATCTAGTGATTAAAAGCAACACTATTTTCAATTTTCTACTACTAGGTATATATTTCACCCTACTATATCATTTAATGCAAAATACAAGTTGTGAATTATTTGTTTTTATGCTGTGGGCCAGAACAGTGACCCATTCTTCAACACTATATTGGTGAATGACCTGTTTTCAATGATATTAGACTAAATTGCATGAGGTAATTTAAACTTGTGTAGTTACTGTATTTCATTCATTCACCGATACATGTATTATGAAATATTCTTAAACTCAACTTTAAGTTATCTAGTGCGTGTTACAATAGACTAGGCTTACACCCCATGTTTTTGTTTGTATTTCATGTATGACTAACTATCCTGTGAAATTGGGATACTACAGGAACATACAATTATCTCTTGATTTATACTGTAATCTAATATAGAGAATTAATTGGGTAGCAGCCCACTATTGTGGACCTAAGCGTCTTAATAACATGTAAAGTAACCTTCTGCAGCAAAGTTTATTTTCTTCCTCTCTTCTATCACTACTTTCATTGTTCTTTCTGTCAAAAGCTTGCAAATTATGTACCCCTTCTTTATACTGTATATGCAGTATGGTTTATTAAAAATACCTGCACTGTAGTTTCTTCTCAAACAACAACAAAAACAACAACACTGCTGTATTTTTGAGCACACTTCCACACAATATTTTCCTCGTAACTCTGATTATTCTTTCAAACACTGCTATGGTGATTATTCTTGACCACCAACTGGGTCACTTCCCTCTTCGCAATGTTATGATGCATGAGTGGGCGGTTAATTTCTGGATTTTGCATAAGCACTCATTTAAATAATAAAATACGCCAGTTAGAACCACTCCTGGTGCTTTATTATTTAGTTCTTAAACATGTCTAAGGTCTTCCTTATTATTTTCCTATGATGGGGGAAATCTTATTTGTCTATGGTGTTGGCAGCTCTTTTCCCCATCAATTATAACTTGCTGGCATTTATGCCTTTTGCATTAATTTTACCTGATTAATTAAAATACCTTATTACCTAGTGCAGGCTAGGTACCCTAGATGTCATTGTTATTTAGCCTCCCCCATACTGCCTAGCTCCATTGTACTCTGGCTATGTCTGTATCTGTATTGTAAACCTATTGTTTTCAATGTTTCTTGCATATGCATAAAACTTGACTTCTTGCATATTTACCTGAGTTTACCTGAGGGCCACCAACACTAGTGGCCTTGATGAGGACAGAAAGCCGGTGGCTTGTCAAAGGTCCCCCATTTGTCCTGATGATCTTTTCTATCTGAATTTTAAAACCAAACCAGTTTTGGCGTTTACGGCTTCAGTGGGTAGATGGTTCCACGGGTTTACAACCACATGGAAGAAAGGCATCTCCTGTTTTCTGTCTTACATTGTGGTTTGTTGAGCTTCAATCCATTGCTCCTCGTTCGTGTTTCATCTGACCTTTTGAGGAAATTGTCCGGATTGACATCCTCCAAATTGTTCCATATTTTAAGTGTCGATGAGATCCGCCCTGTCATGCCTGGTTTGCAGTGTTGTTAGCCCAGTGGCCCTCAACCGTTCCTGATACATGAGATGACTAAGTTCTGGTATGATCTTTGTTACCCGGTGTTGCACCTTCTCCAGAGCACCTATGTCTTTCTTTAGACGAGATCTCCATACCTGGATGCAATAATCCAGGTGGGGGTGCACCACTTATACAGTTGAACGACTACTTTCTTTTCGTTGAAGGTAAAGGTACGCTTTTTTATTCCCAGGGTTTGGTTTGCTTTTTACTGCTGCTCCCACTTGTTGTGCAATGTTTAGTGAATGATGGATCCCAACTCCAAGGTTCTTTTCTTCATCTATCTGTTGTAAGGTAGTTGTATAAATTTGGTAGTTGTGACGTGGATTATTGTGCCCACATGTAAGGTCTTGGATTTATTGACATTAAAAAGCATTTGCCAGTCATCTAACCATTTGTGGAGTTAATATAGATCTCTTTGTAAGCTCTCATTATCACCTTCACTTCCCACTTTTACCATAGATCATATTCATCTGCAAATTTGATGATGTGGTTTGTAATATTCTCATCTGTCATTGATGTATATGACAAAAAGGGCTGCCCCTAATATGGACCCCTGTGGCACCCCACTTAGCACTTTAATCGGTAGATTCATTCCCATTTAGCACAACCCTTTCTTTTCTATGTTTTAACCCTTTTTTATCCACTCCAGTATTCTCCCATTTATTCCATGTGTCTAAGTTCCTTAGCAGTCTCTCATGCGGTACCTTGTCTAAAGCTTAAGCAAAATCCATGTAAGCTACATCTACCAGAAGTCCTTTGTCTGAATAGCCGGTTACCGTTTCCAGAAATGTGAGCAGGTTATCAAGGCAGAATCTATTTTTAACAAACCCATGTTGCTTTGTTTTTACAAGATTGTTCTCCGAGATGTTGTATACATCCTTCCCTTAGGATTCTCCCCCTGAGCTTGCAGATGTGTTATGTCAAGCTGGTGGTTGTTTTGTTAAGACAGTTGTTATCTAGCTCTGCCTTTTTTTTTAAATTGGGGTAGCATTTGCATATTTCCAATCCAGGGGGAACTATTCCCTGGATAAGGGTGTAAAACAGGGGTGTAAAATGCATTTAACAAGTAACTTTATTTTAGTACTGTATCAACCACCTCCTTTTTCCCCCATCTTTTTTTTTCAGGCTTACACCTTCCCATGCCATGAACACAAGGTACAGGAGCCCCTGTAATCCAGTGGTCTACATAGTTGGCTCGCAACCAAGGATCTTACATTCAATTCCCAGGCAGGACAGACAAAATTGGAAATATTTCATTACACCCGATGCCATGTTCACCCAGCCATAAATTAGTACCAGAACTAGACAGTTGTTGTGTGTGTAACATCCTGGGGAAAGTCAATTGTTGGCCAAGGCAGCCTCAATAACTACAAACAGGCTTCCTGTCCGTGACAACAGAAGACCATAATACAGAGTATTAAAAACTGTATAGCAGGTTACAGCAGGCGGGATAAAGACAAATGTGTATATATCAAGAGCTTTATATTTGTCGATAATTTCATACAACATAGCTTATGTAAGTAAAAATTACTGTATTCATCCGTTATGCAAATACTAGAGAATGTAATGCACAAATTTAAGTTAACTATCCAAAAATTAAATACAATTACAAAATATACAACAGAAACAATACTATCAGAAAAGGTACAAATCACAATTGCCATCAGATCAAATAATTTCACAAGTAACATACCCAACAATCACAAGTAAATATCACTTAAAAACTTATCAAGGTAATCGAAAATAAATCTACAAGTCCCTTACAATCAATACAATACATAGTTTGTAAATAAAAGAATTATTCAGATATTATTTGTGTAAATAGATGAAATGCTTAGGTCACAGGGATATTTGTGAAGACCAAAAAATGAGAAGAGAGCTCACATTAGTGTATATGATTTCCCCCCCAAAAGTATTTTTGGAAATTGAAGATGAAATGTTTATGCTACGATTATGTTTATCTGCAAGTATATAATAACTTTATAAAGAATGTTTCCTAACATGTGCAAATCTAGAATTTTGTCCTAATTTCACAAACATTTGTCCTCAAAATATGTCTTTTGATGTAAAGTATACATCAGTATAAAGTTTCGGTATAGTTAACAATGTACAGTATTTATATTAAACCATCATAACAAAATACACACACATTACTGTTACCTTAATATAAAGTTCTTTAGCTTTTAACAAACCAGTTTTAAAAAATTAATGTTTACAAAAACCTATCTAATTAGGAAAGAATACTCGGAATTATCTTTTATATAAGAAAGGGGAAAGTTGTAATATTGACGAAACTAATTTAAAAAAACAAGCCATGGGATAATTACAAACTTCAGAGTGCTATATTAAGCAGCACATGCATTTTTGGTCATTCAGTTTTTCTCGCTGTTAATACAGTATTGCTTTACACATTGACTACTTATTAACAAGAGGATTCTTTTGTGTTACCATTCAAAGGTTTGTCAAGCTAAGTTTTTTTCTTTTTACAACACTCCTGCTATTGTAAAACTGTCTCCAAAGATTCCTATTTCTGTAGCTAAATATATTTTGATGTAAACATCAAACACTGATGAAGAATGAAACCAAGCTGTCAACATGTTTATGAATTTCATTTAAAATAAACAAGTTGCATTACTATATTCTAGAGAAAAGGTTCATATCATTTTATGATTGTAAAAAAAGCACAAAACATAATATACATTTCTACTTAATCATTGTTTACAACTGTGTTTCCTTCAGTTGCCGAGATCTAACATTGCACAAAGATGCAAATGAATGCATGAGAATAATATAGTAAATATGTTGCTGTTGCCATATTAAGAAAAAACTAGCTATTAAAAAGTTAATGTCGATGCCAAAGTACACACACACACTTGATCCTACAGGCACAAATAGGTGAGTACACACCAGTACAGATATACTAGTATACAGACTACTAGTACGTCATCACCATCATCATGACACAGCTTGAGAATTCCTGGATTTTTGTGCAGCCCGTCCTCCTAATGTTTCCCACTGTCAAGAAAATGGTCAAATTAGAGTGTCCTCTCCTAACCTAACAGACTAAACCATAGGATCCAAAACAGGACAGTACGTCACTTTTGCAAGCCGTTTCCATTTTCTAGTACGACAATTTTTGGCCCCTTTTGGCATATAGTATGATCGAAAAGCGACATTCTTTGCAAGAGGACAGGTTGCTTTGTGCCATATCTTGGTGATAGTGCTAGGGAGGGCTATGCAAGTGGTGTCCCCGATACCATAAATATACAGATGCTTGATAAAAGGTGGACAGTGATTGTTGTGAAAAATATGTATAAAATCTGGAAAAAATTCAGCCCAGGGTCTCTGAACCAGAGCCGACGAAATCAAAACAAAGATGGCGGATTGGGCAGGACTACATGAGGCACGATAGTCAGTAGAGACGGCAAAAGAGAGAGAGTTCAAAGGTTTTACTCAAGCAAATACAGGAAGGTGATTTTCTAGGTAGGTTAATGAGGATTGAAAATTTACTAGAGGCTTATAAGAGGAAAATTTCTTAATTTAGAACAAGAAAATGAAGATCTCAAGAGCCAGGTAAAGACTAACAGTTTGCTGTAGCAGGATAAGGAAATTGCCAGCTTGTCTGACAAGGCAAGGAAGCAATAAGGACAAATCAAGGAGAATGAGACAAAACAAGAATGAGACATGGAAATAAAAGGGAAATGAATTTGAAGAAATAAAAAAAATAGAGATATGGACAAGAATTAAGAGAAACTATACAGACCAGCGAGTTGGGCAAGGTTATAAAAGAAAACCCATGGGCAACCCAAATGGGAGAAGCTATTAGAGATAAGATACTGGGGAAAATAGGAGACAGAGACGATTGTCATGCCATTCAAATAGATCTACCGATAAATAAAATAAGTGCTTAGAGCACCATGTGGCTAATGGAATTCAGTGTGAATAAATGTCATTTTGGAACATGGAATTGGAGAAAATAGACATCACCCAAATTGACAAAGAGGAATTCCTGAAACCAGCAGCTTCAAGAACACGAGGACACAGATTCAAGCTAACAATGGTGACAAAAAAAACAATATTAGAAAGTTTTCTATTGCAAACAGAGTGGTAGAAGGTTGGAACAAGCAGTGAGGTGGTGAGGGCCAAAACCGTCAGTAATTTCAAAGCGTTATTTGACAGAGTATTGGGAAGATGGGACACAACGAGCGTAGCTCTCTTGTACCTACACTTAAATAATTACACACATTTGGTGTTGCACATCAACAAACTGGAGAAAGTGCAAAGACATGCCACCAAGTGGCTCCCAGAACTGAAGGGCAAGAGCTACGAGGAGAGGTTAGAGGCATTAAATATGCCAAAACTAGAAGATAGAAGAAAGAGGCAATATGATAAATACATACAAAATATTAACAGGAATCAATAAAATTGATATGGGAGAATTCCCGAGACCTGGAACTTCAAGAACAACAAGTCATAGATTTAAACTAACGAAACAAAGCTGCCAGAGAAACATAAGAAAATTCACTTCTGCAAACAGTGGTAGATGGTTGGAACAAGTTAGGTGAGAAGGTGGTGGAGGCCAAACCCGTCAGTAATTTCAAAGCGTTATATGACATAGTACTGTACTGGGAAGACGGGACACCACGAGCATAGCTTTCATCCTGTAGCTACACTTAGGTAATTACACACACACACACACACACACAACATTCTCTCACTCTCTACCATACAAAGGACGAGTATTCATCCTTCTTTAGGATCTTGCCATTTAACCACTGTAATCTAAACTTCCAAACAAAATACTGTAATACATGCACAGACAACTTCAAGCTAGTAAGCTCAATAACCCTATTCTTAGGGAAAATATGGCAAAATAGGGGCAGTAGGTAAACAGTTATATTATTTATAACTGATGCATTCAATCCTTAGGTCATTAAAATATGAATATTACATCCAATATCCTTAACTGTATGAAATAAAAAAACAAAAGAAAATTTTGGATCAAACTACAAACCATTTCTTTTGATTTGCCTAATCTATTGGTTGTCTGAAAATGGTGCATTTAAATATTTTGCAATTGCTGAAAAAATAATTCTGACTAGGAACATTCAAAGATTATATCTATACTCTGTATATATGCTGCATACAATCTAACTCAAAGTAATACTGGTAACTGCAATGAATTTAAAATGTGATGAACACATTAAGTGGGAATTTATATTTATGATTTGTTTTTGTACTGTATATACCAAGCTCTATTTTTGTTGTTGTGTAGCATGAAGCAAACTTCTCTCTCTCTCTTACTGGTGAAAGTTCGTTCTTTCATAAACTTAACCTACAAACTTTGGAATAGTTTAAGATATGTTTTCTCAAGCTTATATTTTTCAGATTAGTCACTTTTTAATGCCATCATGTATACTACTATGCATGTTCATTGTGGTAATATCTACAGTGTCCACCGAGTTCAGATGCCATCCTCCGTAAGTGTATTTTAATTGCATGCACATAACTGATACAAGTTCAGTTTTAATTATGAGTTAATTCCAGAGTTATTTTACCTGTTGTATGAAAAGCTTTTTTTAATTAAATGTAAACAAACAACACCTTAAAACTAAAGAAATATCTTTCCAATCCTCCAAACCCTATATATATATTACTTATTTTTTTATTAAACTGTAACCAAGAGCTACAGATCACAAATACCTATAATAAATGATGAAGTATTAACAGTAAATCCCCACCCTCTAAATCCCAACCCCTCACAGCCTGCAAATTCTTGAAGCTCACTTCATGAGTGCCTCGACTACTGCTTTAGCATCCAACTTGCGGAGATCTGTGTATGTCTGGCCCGTACCAACGAACACAATTGGTTGTCCAGTGATGTAAGTCATCGAGATGGCAGCTCCAACCTAAAGAAATTATAAAAAATAACCTTACAGTTTCTTAAAACAATGTACAGTACAATATATATTACAACATGCAGGAAGCAAAAACAGTTATTACAACATGTACTTGCAATACTATATTACAGTACACAAGCACCTTTCACCAACTAATTACTAGAGGCATGAACTGTGAATCTTGTATAAATAATATAGTGTGACATGACTAATTCAAATTCTGGGTGCCCCAACAAATCGGGTTTGGACGAGACCTCAAGTTCTCTGAATTTGATGTAAAAGAACAGGGAGGGGAGAAAATCACTGACTGCATAAACCTATTGGATTATAAATATACATATATAATTGTTAAATTAAATTCTAGAATTAAAATTTAATTATTTATAAAAATACTAGTACTGTAAAAGATTATTATATCCCAGAAGAAGTGTAGCAATACTGGCTGTACAAATGTTTTTGCCCTTCTAGATATAAATTTAATTCATAGAGATTGCAGTCTACTTTTTCAAGCCACTGATGTTATAAATTACATAAATCTAAAACATTTAATATCTATGGTCCTCTTTATCCCTCTATGTACAAGTCACCTATGCTGAACAATAATTACAACAGTAGAATGTATATTAATATAAAGAACCATGAACACATTAGAACTAGGACCACCTTGTCATCAATGGTGTCAAACTTAGTCAGAAGGATGCCGTCGATGATCTGAGGTGACTGGGTGGTAGACTGGTTAGCTAAAGCACGATTGAATTTCACCAGCTGATCCACAGCCTCGTTACCAACAAGAGCTTCGCCAACGAACAGTGTCAGGTCCGGCTCGTTCACCATGATCAGCTAAGTAAAACCATTAAAATATTAATGTCGTGTAATTATTAATAAAAGGTCAAAAGCTAGACATTTTAATATCAAATGGAATAATAACAAAAATTCAAGTTCTTATAACACAGCAGTATAAGTATCAGTAATCTGAAATAAGTTATGGCAATTTATTCCTAAAACTTACAAAGCCAAGGAAATGAAAGTCTCTTTACCATATAAACAATTTGAATATAAATACAGTAATTAAAAAAAATATTTAAAAATTCAAAAGTTAATATATTTATACATAAGAAAAAATATTCCATATTCCATGCCAAACATATGGAACAAATGGTCATACTTTCTAAATTTGTTTCTTAGCTTCATTTTTTCAGACTCTATAAAGTGGATAGTACAAAGTTCTACTATTTAATTGCTTAGAATGGCAATCTTTGTACTATGGTGCACATAGTTACAAAAACTATTATGTAAACAGGAGAATGGGTTGCTACATCCACACAGATTTATTATATCCTTATTTGCATCATACATGTAGAAACAAGACAGTAATTGTTTAAATTGTCATATGACGATAACGGCGTTATCTGATGAATCAACACATGACGATTTAAGACATTAACCTAAGGGTTAAAGCTCACCTTGGCAAGTGCCCTCATGAGTGGTTCGTTATCTTGCATACGCCCAGCAGTGTCAATAAGTACGACATCAAAATGATTCTTGCGCGAATATTCAATGGCATGTCGAGCAATTTCAGCAGCATCTTTACCATAACCCTGAGAAAAATATCCAGATAAAACAGCTTACAAAATTACAGTCAAGGTACAAAAAACACTCAAACATTAATGTAAAACTGGAAACAAGAGTACTGATTAATATGACTTAGAAGTACAGTACAGTTTTCATTTGGAGAACCATAATGATTATGTTATGTACAGTACATTATTATTCATATTAGAATGACAAATTTATGAAATAAAATACACAGTATCCACTATAGGTGAACAAACACCAATGGCAAAACTGGGAAATGGGGACAAGATGGCATTGATAAAGGGGAAAATCGTCTAAACTATAATTAACAAAATGATATATATAATTGATGACCAGACCACACACTAGAAGGTGAAGGGACGATGACGTTTCGGTCCGTCCTGGACCATTCTCAATCGACTTGAGAATGGTCCAGGACGGACCGAAACGTCGTCATCCCTTCACCTTCTAGTGTGTGGTCTGGTCATCATACTTTAGCCACGTCATTGCGACTCATCACCTGCATATATATAATTACTGTACTATGATACATTAATGGCAGTAATCCCATCTGCCAAAGAGCTTCTCGGGTCATTTTGTTATCCGTTACATTATCGTTAACCCCATTTCCCACTTTCCTGAAGCAAGGAAGAATCTGCATGATATTGAACAAAACAAAATGTATTTTGTCATAGATAAAACAGTTTATATTTTTTATCACTATAAAAAGTAAATGAAAATGTTAAACAAACAAAAATAAGATAATTCTAAGAAGAAAGTGCAAACCCAGTATGACTATACATCACTTGGTAGGGACAAGGATCTAGGATAAGACAGAGGGAAGGAACAGTGCCCAACCACTTGGACCCTGCAAGATGCAACACCTCTACTGTACCAGCAAGTCCAAGTAGTTAGTTGAATTAAACAAAATAAAGCAAAACAATAGCAGTAAAAAAAAATGGGTAACCTCAATAAGCACATGGAAACAAAAAAATGATCAAAATATCCAGAGATCCTTTACTTATTCTTTGTATACCAGTTACATTTCACCCGTATAGTATAAATTAACATGAAAGATGAATGTATCATTATTTACTATCATTGGTCTGCGGGTTTATATGAACGAGTGTCATGTAACATGCCCTTTAAACACCTACGTTATGCTAAATAATACTTTCCTATGGATCTGGCTTAAATTAGTACAGAACCACCAATGAACTATTAGTTCATACATACTACTATACAGGGTTGAAATGGCAATTTTTTTATTCAAAATTGTTAACAACTTTAAGTGCTTACTGCAATGTAAACCTTTATGAACAAATTGACGCAGATTCAAGCTAAAGAAACAAAGATGCCGAAAAAATATTAGAACCTTTTCTGATGCAAATAGTGGTTGACAGTTTGAACAAGCCAAGTGAGAAGGTGGAGGCAAAAACCGTCAGTAGTTTCAAAGAGTTATACGACAGAATACTGGGAAGAACGGACACAACGAGCATAGCTCTCATCCTGTAAATACACTTGGGTAATTACCTAGCAACTATGATGAACAATAATCAATGCCATGACCATTCTTTTATATGAGAGGTTAGATGCCTTACCTGTTCAAATAATTCTACCATGGTATTTCCACCATGTTTTTCTGGTGGATGGAGAGCATTCAGATGGTGCATGTGGGTGCGAAGCTGCTCTACAGCTCCAGCTCGGAAAGTATCACAAGCAGCTATCAGCACACGGAAGTTGTTTTCAATGAGCCAAAACGTGATCTGTGAAATAATAGTTTCCCAAAACATATTTACAACCCTTCATATTCGAAACTAATGGTTAAAAAACTATTCATTTTCATTACCAGCTTTTACAGATACACCTCAGTTACCCCTTCAAATCTTACCTAAGGCCGTACCATAACACTTCACGAATCTTAAAATGTTGAACCATTCAAGATAGTTGAACAGGGAACAGTGCTGTGAGTGGCATATAAAAACACGCTGTGACAAGACTGTATTGAAGAAGCCCATACAAGCAAACTCTCCAATAAATTTGGCTCTCAGTTTATATCTTTCTATAATTACTCCCTTTTTTGTCCCCTTCATCTTTTAATCTTTTGTACATCATTTTCCCTAATATCTATTACTTCCTTCAGTTCAAACATCATACTGTATATAATTAAGTATTTATTGTTTTGAGTCACCAAGTGGTAATTGCACTGTCTCTAAAAGGAATCCACATTATGTTATTAAATAGAAACCATTACAGTATGAGTAACTGCAACTTATATGTATACCACAGGGTATACAGGCACAAAATGAGTGAAAGCAGTGCCCAAATTGCCTCACCCTCCCAAGGGTTCAACAAATTAACAACAGTTACATACAAAAATACAGGTAATAATATACAATACCTTGGCAAGATTAGTCGACTTCCCAACACCATTTACACCACAAAATGCTACTGTATATGGACGGCCAGATGTTTTGGCTTCCACTACATCACGAAGAATGTCCAGACGACGTTTAGGTGTCAGCAGTTGGACCAGAGCCTCCGTCAGAGTGGCACGCACGGTGCTTGCCACACCGTCAAACGTTCCAAGAACCTGAACACGAGTGTAGAGGTAACTGGTAAACAAATTTGCCAGACAAAATAATATTAAAATTCACTAGGGAACTTATTTTTATTGTTATATAGCTGGTTATTATTTTCACTAAAATTCTGCCCATGGAGGTTTCACAACTGAACCTGCGTATTGTGAAAACAACAGTATATATTGATACAATGAAGAGACCATCTTTAATCTTGTGTGTATCATTTTAATTTTTCTCTGCTCTCTAACAAGACATGCCATTTTATATCAAAGTAAAAATGCAATCACAGTATTAAACAATTATATAAAATAATAATTCACCAAAGACATTTAAGAATAACTCACTTTGCCCTCAAGTTTCTTCCCAATAGATTGGCACAATTTGTTGGCAATTTCAGAAGCAACATTCTTGCCAATAAGGTGATCCTTAAGCTTTTCAAGGACAGGTTCCACATCAGCTTCAGTCAGGGTCTTCCTTCCCACTAACCCACGGAACATAGAAAACATTCCACCTGTGGATGAACATTTATCTTTATTGATAATGAAGTACTATATTAACCAATATACCTTTGTCTCATGTGTCACTATAGCATAGTTCATTTCAAATAGTCCATAGTTCATATTCTAATGCTATATTTTGACTTTATCTTATCCTTGTGAAACCACATTTAGAATATGTGGTCTAGTTTTGGATGCCGTACTAGTGTAATGTAAATTGTAAATTCTCTTGAGTAATGTATACAGAGGTGGATGACTAAGTTAATCCTGAGCAACAGAAACCTCCCTTATGTAAAAATAAAAGAATTTACATTCCACAGAAATATCCAGCAATAATAAAGATGATTTAAGTGTAGAAATGTATGAAAGAATTTAACATACAGTACCAAGTTAGAATACTAAACAGGTGATTCAAACTGGGTATGTTATAATGTAGAAATTAAATGGGTTAATATTTATTTATGAATAAGGTAAAAAAAAAAAAAAAAAAAAAAAAAAAATCTCATGCCAGATTTTCCAGAACAAACAAGTCAATGAGGTCTGCTATTGTACAACCTACAAAATGATATTCAGTAAACACTTACCAGATGATTTCTTATCTGCACTATCCTTCTCTGCAGAAATTTCCATGCCTCTGATATTTCCAGAAAATTTTCCAATCTGCAAAAATTTACAACATTTAAAAATAATAATGTTTGTGGAAATGGGAATTGAATGTGAACCGCACGTAAGATATGGCAAGACCAAAAGCTAGATGGCAGCAGTTTGTGAAGAGTATATATTTTATTTAAAAATAACAATTGACAATGATCCCTTTACATCTCTTGTTATGAGCAAATAATAGTTGGGAACTACTGAAGATTTACTAAATCTTCTCTATGATTTCCATCTTCTATGAACCAGCAATGTATCCAGCCAGCAATCTAACCAGCTCCTCTATCTTCTCTATGAACCAACAATCTAACCAGCTCCTCTATCTTCTCTATGAACCAACAATCTAACCAGCTCCTCTATCTTCTCTATGAACCAACAATCTAACCAGCTCCTCTATCTTCTCTATGAACCAACAATCTAACCAGCTCCTCTATCTTCTCTATGAACCAACAATCTAACCAGCTCCTCTATCTTCTCTATGAACCAACAATCTAACCAGCTCCTCTATCTTCTCTATGAACCAACAATCTAACCAGCTCCTCTATCTTCTCTATGAACCAACAATCTAACCAGCTCCTCTATCTTCTCTATGAACCAACAATCTAACCAGCTCCTCTATCTTCTCTATGAACCAACAATCTAACCAGCTCCTCTATCTTCTCTATGAACCAACAATCTAACCAGCTCCTCTATCTTCTCTATGAACCAACAATCTAACCAGCTCCTCTATCTTCTCTATAAACCAGCAATCTCTGTTGCTGATTCTCTATGATTCTATATTATGTACAGGATATTTATACTATTTTAAAAAGTACAAGATATGTCCAGGAATAATGTATTTAGCCTTTTCCTACACTGCACTCCCTATGCCCTAGAGGCTGATCCCTCCCCACCCTGCAAATGTGGTAAATGGAGCAATAATGCCAAATTATATTTTTAATACTGTATACACAAAAATTTTTTTCCTTCATACAGCACTTTAATTTCTTGCCTTTATTAATTTACAATATTAAATTAAATATCAAAACCATTTATTAAAATCAGAGTTTGTCATAACTTTGTAGAGAAATAATAATTCAATGATTGTTACCTGCATGCAATCCCTGTACAGTATTTCAAGAAATAAAAAGGTAACTTATAGAAGCAAAATGGAAAAAATAAATTTTCACAGACAGATGACGAAAATACCATGGCACATACCACAATGTAGCAAAACATCTAACCATGTTTCTCTCACAGTGAAACTACTTAATCTTGTTTTACAGATTAAATGAAGGGTTCTAAAGCAATGTTTTCTTTCATTCTGAAGATAATATTCAGATTAGTTGGCAACCAAATATTCTAAAATAAAGCCATGTAATGTATTAAACATAACCAACTCATAAAAATGCAGTTGCTAACCAAGAAAAAACAAGCTGATAACATCTAATGATAAATACAATACTCTATTGAATCTTATTAATAACTTTTACCAATGTATATGACAATGCTACCAATGTACAAAACAGCCTATTACACTGAATTTATGCTATTCTTTCAATTTTGGTCTTTCAATTTTTTAAGTCTACAGCAACATTTCACCGGGTATGCTGGGGGATAACACATTACCTGCGACTGATCTGGTAGAAAATCTGGTCGAAGGGAAGATTTAACCGAATCACCACCACCAGTCTTTGATGAATAGTCGAGGCTCTTTGAATCACGCCCGTCTAAGTCCCATATAGTTGCTTCTTTTCCCTGCAATGACAGTTAACTGCATGGAAGAATAACAAGGAAATGGAAATAACAGCATTAAAGATTACCAATAAAAAAACAATTACAGAAGTCATAAATCTTACAACTTTGGGAGGAAAATAGCTGATAAATTGTTGGGCCAAAATTAAGAAAATGTTAAAAAAAAATTAAGAAATATTCTAGATAAGATAGTGAAAACAGAGACAAACACACCAACACCTTAAAAGGGTTATTACACAAATAGCAGGAAAATTATAAATAAAATATACAAGTTGAGTAAACAGGGAACTTTAAGCAGGATACTAACTTAGATACAAATTGTTTCACACTTTTAGAAAGACCAGATGGGGGGAGGGAAACGGCAATTTACATAAGATTTCAAATATAATCAACAAAAAACAGACCTTGATAAACAAGCAATTCAGATATAATTAAAACAGTAATTATACTAATAATTACATTATATTATAATTACAGTATTACAAATTATTATAATTAAATTATAAATTATAATAATATAGTACAGGCCACTACAACTCAATAGAATGAAAGTAAAGTATAAATGGGCATAAATATTTAGGACATCTCGGTTTAATAATATTTACATTTTAGGTTACTAAGTAGAATTAAATAGAGCAGAAAAAAAAAGTGAATGCAGAGGGTTTAGAATTTTTCTAAAATGATGGTCAACTACTTTCTTAAACAATAAATTACCGAGCACTTATAATGGTTGATGCAACATTAGTGCGGCTAGCTACAGGGAACTACGGCTTGGCCCGTCCACAACTTGATTGAGATGAAAGAGCGTAGCAGAGACGTTACAAGAGGAGAAATAGAAAGGTTAGGAAAACTGGAATATACCATAATTGATCTCATACCTTCTTGCCACCTTTGGGCTTGGGACTTTTTGTCTTATCCAGCTTGGAGGCCTTAGGAGTGCCTCGTTTGTTGAACAATTTCTCACGGTTTCGCCTTATTATCTCTTCTTCATCCAGTTTATTTGAATTCTCTTCTGTAGCATCATTGTTGGCAATCTTTGAATACAAAATTAAACCCATTAATATGGCAACTGTCCTTCTTTCCCAAACATTGACAAGCCATTCTTAAATACAAACAATTGTTTAAATTGAAAAACAAAATTCATAGAGGTACCTTGTAAAATTACAAATTTTATTTTGAATATAACTGAACACACACATCAAATATACTGATATTAACAGTTATTAAATGCCCCCAAAACAACACAAATGTGTTATTGTCCATGGTACAGTATTATTGTTTCCTCATTGCCTATGCCTCCAAAGTACAGAAAAATGGCTATTATGCCCCCCAAAAAACTTTACTTTGACCTTTGCCTTAGTCAGCTTAGAGAAGACATCTTGACAGTTACTTGAAGAGTGCCGACAATTTGTCAAAGCTCTAGACAAGGAGTTGGTAGCCATCAACACATTCCTCGGCTGTGGATGTCAAATGTCGAAGTAAAGTTTAAGGGGAATAATAACCATTGTCTATACTCTGAAAGCATACTTAATTACAAAGTAACAATTATTACCCAGGGACAAAAAAATTCACAAAGCAAAGAAATTTTGTTGGGTATGTACGACGAGAAAAATTTAGTTTTTCACACATGGCCTATTTTTGTAATTATGAGCACTACCACCACTATGCACAATGACATGTGACTAAAATGTCTTAAATGTGCTAACTTTTGTTATAAAGCAACATAAAAAACATGTGAACAATCAGGATATTACTAGTGTTGAGAATCAAGACTAAAAGAAAATCAAAATCTAACATTTTTACCAACTTCTGCCTGTTGAACTATGAAAAAAAATCCTAAGCAAAGTTATCAATTAAAATAATTTTGTTATACAAAAGCACAAAAGAGGAACTTTGAGCAGTTCTACTAAATAACCCCAATTGTCAACAAAAATGATTCCTGAAGGAAGGTACTGTATATCAGTAAAGAGTATTCAGCTTATTAAAATAATTATTCAATATATCTTCTCTTTTCTCATTTTAAACAATTACTGTACTGTATATGGTTATCTTGAGGTTATCTCGAGATGATTTCAGGGCTGTAGTGTCCCCGCGGCCCAGTCCTCGACCAGGCCTCCACCCCCCAGGAAGCAGCTCGTGACAGCTGACTAACACCCAGGTACCAATTTTACTGCTAGGTAACAGGGGCATAGGGTGAAAGAAACTCTGCCCATTGCCCTTTGTAGCATATTTGAGCTTGAAAGCAATCTACTGCAGCTTACATACCTCCTCTACATCATCAGAAATGGTAACATTATTAATGTCTTCCTCCTCCTCATCCTCTTCCTCTTCTACTTGACTTCCTTTACCTGCAAAAGCACACAAACATTAAAATATAAACTAAATACAACACAACCCTGATCATGCTAAACATTTATTATAGATATTTGTGTGATAACATATCTTCAATTAAATAATGTCAAATCTCTTTCATATACTGTATTGTTCTTTTCCATTTTAAAAACGGTAATCCTGTTTAGGGCAATAAGTATATTTTTCTATCATATTTTATGCTTAAACAACAAAATAGAATTTTATTTACATACAATGACCATGAAGCAAATTTAGCTCAAATAAAACACTGAAATTATAAAACGTAGGAATAAAATTGAACACCAAAGGGGAAGGAAAGGAAATTGATTTACTTACTATTATTATTGCATTCATTGTCTCTCTTCTTCCCTTTACCTGAAATAAAGAAGTAGGTCAGCAGCCCATCACCAGATTATAAGCACATTATGCCTGCTTAGGCCTCCACAGAACCCATAACAGTAATATTATAATTAGAGCAGCCCCGCTCCTGTGCCAGGCAAGTCCACTACGGGATCACCATAGCCTGTACTACTTTTGGAACTTTTGTTCCAAGTAGCTGAATCTAAAACAACAACCACCACCACCTTAACAGTTAAACTATACAGGTTATGACCTCCCTTAAAACAATACCATCCATCAAAGAAAATTAATTAATCCTTTTACAGCCATATGTTGCCTAGTGGTAGACACTGGATATTAGACACTAAATAGGACATCATGATGAAGCTTTATAAATTAATATCAATAAATATTGGTATTAGCCCAATCTCCTCCAAAATCACTAGTATCTAATGTCTGCATAAGAAGGTGCATAGCTGTCTAGCCACTACTTAATTTATTAACTTTACAGATATAGGTATTAATAAGACAAGGAGCAGATGTGTCATCATACAAGGGATGATAAATGGTTTACTGTATACCGAGACTTCAATAATGGGGGTCAGTATTAATATCTGAACAGTAAATTATAGTTATTTAGATGCTACTGTCTAATGTGCATCTGTTAAATATGAACTTTTAAAAGAAAACTTTTTATGAAATTTATTTAACGAGATCCTGTATAAAAGGATTTATGTGCACGTTAAAGTTCAAATCAAGCACATTATTACACATACAGTATAGCATACTAATTCACAAACTGTTCAGGAAAATACTGTATACCCATGTCTTGATAAATGAGAATACTGTATGTAGTCTTTGCCCTTTCACCACACACACAAAATAGTTAGTTTATTACTCTCTCTCTCTCTCCTTACCCTCTTTCTTTTTTATGGCTTTTTTGGGTTGCTCCCCTCCTCGCTGTTTAATCATAGAGTTTACCGTCTTCATAGACTTGCTTGACTCTTGGAAGGTTCGGGGCTTCTTTGGTTCTTCTTTCACCATCTTTGACTCCAGCTCAGCGATTCGAAGAATTTGCTCATAGTCTCTCACAAAGTCAAAACTCTGAAGAATAAAAAATGAAAAAGACATTAGAAAGCAAGAAGTTAAGCAACATTTACAAGTGCACAAAATAAAGAAAAAATTTCAATGGCCTTTTACTGCAAAACATTCTTGAACACTCTGGGACCCTGGGGTAATCCATGTTTCTGTCTCAAGTCCCTAGATTAAGTTTTAAAAAAATATACTCCAAAAAAATATTTTTTTGTAAAAGCTTTTTTCTATAGCATCGACTAACTGCATCCTGAATGCTCCCCATAAAGGGGGTGGCCACAGCATTTTTTAAATTAATATACTTTATCCATTAGTTTTCTAACCAGCAATTAAATTGCCAAGTTGTCATAACTATGTTAAGTATTGGTGTAAGGCGATAGATTTAACGTTAAATGTAAAGTACGTCAGATGGTGTGGCAGGAAATTGCAGTGCCCAATGACTGGACAAAGATCATTGTAGTACCTATATATAAGGTAGTGTAGTAGAAAAGATTGAGAATTATAGGGGAATTAGTTTACTTGGTATCTGAAGAAATTAATAACTTGGCAGATATTAATAAAACTTAATATTACTATTAATACTATTAAGAAATTAATAGTACTGTACCTTGTAATAGAGGCCCTGTCGGAGTTGATCTTTGTATCGCTCACGAAATTCTCGCTGAATGTCAGAGAGGAATTTGTCGACATACGACAACTGTAATATATTTTGATAAACAGCCACGAACAACAATTCAAACTCATTGTCTAATTGATGTTTGAGTGCTAAGTTCCCATGCACATATAATCCAGTACCTCCTCGTTCCTGAAAAATATTTGTTATGCATCATACAGCTTTGGATACTCAAAATCATATACAGTACAATACAGTACTGTCTTATACAATACATTAATTTCATATAGGAAAGATATTTTATATTCACTTGTCTTACCATAGCTTTAATAGTAAGGAAGCGGCTCTTAAATTTCTATAAACATTTTTTTCTTTGTCATTCTTAGAGTAAAGTCCCCAATCTTTGGATAATGGCACCTAATAAAAAACTAAGGCACTTGCACAGTGCATAAAGTAGAATAAAATCACAAAAATGCCACATTTAAAATTACAAAATATCATTGAAATCACAAAAATATCTAGCAGAAATCTCTTATAACAGTTATTCTAACATTTATTTTCCCACAATTCAATGATGGGTCTTAAGAAAATCTGCAGAAAGTAATATTTTTTATGACCAAAGTTTAGGAGTTATAATTATCTTAATTTGTTCTCTAATTTTCTGACAGCTTTTGGGTTCTTAAACTGTAGGATGCCGCAGGAGTAGATGCCTAAGAAGGCGCATTATGGCCAATAAATAATATCTCTAGACTGGCATTGAACTCGGCCCCGTTTCTGGCCTTAAGACATTAAAACCAAGTTCCATCTCCAAATCAATAGAAAATGAAACTAGCATATGACAAGACATTATGCTATCCAACATATTGATATCACACCTTGACAAACAGCAGTTCCCAAGAAATGTGTTGCCAAAAATTGGGATACATAGCACCTGTTTCCGAAATCCCTAGTTGATAAGTGTCTGGAAATACACAGGGACCGAACATTCCAGTACCAGGTCCCTATTTTGAACTAGAAGAGTTCGCCAATAGTAAGGAAATGTAGAGAAATATAAAATATATTATCTCCACAAATTTTCATATATATATAGTATTCATTGCAGTGTCATTTAAGAGGTCTCCTCATTCGATTCATGTAAGATGCTTTGCAATAAACTTAATATAAATATTTTTAATCCACCAATAGTGCCCAGAGACCAGCAACTCTGGTGGGAGATACATAACCACAACTCCAAGTCCCTTCAATCCTGCAGTGATGGCGACTGGCAACCCATCTATTAATATTCAAACACCGCCCTGCATATTACAAATAATTGTTACGTTTATACAACTAGGTATTAAAATTTTTACAATAAAAAATGAGGTAAATTAATGGTTTTCTTATGATCATCATAATTTCCAAATCCTTAAGTCCAGTATATGGTAGTTTGTTACTTATGCCTGTGAAACAATACCTCATCACTTTTTTTATATAGTGTACATCATTTACACTGATTTTAACTATTATTTTTTTTTCCATTTTGAAAATTGAAAAAGATAAAACCTAAAGAAAAAGTAATTATTAGGAGAAAACTAATCCATTATAATAGCACTTGGAAAAGAAATTTGGATAAGGATTTTGGATCGGACAGAAAGGATGGAAGGAATGGTTCCCCAACTACTTGGAGAATCAGGGATTGAATGCTGACCTGCAGGAAGCGAGACCATTGCTGCACCAACCAGTCCAAGTTGCTGGGCAACATTCCTTCTTTCTGACCTATCCTAAATCCTTATCCTAACGTTTCCCTTCCAAGTGCTATATAGTCATAATGTCTTAGCACTTTCTCCTCATAATTACTTTACCTTTGGTGTTCTACCTTTTGATTCCCCGGGCATAGTGTTTGATTCCCCCACGAGAGCCACTAACAATAGTGGCCTCGATGATAGCAAGCTGGTGGCTTGTCAAAGATTCCCTCATTTCTCCCGACTTTCGGGCTTTCTTGCCCGAAACGCTATGTGTATTAGTGGCTTTAGATATTGTATGTACTAGCTCTATCTATAAATCCAACATTATGTTTGTAAATCATCTATATATGTACTTTTACCCGAATAAAAATCTGAATTCGAGTATGAACTTGACTAATTTTTTTTAAGTTGGATTTTAAAGCTCAGAGTTTTGGCATTTACAGCTTCAGTGGGTACCTATGCAAGACTTTATCCATAGAAAATAGATTCTAAATCTCTTGCTCTGTGCACAGATTATATATTATTTTTATAATTAGAAGTTATGATCTAAGTCAACTTCCATATGGCAAAATATTGGAGGTGAAGGACCGAGAGAGGGAGAGACTCGCCAGGCATTACCTGCAGCACCACATTCCTGATGAGGGCGTTGATGGCGTCAATGGAAGTCTTGAGCTGCTGGGCCACATCTTGGAAGTACCACAGCACCAGCCCACCTTTGGTTATTACAGCGAAGAAGTCGAGCATTATAGGAGCGAGGCAACTGCGTCAGCTGGAGCATTTGTTGTGGTGTTGACACTGTCAGCTGTAGACCCTCGACTTCCAGATGACTCTCAACCTGTCAGGATTATTTTATTCTCTTTAACACCATGAGATGTATGTACATTAAGTAATTTCATATTATATAATATTTATATATTATTTATATATATATTCTCAGGTCTACTCATTGTGAATTATTAATATAATAATTTACAAAGGGTAACAAGTTATCATATGTTTGTGAAGTTCGTAGGTAATATACTCAAATTTATATAAAATTGATATTCCGATAATTAACTATAACAAATATAAGTAGTACTTATTTATATGCCAACATTCAAATAAAAGTCGAAGTTTAATTAAAGCCGGGTCAGGGGATACATATGTAAAACTAGTTGCCACTTCCTCAGCCTTTCAACCTAACCAATACGAAGCCAAGCAATCCATCTAACTTATTGAGTCCCACGCATACCGGCCTAGACTGAGCTGGTGTGACGGACATCACTAGACTAGACATAACATTTTTCGACTCACTTCACTTAATCAGACGGGTCCGATCTCTTCGATTTTTGTTTAACCGGGATACATCCGATCCTAGGATAGTCGTCATCCTTATAACATTTTGTTATTAAACTATCCTCAGTTAGGGATGAAGTATTGGTCAAGAACTAGCTTAAGTTTACCCAATAATCTCATGTTTTTTTCTTTAATTCCATGTATGTAATGCCTCAGGGCTAACACCAGTCATGATCTACGGGCTGGTCCCATTGAAACCTTTAAAATACTGAACAATTTGAAGAATATTGATCCAGAGCACTTCTTTAAAAAATCAGATATAACACAAACAGGGAGCAACGGTTTCCAGCTCAATACGCTGCAAAGTAGGACGAAAAATAGGATCCATATTGGTCCTCCCCTGGAACAAGCATCGTGAATCTGACCAGGGCTTTGTTCCAGGGAAGGAACAAAGCCTCTGCTGGATGCTTGTTCAATATCATTAATTGTGTACCTTGACTTTATCAAAACTTTTGATAGAGTACCACGTGAAAGACTGATTAATAAGATAGCGGCTCATGGTATTGGGGGTGCTATATTAAGTTTGATTAGGATATGGCTATACCAAAGGAAACAGAGTTAGTATAAATGGGGTTAAGCCAGAGTGGGAAAATGTTGTTAGTGGAGTGCCTCAAGGCTCTGTCCCAGCCACTTTGGGTGGACGGTGGCGCGACGGTAGAGCTCTGGGAGCCGGTCGGCCGAGCAGACAGCACGCTGGACTTGTGATCCTGTGGTCTCGGGTTCGATCCCAGGCGCCGGCGAGAAACAATGGGCAGAGTTTCTTTCACCATATGCCCCTGTTACCTAGCAGTAAAATAGGTACCTGGGTGTTAGTCAGCTGTCACGGACTGCTTCCTGGGGGTGGAGGCCTGGTCGAGGACCGGGCCGCGGGAACACTAAAGCCCTGAAATGATCTCAAGATAACCGTCCAAGTGAACTGGACACGTTCAAGTGAATTTATATCCATTCTATAGTACGGCGACCAAAACTGAACTGCATTATCTAAATGGACAGCAAGATATAGCTTAAGAACCACACCAGGTGTCTTGTTACTAACGCTTCGATTAATAAATCCCGGTGTCCTATTTGCCTTATTACGAACATTCATGCATTGATCCTTTGGTTTTAAATTCTTACTAATCATAATTCCCGGATTCCTGTCGCAATCCGACTTCGCTATCTCAACACCTGCATCCAGCTCGTATCTTGTAACTCTATCATCATTACCTAGCCTCAAAACTTTACATTTATCAGCATTAAACTGCATCTGCCAATCTTTTGACCACTTCAAAACCCTATTTAGATCAACTTGAAGTGATAGCGAGTCTTTTTCCGTGTTAATTTCCCTACCGATTTTTGTGTCATCGGCAAATTTGCAAATGTTGCTACTCAAACCTGAATCTAAATCATTTATATATATTATAAACAACAGAGGTCCCAGGACAGTGCCTTGAGGCACTCCACTTACAACATTATCCTACTCTGACTTAACCCCATTTTTACTAACTCTTTTTCCTTTGGAATAGCCATGCCCTAATCCAACTTAATATAGCACCCCAATACCATGAGCCTCTATCTTTTTAATCAGTCTTTCATGTGGCACTGTATCTAAAGCTTTGCTAAAGTCAAGGTACACAATATCACAATCCTTACCACTATCAACTGCCTCAACTATGCTGGAATAACAAGATATCAAATTTGTAAACATGAACGGCCATTAGTAAAACCATGTTGCGACTCGTTTATTAATTTGTTTTTCAAAATAAAGACGAATTTTATTTGCAATTATCGATTCATAGGTTATGGGGTATTAAAAGTATCAACACAAGACATACCACGAAACAATGAGTATAAACTGTATAAGTTTAGATTTAGGAAAGACTTGATAAATACTGATTCGGTAACAGGGTTGTTTCGTGGAACCAATTACCACAACGTGGTGGAGGTGGGGGTCCCTCGATTGTTTCAAGCTTGGGTTGGACATGTATACGAGTGGGATTGGGTGGTTATAAATAGAAACCGCCTCGTATGAGCCAATAAGCCTTCTGCAGTTACCTTTGTTCTTATGTTCTTATGATTCCATGTACCCGCCAAACCTCCCCCCCGGTTAATGAATGAAAAAATGGTTTACACACGACTCAACTGTTGACGTTCAAACACTTCCGGAACCAGTGCTTCACTGACGAATTTTGTTCGAACCACAACGCTATAAATGCGTCACCCACGTACTACAAATACATATTAGCTGGTTTCCCTACAAAACGCATAAATCTACATACTACAAATACAAATAATCACCAACAGAACCTAAAAACCTAACCTAACCTATGCACTATTCAGATTAGAGAACATTCCCGTTTTGAATGAACAGCACGTTAAAATTTATGAATGCGTCTGTGGGGTCGACCGCTTGATGGAATGGACCGAGTAGAGGACGGGTTGGGCACATTTCCTTTCACGTAACGCCTGTAATAAATTGCTTCTCTTTAGTCCTGCTGAGTAGGGTCTCATTTGTCTTTGTACTCACTGAATTTGTGCGCCCCTTGAGGGACCTAGAACTAGCCTAAGCTACTCTATCCCTTTGAGATGTATTTCTCATCTCAAACATACTTGAAGCCTCTGTTTACGTAGTAGTGAGTAGGTACCCAGAAGTTAGTCAGCTCGTTGTGGGGTTGTATCCTGGGCGGGGTCAGTAATTCCACCTTTGGGGGAAGGGGGGTTGCCACGATAAAAGCCAAAATGTGTATGAACACTGGTTTCCTGTTCTCCCACAATGAATTATATACAAAAAATCTGAAGTGGCTCCAGAAACACTACATATTTTCAGGGTTTTGCATTCTTTCTCTACCTTTTTCTGCCTAGCATTCACTTCCTAGTTTTTCTTCCGATGTCTCTAGGGACGCTGGTATTACCTCTTTCCTAATTACAGTAATACAGTTCCTCCCGCCTTTGGAGCAACGCTCGGGGAGGATGTTGCAGTGGTTTCTTGTCGGGTAGAGCGAGCCGATAGAAGTGGGTTCAGTCCCTCATTTGTTTCTGCAAGTGCCGCCGCCGCCGTCGTCGTCTGCTACAACCACTTTGCCTAACATTAACTCCCACCCCGCTGCATCTTGTGCCTTATTTGCTCCATTGCTTGAGATGTGCAGGTTTTAAACATTTAAAAATCGGTACACGTTTTGGTATACTGTACATGCTTTAGTGGCAAGGGATTTTTTTTATATGGTGTAAATGGCTTAGTAATTGTGTACATGTATCTGTACAAATAACATTTCAAGCAATATAGCAAGATTTAATTCATAGACTGCAAAGTTTCTGTAAACTTTGTATTGGCAAAAAGACAAGTACACGGATAGCACTATTTTCAAATCTAACCCTTTCATAAATTTCCAAAGCTCTTTTTGAGCAAGCAATCAAAGTTAAGTAACTATCGGTAGTGAAAAAACGTTGGGGGGGGGGGAAGGAGACCAATCAGGAGTCATAACTGCACTAACACTTCAAAGGGTCAGGATATGGGATGAGACGGGTGAAAAGATATTGTCCAACCACTTGTGCTTTCTTTTAGCACAGCCCTAAATTTATGCAGTTTTTGCATTACGGTAGACAATTTAAACCATTAACATTATCGAGAATTTAATACTTAAATTAGGCTCATTCTGCAATATCCCAGTTGACAATTCATTAAACCTTCAATTTTTAAACCATGCTGCTGTAATTTAAACAGGTTATGAAAACATTGCAAAAGTTTGTTGTTTATTTATAAATTCTCTATACATTGGAATTGTACACAATTAGGGGTTCCTTGTGTAACTCGCCAGGCAACAGCTGAACAGTTTTGACATTGCCTACTCAAGTAAATCTGTACCAACAAGACAAGCTTAAATCTTGGTCCTTATATACATTCACTTTCCAAACCTAAAGGCAAAGCTGACAGCTTTAAGATGACATCCACACCGGTATAAATAAGATGTTCGTCTCAGCCCATTGATATGGTTTGCACATCTTATCACTGATCCAGCAATACCACTGCCCGATCGTGTTGGGCGTCCCTCCTCCACTTATTATTTAGAAGGCAAACAGCAGTAAGAAGGCCATCATAAGACAGAAGAGACCCATAGCCTCAGACAAGGCAAATCCCAGAATGGCATAAGAGAACAGCTGCTGTTTGAGAGAGGGATTACGAGCATAGCCGATGATGAGGGATCCAAAAACTGATCCAATACCAGCACCAGAGCCAGCTGCTCCGACTGTGGCCGCACCAGCACCAATAAACTTTGCAGCAGAGTCAATATCTTGTGACGTGGTGGTCGTCTGGAAGCTGCGTGTTAGTGGGGCCACAGCCAATGGGCGGGCCACAACTTGACTCCGGACCTGCAAAATAAATTGGACTTTTCAAACTCGGCTAATGTAAATATAATTCTGCAACATGCAAGACTAAAGGCAAGATATGGATGCCAAGTTTAACCAAATTTGTTACCGTGTAACACCAGCAGTAACAATAATGCACTGGCACAAATTTTGTACAAAACTAAACTGAATTCTACAGTGTAAAAAAAATTATAGTACTAAACTCAAAAGTTGTATACACCCAGTAACCACAGGACATGGCTGCAATTAATTTATGATATACTGTTAAATTAACAGTACAACACCTAGGTTCACTTCTGCACAGAAGAAACTTGCCAAACTTTAGCTACTTAATTGTGATACACTACTTCAATGCAACTATTACACCAACTATTGCCATTGGCATACTCCAAAATGTAAATGAATTATTGTACTGTTAATACAATTAGCTCCCAGACACCCTAGTGTTTTTATTATAAATCTGCCTCCTTGTGTGAACTTTAATTCAAGGCTAGAACCACAAAGCCTTCCTCCTGCCCTTTGTTTTATCATTTTGTATATTAGAAATTAGTCAACATTAAAAACCATCCAAACTTTCTAGTTCCAACAGTGAAGAGATGAATTTCCAGTCCCTTACAAATATCTTCACTAGAGCATTTCCACATTTAACCCTGTATTGCACAAGCTAACAAGTTTTACATGTTGGGGAATTTTTTTTTTGAATTGGTAATATTTTAAGTTAAAATTTTCATCAATTTAAAGATACCTAAACCAGTATTACCCAATACTAATTAAATTATTTTTAATAAAAAGACATGCTTCACCATCAGATACTAGTTTAAAAAATTCATAATTTTATTGACAATCGGCTAGTACTTGGATGAGGTTTCTAGTTTCTCACCAAACCAGCTCTGGGTAAGTAGAGCTTGCCATGTTAAATACACAAAATACAGGCCTATTCTGAAAGTATGATGAAACTTGTGCAATAAGGAGCTGCAAGATAGATTTACCAGTACCAAGAAATTACCATGTGTGATTCGTGCTCACAAGTACTCATGCTAATGAATTAAAACCTTAGTTCTGTACTATACCCATTTCAAGTGCTTAATACAACCTCTTACCCACTGACTTTGGCCAAGAGCAGTGGAGAATACTAGTTTTACATCCCCTCATTTGGGACAAGGGATGGGGAAATGTCCTGCAAACCCCACACTTTAACTATCCACCAGCAAGTATTTTGCCCCCAGGCAATGTGCAAGCGATTGGTCGAGCAGGTTCCAGGAGCTACACTTCTCGGGATAAATGACCCAATATACCTCTACAAGTTTACAACAATACCTGTTGGGCAGCAGCTCTTTAACACCAGGATTCGGTACCAGACAATATCTGCAATAATGGACCTTGCTCCCTCCCCCAGCTACTCCCAAGACCTTGCTGGAGGTCAATGACAGAGGTTTGACTAAAGATGGGCTTTATTGCGTCTAATTCAAACACCCATGAGGCACGACCATAGCCCTCTACATAGCACTACAAAATTCTGTATCCTTAAAGAACAAAATGAAAGGCAAATTACAAAAAAATTGTCCCCAAATGCAAACACTAAAAACATTAAATTTAAAGTAACATTTACAAAGGTTTGGTGTGAGGGTCTGAAGGAAGTCTCTGCCTGTTTGATGGCACACCTTCATAGGCTTTAATTGATCCTCTAGCCAAACTTAGTCCCATTTACGAGGTCCAAGGACCTATTTTGAGGGTTATTACATCTGATCCAGTTTATTTGCTTAGCTAAACGAACTAGAGGGTTCAGTTCCTGAACCAATTATGTGCCTAATCCTATACACCACCCACAGGATAGGTATGGGGTGCATAATAAAGAAAAAATTATTAGATCTGACCAGGCATATTGACATGGGCCATTCATTGCATTATATGGCACCGCCTGAACTTGTCAATTTATCTTGCAGCAACCTCCCCCCCCCCCCCTCCCGCTCCCCAAAAAATGTTTTTGCTCAAGTATCATGGACTTGTGCCTACTTCCCTCACATTCCCATTTTGATACTGGTTATCTTCTTGAGCCAATAGACACTGGTTTGTTGGTTTAACATTTACCTTGATTGGTTCAATAATTTAAAAAACTTTTACATTCCATCAAACCCGTTCATTTATGTTACTAAGTGTCTTAAATTAACTGCATTCCAGCACTCTACCCCCCCTCCCCACCGTAGCCCAACTCGCCGGTTCACTCATGGCACCCAAGTAACCATTTAAATCACCCGTTTAGCGAGCTTTTCCGACCTATTAGGCCTACTCTCCACACACAGGCCGGGTAAGCTGCCACAATGGAACTCAGAACGGCACCAGAACTAATGCACCATCTCGGTTATGGCAAACCCCTCAACACCTGATAACGAGGACGGGGTTAAGACTCACGGCAACAGTCCTGGAGGCAGCGAGGGAGAGCCTGGCAGCATACATGGTGGCGAGCTTCACGGGGACCTGTAAAGCACCAGCCGGTTAACAACAATCGCCGCCATTTTCCACCACCAACCGGCGCCCACCGCCACACTTTAAACCTAATTTAACATAACTACTACACTATAACAAGCAATATATACAATCATAAGGGAGGTGGGTGATCCTCCAGCAGCAGGTACCGAGGTGTAGGGCTGTGGAGGTGAGGGAAGAGGAGGTAGAGACCGGTGGAGGGACTGACCTGCGGTGCTGGAGGTGCGGCCGGTGCTGGGTGGAGGAGGCGAGTGGTGGCCGCCCGGCCCGCCCGCCTGCACACGCACGCCCCGCGCATGCGCTCCTCCACACTCACACAACCATATATATATATATATCTATACGAGGAAATGTATATGTTTATCTCTCAGAATGTTCGGTAATACGTTTATTGCTTGTGATGTGTGTATATGTATGCATTAACACGATGTACTGAACGGGGTGAGAATAGCTTGAGCTACATCATCCCTTTGTGTGGATTTTACCTCAATAAACTTATTTCAATTTCAATATATATATACTCATCACACTACTCAACTCATTACACATCTATCAATACAATTATATCAGTATATAAGCCTACAATTGACTTGTCAAATATCATTATCAAATATCTCTGATTATTCTATTATTTTTCACATTGATTGCTCTAAGTATTCATGATGGGTTTTGATGCTGATGTATATTTAAATTTATATCAGTATGTAGATTTTTAGGTAGATAAAGGGTTTCCTGGCATTGCATTTATTGATGAGGAAATATAGAACTACTTTTTCTTGCGCACAACTGATCAGTCAGCTGATGGCCGCACTGCGGCCCCAGCTGATGGCGTCGTGTTTAAATGTCAAAATGAGAGGCCTCTAGTTGTTAATTGGCTTATAACATGCCATATAGGCCTCTATTGTTAGATTCAAGAAGGCATTACTTGACTTGCCGAGGTTTCTTCTTGCCACGGAGGAGTCATGTTCACATTTAAAAAAACTCTAATATTTTTATATTTAATGGTTTAATTTTCCATTTACCTGGATTCCTTTCAGCTCTCTTTCCTGCACATAATAAAAATAACATAGTTAGGAAGGTTTTGAAGCATTTCTGATTTGGGAAATGGAATGACCGTATGTCGGCTGTCATCTCCAGAAGGTTGAGGGTCCCAATTGTACAGTCGGGTTCGCTCTCGACGCCCAATCGACAATCCCAGGTTCGAATCCCAGGTGGGACAGAAATGGTTGGGCATATATCCTTTACTTAGTGCCTTTGTTCACCTAGCAGGGAGTAGGTAATCAGGAGTTAGTCAGCTCGTTGTGGGGTTGCATCCTGGGCGGGGTCAGTAATTCCACCTTTGGGGGAGAGTTTGCTATCAATTAGGTTACAAACCTAACGTGTATGAATACACACTGGCTACCTGTCCCCCGATACAATGAATTTATTATTATTCACCTCATGCAACCTGAATTTACCTGTCGGGCACTAACACTAGTGGCCTCGATGAGGACAGGAAGCCGGCGGCTTATCAAACGTCCCCCCATTTGTCCTAATAATTTTTTCAAGCTAGATTTTAAATTTTAAGAGTTTTGGCATTTGGACCTGCAAAGGACTTGATGTTTATATGGGAATACCTTGTGGTTACATTGCGTTGATTTCTGGGATCGACGTCCCTGCGGCTCGGTTTCTAACTTGTACACAAGTTGATAAGGGATAAAAAGTTGTTCTACGTCTTCAGAGTTTTTCATCACAGATAATGTTGCATATCTCTTCCATGGGAAGCGATAGTAATTTTCTTTGTAGTTATACTTTAACTTCTTCAAGCCACTCTTTCTGCTCTTCAGTTCTGCCTCTCAACTATCAGTGTACTAATGTACAGGTTCCTGAGCCTATTGAGCTCTTTCATATCTACATTTTAAATTGTGTATAGTCTGCCTCCACCACAGCACTTTTCACGTGCATTTCATTTGTTAACCACTGATACTGAAAAAATTCTTTTCAATTTGGCCCCCTCCGCCACCAAGAGTCAAGATGTTCATTGGATGTCCTGGAGACCTCGTCTAGGATTTTAGTCATCTGCATGGTTTTTCGCAACCCTTCCCCGCGACCGGAGAAGTTAGTCATTAAATATGCTAGATAGAAAGATAGAAGATAGAAGAAAGAGGTGATCACATCCTGTAACTACACTTAGGTAATTACAGCAATGTGCTGCTACCCTATTCTATATGAAGGATTACAGAGTGTAGATCAGTAGTCTTTAGTACTGTAGTATGGAGAAAAAAATGTTTGAGATAAGCTTGGCATTGGGAGGAAAGGGATGCAGTACTTCGATGGGCACCCAAGTGATAAGAGGAGCCATTTGCTGCTCCTATAACACTGAAAAAGGCCGAGACCAATTTGGCAGAGATCACAGACGATCAAATTTTCTTTCAATTTTTTTTTTTAGATGAGCATGTTGAAAGCCTTTCTCTTTCTTATATACTTTATTTTTGAGATCTGCACAATAACAAAATATAATTTAGCTTTGAAATTGTTTAAATTTCTTCTAACTGGCAGAAAACTTGGATACATTTTTTATATATATATAATTTTTGTTTAGCACTGCAAAACAATTCTTATTTGAAAATTTTCTGTGATAACTTGCAATAATAAAAAACACAAAAAAATATACTGTTTGGCACATATTTAAAGGAAAAAAAGTTCACTTTTATAGTCATTGCTGCCTAGTTACTAAGCTTTGTCTTGATTTGTTATTTTAATTGCAAATAATTTTGTCAATATAATACAATTATAAATTATTAAATTTTTAATTCTCAATATTAAATATTCTTTAAGCTGAATTGTTTACCGTTACCCCTGATTGTGTCCATTATACAACCCGGGTCAAGGCAAATCTGTACAGCCGAGACCCTACATTGGTCTAGACGGGACCAAAGAGCCAGAGCTCAACCCCCCCGCAAGCACAACTAGATGAGTACATTCCTTGCCCGTTCCATCTCACTTTTTAGCACACAAAGACCTCCCTCTATCAGTTATGACTTGAAACACTGCATCTAGTTTATCCATTGATCTTAATACTGTAAATAAATACAGCTCATGTAATATATTTTTATTAAACCACACTTTATCATTAACACAATTACATATGTTTAAACCTTACTCTCTTTAGTAATCTTATTTACAGATCAATTATACAAAATAGAACTATTTATCAAGAATAACAAGTAGCAAGTATACACATTTCACCATTAATAACACACCTACAAACATACAGCTTTGTGTATTTGTACATAGCTGTACAAATATGTATTTGTATTTGTGTACTATTATGTATTTGTACATAGCTGTACAAATACAGCTAATTGTATCACATACTAATATAAACAAAATATTTTCAAAGCATCTTGTTTATCAGCTAATCAAATCCTCCAAGTATCAGGAACCAGATACTGTATTTAAACTCTAATTATAAATTAAGAATTATGCTTAGTTATTGACTGTGCTTTTGGAAATAGCTAAAGAATTTGCCGCGTGCATTGAGAAAATTTGTGAAAATTGTTTCAAATACAGTAATGTTTATTTTTTCCAGACCTACATAGAATGAATGTATATAACTAAACAAATTTTAATTCCTATAATAAAATAATAGAATTTTCACAAACTATATATATTGTAGAACAAACATGCTTAACATATATAAAACCCAAAGTTTAAATGACTTAAGAATTGCCTCTATTTGCATATCTATTAACTAAAAGCCAAACACCATATTATGTGAAAACTGATTATCCCAATATTTATTTATTTATTTATTTATATACAAGGTACACTGGGTTTATTAGAGTACAGAGACTATGGCATTTATACGGGTATCACCACTTTGTGCTATTTCCCCACCAATCCTCGACATGATGATGTTTTCGTAACTCCAACTGCCTCCCTGCACATAACAATGTGCATCATTATAGTCGTGAAAGCATGCCACCTGCAACCACAAACGTTTCGCCAGTGATGTATGATGCATCGCTGCTACACAAGAAAGACACTATGCCTCCCAGCTCCTTTGGGTCTGCAACCCTGCATGGGAATAAAAATAAAGACCTTTCTTTAGAATTCATTTTCATGGAGTAGCAAGCATTTGACACAAACATGTGATAAATTTAAAGGAAATGTTGTAAGATGCTAATGTATATGTGGTGGTGGCTTTGTGAGACTGTAAAACTAAATTTTGAAATAACATACTGTACTGCTTTATACAGTAAATAACTTTGCCAAATTTAACTACCAAAATGAATATGAAGTAGTTAGTTTTCTTCCAATTACTGTACATGTATACAGTATATAAAACCTAAAACAAAAGTAGGGTCAACAGTGGTATAATTTACACAATAGTACCTGCAGTGCAAATCTAGTTAACAGAATAACAGTGAGATGTGGTGACTTTCTAAGCTAAAACCACTCAGCCAGTCTCTTAGGCAAGTGTCTCACTCTTCTAGAAACACAGCAGTCTCAAGCCAGAGTCAGTGCAAACTTCTCTTCCTCGACAAGATGGAGGTCTGTTCAAACCATCCCTCATGAGTCATAATAAGGAAAGGGAGAAACTGGAGAATGTTCATTCCAGTCTTGATAGGCCATTAGAATGAACATTCCATTACACTCAAAACACCACCTCCATACAATATTTGGTTTCAAAGAAAATTCCTAGAACTGCTCACTACCAACTGCTAGTTGCCTGCCTGGTCACTACCCACACCACCCACCAAATGATGGCAAAGGTTCTGTAAACAGAAGGTAACCAGGGATTCCCTGACTCACTCCTTCTGTGGCTTCTCAGACAACCAATTGGCCCTGATCCTGAAATGATCATCTGCAGTAGGCTCATGCTTCAAGTGATAGCTTCTTGTCTAGGTTATAGGCATCACCACAAGTGGATGTGTCTGTCAGTGAAGTATAGTCTACCTGGTGTTAGGGTGTGACAATGTATCATTGAGGAAACTTCTAACTTAAGTTAAAGGCATTACTGATCTTGGTGAAGAAGCAAGTGCAGGTTCTCATGGATAAGAATGTCAAACTCAAAACCTTCTACTAGAAAAAGAGAAAACGATCGAGAAGTGGACCGTCATTGTCAAGAAAGGCCTTAAGACTAAGACAGTTACAATTGCCAAAAAAACTGTAGACATGAAGACTGGCAGAGATATTAGAGGAGTCAACTTAAGTCTGGCTGGTAATTATCTAGAAAAGCCGCAGGTCCAGGGATGGAACTGGTTTACAGCAACAAAAGTAGGGGAAAACAGGACACATGAGAGCTAGCAATTTCTCCATCATTGAGAGAAACATCTTAATTTGGAGGAAGAGTTAAATCATCTTTCTCTGATTCTAGCCTGCACTGCATTCGACTCAAAAGATTTCCTGTTGGAAAATGGAGCCACATATACAAGGACACATAGGAAGGAAGCTTAAACTCCTACACAGAGGCAAAAGTATTCCATTGGGACAGACCAAAGTCCCACATATCCATAATAAGGAGACTGTCCACTTACCATCCCGTCAATGAGATGGTAAAATGAGAAACCTGCTGTGAGAATATTGAAGATGTTTCAAATGTGAAGGGCTTTGAGAAAACTAAACCCTGAGAATAAAAAAAAAGTGCTATGGCCAGAGATCAACATCATCAAATAGTTGCCCGAGAGCTGCCAAATCACCAAACCCCAAGGGAGAGGAATGCCCCGAACTGACATTTGCACTGCCTTTAATTACCTGATGTTGATAATGTGCCCCAATACTGGCAACTAGCAGCATGACTGACATGATGATAGTTGGAGACAAACATGCCATCTCATGGCAAATATGTCTGTAAAGAGGTCAAGAGATGGACAGGGATGCCACTACAGGACTGAACCCCAAACAAAGGCATGATGGGGGATAGACCGAAGGGCCTATGGATGCAAACTGAATAACCCAGATGACAGCTGTGAGCAGTGTATTGCTAAAATTAATACTGATTAGCTACTCGAGTTCTGGATGGGGACTGGTGGCACCGGTAGGGAGCCGGTCGGCCGAGCGGACAGCACGCTGAACTTGTGATCCTGTGGTCCTGGGTTTGATCCCAGGTGCCGGCTAGAAACATTGGGCAGAGTTTCTTTCACCCTATGCCCCTGTTACCTAGCAGTAAAATAGGTACCTGGGTGTTAGTTAGCTGTCACGGGCTGCTTCCTGGGGGTGGAGGCCTGGTCGAGGACCGGGCCGCGGGGACACTTAAAAGCCCCGAAATCATCTCAAGATAACCTCAAGATAACCATGCAAAGATCAGATGAAAACAGGAGGCAAGCTAATCCCATGACAGAGCCAGAAGAGAAAGTAAGGTCAACCTAGTATATAAAACCATCTCCAACCACAGTAGGGGGCTGCACACAACAACCTTGAGACTTCAAGTGGTATATGCAAAATCCGAGCCAGTCCGGCATCACCAGCACCACATTCCTTCATTGAGGTGAAGACTTAAGGGAAAGCTATTAAACTTAACTGAATAAAGTCTGTAAAACCAGATACATTCTACCTGGCAGTCCACTTGTACGGGTGAGGGTGTCAGCCTCCTGGTAATGATGTGTATCTCGTGCTTCCATTTGGTGATTGTCAGGTGACTGCTATCTCAGTATTTGTACAATTACAATTTACTGTCCTGACAACCCCAATTATTATTTGGAATCTGGTGGTTTGTTTCTGGCTTTTGCTTTATATCAAGCAGCTTTCTTAATGGAGGATATTAAGAATATTCTCCTCTGGCTTTAACCCCATCTTGTGGCCTGGCACCTGTATCTGAGGGCACAAACTCAGAAAATGTATTTTTTTGTCCACAATTTATTATTTCAAATTCAAAATACATTATTTGTATGTGTTATACTACTGTATTAGCAGTACGAAAGCCCTTAAATATTTGGCAATAAGACATAAACCAATTAAACGACTTTGAAACCTTGATAGTTCAGAACAGGCCTAGTCCCAATTATTGTGGAACACTGAGGATTCATTACATAAAGCTGGATGAAAATATAAAGTGAATTTTTGTTTAATTTTATTTAAATTAACTGTCACTCACCTTCCAAGAGGAATTGATTCCAAAATCTTTTCATACACTGCTGGGTGTTGTGTTATCTGAAAAGTTAAAATAAGTGCATTAACACACACTTAGATACACAGTAGAAAATGAAAGAAACAAGCTTTGACTAATTACCCCAGATGTTCCCACATGATCAAAAAGAATACCATACAAGTAGCAAATTTACATAAGTAATGTGCCCAAGGGTATACATCTGACTCGCCAAGTTGTGGAGTAGCCAAGAGATACAAACCTTTGAATATGGTACAATAGACTTTGTGTTAAGGAAAGGGAGATGATGATAAGCAGGTAAGGAATGTCAAAGAGAATCCACAGGATATAGGGAATAATGCTTCGCAGGGTGTAAGAACCATGCATTCATAACAATGCCCCTTGCATTTCTTCCATGCCCCTTGAATTCCTTCCTTCCTTCCAACACAAGCCATCTCCTCAATCCTCTTCAATTTCTCATTCAGGGACAGGTAGTCAGCAAAACAGTTAACTGCCTCTTTCTACAACTTCAACCAATAGCTGTTGATATGTAGTTGATATGTAGTTGAATAGCTGTTGATATGTAGTTGACTTCATTGAATGACAAACATCACTGTCATTCTGGTGATGTTTCTTATATATGTAAGCAGGAGACTGTGTAACAGCTCAGTAATGTGCCTATGATGCCCCAACGTTTCCTTGAATTTACAGTATTTAAAATTTTCTGCCATCTCTCTCTCACTCCAGTATGTAGCAATTTTATTATGCAGGTTTAGGGCCTGAATTTCCAGAGATCATATGTAAAAAGTATTGAGTGAGAGGTCTCTTTTGTCTCTGTTCCAAGGAGTACAATTAAAGTGCTTTTAGGTGGTCCCTAAAATAGTCCCTAAATATTTAGGTAAATATTTAATCTAGTCTATAAGGGGAATAAAAGATCTTATTTCTTTTTTAGCACTGTAACTTTGCCAACCTTGAAATGGGATGCAAAAATTTCCTAATATTGTTCTCCATTCAAAATAATACCAGTGCATTGAAGAATAACTTCACTGATGTGACATACCCTTTTTTTTTAATGTTTCATAATCTACCCCCATCATTTTCCTACCTGTTGCTGTTTTCTTTGGTGTCCTCTTTGAATGTTTGGACTTCTCATATCCAGAGAAATAACACTAATGTGATATAGTATATCAATGAGAAAATAAACTGGAGCTCTGAGGTGACTAGAACCCACGACCAAGAGAATCCAAGTCTCTGAAGCTAACCACTGGACCACCCTAACTTAAGTCATACAACCAGATTTATACTGAAATCACAGAACATCTGGAGGCCCCTCTTAAAGTCAGTCCAAATTTTACATACGACCCCCAAGCACCCGGGTGTAGGCAACATAGTTCATCCACTGTACACTTCAACGTATGTGATTTCAGTAGAAACTTGGTTGAATGACTTAAGTCAGGGTGGTCCAGTGGTTAGCGTCAGTGGCTGGGATTTTCACAGTCACAGGTTTGAGTCACCCCAGAACTCCAGTTGATTTTCTCATTGATATATATCACATTAGTGTGAATTCTCTGTACATTTGACGTTGGAGCATACGGTGGATGAATTACATTGCCATTGCTATTGATTTTTTAACATTTTGGCGTACCCCGCGCGCCACCCCTCAACTGTGCGATATGGGACCCAGGGTGTCACGGGAGCGCGCGTAAATTCTGAAAAGTGTATACTCTCTTCAACTTTGTCACCTTAATTCTCGTCCTACGAGATTAAATTTTGTATCATTGTGTTCGCAATAGAATTCTCTACAGCACTAAATGCATATAAACTCCAAAAGCCGGGCTAATTACCTGCAGCAAACAGAGAAAGTGCGAACGAGTTACCCCGGAGCTCGCAAACGCGATAAAATGTTTTCACTATTTTCACTCTGGTCACCTCAATTTTCGTCCTAGGTCTTTCATTTTGGTCTCAACGGGTTCGCAATAGAATTCTCTAGAGGAACATTAGCATATAAAATAAAAAACCTGGTCACGCTCCAACCGCCGATGAGTTGAAGACGGGCCATGGGTTAGCCACAAGTGAGCGCGCAGACGCCTTCCAGCTACACTCCCAATTCCCGCCCTTTTCAAGCCTTTCTTTTGCAATTTTCTTCCTGGAAGGGCCTTGTTCATGATCACTATCAATTGTGGAGTAAGCGTAGATAGTTTCTAAAGCCGCAGTAAGAAATATAGCCACGGAAAATAGCCGAAATGTTCACACGTTTGAGATGCAAGGGGAGGCGACATTGGTCACAACAGTGGAGCAAAAACAATGGGCCCACGGCGTGTGCCAAGCCGCCTGAGGGCCACGAGGCTCAACAAAGAAAATGGGAAGACATCGGCGCGCATTTTAAAACCAGTCCCCAAAAAATTGGATAAAAACCTGATTTTTGGCGATTATTTAAAGTGGATGACGCAATGCTGCGTCATCCCCGGCATTACCGACAGTAAACGGATGACGCAATGCTGCGTCATGCCCGGGCGAAAGTGTTAACTTCTAATATTATTATTCCAAGATCTTTGACCTGGCCACTCCTTTCTATTAAGAAATCCGAGTCGTATATCTTGAACTCGTTTTATATTTTTAATTTTCTCCATATAAAAGTAATTGGAATTCACCACTGTTGCACAATATTGTTTTCTATGTCCACCGGAAGACCTTACTGTCATAATTGTCATACTTTGTGAAGGATGACACAAAACTGAGATTTCCATCTGTCTTGGTTTGCCATAGTCAGGGACTGGAAGCCTGGTAAGCTTATCAAGGTCCCCCCCTAAGACCAACTTCTTACCTTCCCCAGAATACCCATTACAACCCACAAGAAGTTCTCTAACTTCCAGTTACCTATTTACTGCTAGGTAAACAGCCTTATAGACAATCTGGTGAAAGGAAATGTTGTCTAAACACTAATCCTCTGTTCCAAGAGGATTAGGAATAGTAATGGTGCGAGGACTATACCTTGTGATATTTTATGGGTCATTACTGCATGGTAACATTTACCAAATGCTTTTGCAAAATCTGCATATATGACATCAGCTTTTTTGTTTATTTCTAATGCATCTATAATTTTGTTGCATGCCTGTTCTTTTCCATAAACTAGTAAGTTGGCTTTTTGGTACCCTTTTAAAATTCATAATAATGTAGGATGTTAGTGGGGAGACGTTTGCAGTTTTTATAATCTCCCAGGATTTTTCTCCATATTCCAATTAGTGGGGATGTGCCAAATGGCATTTTGTATTACTTTATAAACAACGAAATTACAGGAATCTGGCTCTAGTGCTGAATGCATGGGCATATTGCTTATCTCCCTTTCAAAGTCTGTGAGGTTTGTTGTAATACTCGATATCCAACATATGCCTTTCTACGTGATAATGGTGTACTGTACATGTACCCTTGAAACGTTAGTGCCATACTATATGTGACCGGCCTAACTGCACTGTGATCATGACAAAACACTGAAAATTACTGTACCTTTGGAAGAAACAGCATAAATATGCTCAATAATACAGTACAACAAACATGCATCGTGAAAAATTAATGGACACAATTATTCTTGATACAAAGAAAACCTTACCGCACTTGAGAAATTGGTTTTCACAATACCAGGGGCAACACAGTTGACTCGAATATTGTCAAAGGCAACTTGTTGTGCCACAGCTTTTGTTAGCCCAAGGAGGGCTGTTTTGCTTACACTATATGCTCCCAGCATCTGCAACAATAAAACCAAAGAAAAACACTATACAAATGTTTATTTGTCTCTGATGCCGCACCTGTATGCATGCATGGACAGAAATATACACACACACATACATGCAATCCATCATCAGGCTCTACAATGTGATTTTCATGGTTTTGTTCCTTCTGAGCCATAAACAGAGAGAAAGCTAACCTTTGACTAAGTGAGACTAAGGATATGGGGTCACACACAACCTAATACCATCCCTGTAATACAGAGGTTACAAGACTGATTGTACAGTATTACACAGTGAAGTTATGCCACTAATTATTTGCTTAGAACTTTCAATGAACAAATCAATAATATAAAAGTAATACTGTATATGACTTCATGGTTCACCTTATGGTTCCATTATCTTTACAGTAGTTTGTAAGTTATTAATTATAACAACACACATATATTTGTACCTCTCTGCATATAAAAAATTTAATTAAAAGGATAATTCACTGGTTTTTAGTTAACACACTGTACAATACTTCTCAGCTCCCCAAACAAACTAATTGTTTCATGAACACTGCTTTCCATAATTGTTTTCTGAAATTTGTGTTATTTATTAAATAAGATAAATAAAATTAAGTTGAAATGTTTCTTTATGCTTAACATTTTATTTTAGGAATTCTATTTAGTTTGCTTCTAATGAAACTTAAGGAGTGGGGAGAAGGCTTTGGATAAAGTATTAATTTGAAATTTGTAGGTAGAGGAATGGAGGTCACATACTGTACTTGACATTTACAAAAACATTTAGACTGTGGAAAGGGGGGGAGGTGAACTTTACCAATGCCATCTATAACCACACTTCGAAATTAAATAATATTTGAAAAGGATAAAACTTACATTCATAGGCTGAAATCCAGCAATTGATGAGATGTAAACTACAGCTCCACCTCCTCCTTGCTTCTGCATGTGGGGTACAACTAGCTGTGTAAGCTGGAGTGCATTTTTCACATTCACCTCAAAGATCTTGTCCCAAACACTTTCTGGGCACTGGAAAAAAACCAGCGTTGAATGTAATGAAACGCCATTTTCTGGGTGAGTCCCGGAGGCTCCCCGGAGCTATCCCAGGCTGATATGCTAATGTCAGACTTTGGCATCAGTCATGTGTATGGAGTTCTTAGGCCTACCGGGGACCACGGCCAGAACCGGGCCCCCTCAGAGAGGCAAGGGGAGCAATGGCCTATAGAAGCCCCCGTGTAGTTGGAAGCATTCTATGTCTGCCATCGACCGGAACAGGCACCCAGAAAGGTAAGCGCCCCAAAACAAACCCCTATTCTGGTTAAAATTGCTACCTAATACCGAACTAGTGGATAGAACTCCCCAACCGAAAACAAGCAAATTAGTGTGACGTCACACACTGCCGCGCCGCTGTCTGCGCAGCTCCCCCCTCCCCGGGAGGGGGAAGGGGGAGCCCCAGACCCCCCGCGCCGGCTACCCACACCTCAGTTCTTGAGGCTGGATGTCAAAAACGCGAAAAACCGCCGACCGGAGGGAGGGAGGGATGCCGGGGAGCCTCCGGGACTCACCCAGAAAATGGCGTTTCATTACATTCAACGCTGGTTTTCTGGGGGGAGCCCCGTCGGCTCCCCGGAGCTAACTACCCACAGACAGAAAAAGAGGGACTTACCCGGGAGGCGGTCGTCGCTCACCCCTTAACTCGAAGCCGAGACAACTGGCTGCAACCGCCGACCCAAAGCAACACAGGCCCGACGAGGGCCAGGGACATTCACAAGGTAGCGAGCAGCCAGGACCCTGTTCGACCGCCAAAATCCCCGCGCCCGAATATCAGACCAAGACATATTCCCAAAGACGGCAGCAAGAGCCGCGAACTTACGAACGTCATGGGCACGGGGATAGACCGCAGGCTGGCTAGACCTAATAACCCTGCGGACGACCTGAGAGACCCGAACCCGCGAACAGGGAAGAAGGGAAACCGGATCAACCCACAGCGCGTCCCCGGACACAGAAGCTGTGGCGCGCAAATAACGGCGAAGCGCCGCAACCGGACACAAAACATGATGCACCCCCGGCCTGACCAACCAAGCATCAACCACCCATGGACCCCTCCGGAACGCAGCAGTCTCATTCTTCGCCAGAAAAGAAGGAGACGGCTGCAAACGAACAAAACTATCACCACGACCAAAAGAGCAGAAACCCCTGCGCCGGAGGAGAGCATGAAGCTCCCCTACCCGACCCCCAGAGGCCAAAGCCAACAAGAAAAGTGCCTTGGAAAAACAATCCTGGACCGAAGGGGCCACAACGAAACGAGGAGATGAAAGGAAAGCGAGCACTCTGTCCAAAGACCAGGACGGCTCAGGCGACGCATGAGCAGGCCGGAGGTGAAACAATGCACGAGACAGCTTGCGAAACGGCGCAGACGTAACATCGATACCGAAAGCAAGCTGAAGCGGCTCCGCCAGCGCCGCACGATACGAAGCGACAGTGTTAGGCATAAGATGACGGTCCTGAAACAACCACGAGAGGAAGGACAAGACCACCCGAACAGACAAGGAGCTAACACGACGAAGACGCAAAAAGAAACGGAAGGACCGCCAGGAAACTTCATACTGCCGCCGAGAAGAAGCCCTCAGGTGGGACACCAACAAGGAGGCCACCTGATCACCATAGAGATGATGATAGACTCGAGTCAAAAAAACCATACGCGAAGACTCGAGGAGAAGATCGAACCAGCTACGTGACGTACCGGCCCGATCTGCTGAAAGAGGCGGAGCCGCGGGAAAACCCTCGGGTTCGGACACCGAGCAACCAGCGCCTGAAACCAAGGCTGGGCCGGCCACCAAGGGGCCAGAAGGACAACTCTCCCCTGGTAAGTCTCTAAGCGAGTCAGGACCTGGAGCAACAGCCGAACTGGGGGAAAGAGGTACAGGAACCCCCACCTCGACCAGTCGAGCCGAAAGGCATCGACCCCGACGGCCTCGCAATCGGGGAAGGGCGCCGCATAAACGGGAAGACGCCGCGACCACGCCGACGCGAAGAGGTCCACCTCGGGGCGCCCGAACGTCTGGCAAAGCCAACGGAAGGACTCGTCGTCGACCGTCCACTCCGTGGAGAGGGGAACGAAGCGAGACAGGGCGTCGGCCAAGACGCTGGACACGCCCCGTACGTGAACCGCCAGGAGAGCCAAACCCCGAGAACTCAGCAGACGAGTCACCCGAAGCGACCAACCCCAAAGAGACAAGGACCGCATCGAACCCCCGCGGTTCAGGCAATGAACCACCGGAGAGCAGTCCGAATGGAGCCGAATCGTCGATCCGCGGGCCACCCGAATCCTCCCCAGAGCAAACCACACTGCCGCGAACTCCCGCACCGTACTGTGAGCTCGACGGAAGGACGGATCCCAACGCCCCTGGCCGGCCTGGTGAGCACTGGTCACAAAACCCCAGCCGAGAGACGACGCATCCGTGTACACATCGAGCGAGGGCTCGGGTAGGCGCCAAGGCACTGAACCCCGAAAAACCCGAAGAGGAAGCCGGTGACGCAGCAACCGACGCAAGTCCCCCGGGGGTCGAACTCTGCGATCGCGAGAGAGGCGGAAGGGGGAACCCCGAAGGAACCAGAACAACCGTCGAAGCCAAACCCGACCCGGCGGGTAGACCACCATCGCGAAGTTCAGGCTCCCGCACAGCCCCTCGAGCAACCGCCGGGTGACCCGAGGGCCCTCCAGAAACAGACGAAGGCGGGACCGCAGCCGCAGGAGAGACTCCGGAGGGAGAGACAAGGAGGCGGTCCGAGAGTCCCACACGAGACCCAGCCAAGTCCGAACCTGAGAGGGAACCAGATGGGACTTCCTCCAGTTCACCAAGAACCCGAACCCGGCGAGCTGGGAAAGAACCAAATCCCTGGCTAGCAAGCAAGCTGACTGGCTGGGAGCCCAAACCAGCCAGTCGTCGAGGTAGGCCAACACCCGAACACCTAGGAGACGCAAACGAGCCACCACAACCCGTGTAAGGCGTGTGAACACGCGAGGTGCCAGGTTCAAACCGAACGGGAGACAACGAAAGCGGTAACTCAGACGCCCCACTACAAAACCGAGCCAGTCCCTGAACCGCGGATGAATCGGGACATGCCAATAAGCGTCCCGGAGGTCCAGGGACACCATCCAAGCACCCGGCTCCAAGAGGAGCCGAACCTGAGACAGCGTAGTCATCCGAAAGGAGGGGCAATGAACCCAGGGGTTCAGACGGGACAAGTCCAGAATGAACCGCAGGTCCGCGCAGTCCCGTTTCGGAACCGGAAACAGACGGGAAACCCATCTGAGGGACGACGTCGTTTCGACGACGCCCAAGCGTACCCACTCCAAGACGAAACGACAGAGCGCAGGGGAAGAAGCCTGCCCCGCCAGCCCCGACCCCCCAAAGGGGGGAGGGGCCACCCAACGCCACCGCAGGCCGCGAGACACGACCCGAAAGGCCCACGAATCGTGGGACCAGGCGCGGGCGAACAGCGCAAGCCGCCCCCCCATCGCCCCGTCAAAGGGGCAAACCGCGAAAGGGCCGGCGACCCTTACGAGACCCAGAACCCCGCACAGCGCGAACACCGCGCCGACCAGACGAGGGAGGGTCCGCAGGAGGAGCCAACCCCAAACCTGACACCAGAGGCCTACCACGACGAGAGGAACCCCGAGCCCTGGCACGACCTTTCCGGGAAGACCCACCCCGGGACCCCCGGAAAACCAACAAGTCCGACATCGGACGACAAGCCGCCGACGCAGCCTGAATAAACTGCGCCACGGCCGACTCCCCAAACAGGAGAGGACAAAAAGGTGAAGAACGCCTAAGAGCCAGAGCCCAAGCAGATTCCACGGAGGAACCCAGCACCGCCTGCCGACACGCGAGACGGGAAGCATAGAACAGGGAAACCGCATCCCGCAAAATCGGCGTGAACAGCTTCAACAAGGCAGCCGACGAACGCGCAGCCGAGGACAAGGTGCCGGACCCCGGGACGGACCCAAGCGTCCCCACATCCTCCACGAGCCAATCCGAAGACAGCTCCAGGAGGGAAAAGAACCGCAAGGCCGAACACAAAAGGCCCCGAGCGCGCAAGTCCTCCGCCACGAGCGCCGCCGAAAGGGAGGGAACCTGCACATGGAGCTGAATAACGCCCACATCGCGGGGAAGGGCAGGGGCAAACAAGCACTCATTCAGGTACTCAAGTTCACCCCCCAGGAAAACCTGAAGCACCGTGGAAGCTTCCCGCCACTCCAGCGTGCGGGAACGACAGAAGGAATGCCAGGAATCCAGACCAAACAAGGGGCAGTCTGCTAGCCAGGATGACTCCGGAACCTCGTAACGGAGCCAGAAAGGGAACGAAGTCCCAAACCTGAACGTGGACGGATCCATTTCCGAGGCATAATCCGGGTCACGCAGGAGGTAAGCTGCAAAGGCCGCGCGCACCACACCAGGTTGGATGCGATAAGCCGAAAACCTCCTGAAGGACGGAACCGACGTACCCGGGGGAACACGGAACCGTACCCGGGGAGGGGCCGACACCAAATCCAACTCGTACGCAGAGGGGGGGAAAGAAAACCCCACTCCTTGTAACAATAAGCCCCGCTCAGTGGGAAGAAAAACCCAGGCGGGGTCCAGCGGGGCCCAAGGCCCCCAAGTCAGCCCCTCCCCAGCCTCGAGGTCCGTCACCACAGGACCCGAGGCCGAGTCCTCTCCCCAAGCCCCGACCCCATAAGACAAGGACGGAGCAGCCGGAAAAGCTGGAGGAAGGGGGGCCCACTGGTCAGACCCTGAAGCTTCGGCCGGGAGACAAGACTCGAATGCCTCTGCCGCCCCCCCGGAAGGGGCAACCCCCGAAGCTGCCCGAGTCTCGAGATCAAGTAACCCCTGCTCCGACCCCGAAACCCTCAGACGCTTCGGGGCCGGAAGCAGGGGCGGGGGACCAGAACGAACAGAAGGGAAAGGACGAGGAGGTGCGGACTGAACCAGGATCGAAGCGACCCCCACCCCCAAGTCCGGGTCTCGAAAAGCAAAGCGGGGCAGCCCCGGGGCATCCGGGGAAGCAACCAACCGAGCGCGTTGCAACAGACAAAACCTAGACTGCAACGCACGTGCCGCCTGTACCCGAATAGAATCATCAGAGGATTGGGTAAATTGAGTCACAAGCAAGCAGCAACACTCACAGGACTCAGGGTCGAAAGTATCACCGACCCAACAGGCAGCGTGGCAGAGGCAAAAACAATGAGGGTCACCCTGAGACAAGGGGACCGAGCAACCCTCAAACTCGCACACAGCGAGTGGGGACTCCGGGGTCACATCCATCGGACCCACGCGCCCCCTAGGGGATTCCCAGGGTCCTGAGCGTTTACTTTAAGAGGACTCGCGCTCAGGTAGTCCCAGGCAGGGTGCTGCAAACCGGCGCCCAAAACTACCAAGCAAACTTCTAAAGCTGAACCCCAGGGACGTGTACACTCACGGGGACCTAGCAGGGGGCGCCACCGAGGAGAACAGTGGAAGGGCAAAAACAAACTGAATAAAATGACAGAACCCCCCACCAGGCAAAAAACAAAAAGAAAAACAAAACCCCGCAAGAGGACAGCGAACCCCAAGGAACAGAGCCGGCCGCGATGTCGGGAATTACAAGCTGAGCAGCACCCTGCGCCCCTACCAGTGCAAACTGCCTCTTACCTGCCGGTAACAAGGGAGAACAGAACACCCAAGAGCCCAACAGGCGGCCGAAAAACCGAAAGGTAAAACGGACCAGCAGAGGCAGACCCCGAGGAGCCTGTGGAAGGTGGCCCCAAGCCCCAAGGGCAGTACTTACAGGGCACCTAGGGAAGGCAGCCCTAGGCGCATGCAGCCCGAGTACTGAAGATAACTCCTGGCTCTCGCACCCACAAAACTAACACCACACTCAAAGCACAGTGCAGTAGCGACACCGGAGCCAGAGCACACGACCACCGCCAATAGCATCAGCCTCAAGAACTGAGGTGTGGGTAGCCGGCGCGGGGGGTCTGGGGCTCCCCCTTCCCCCTCCCGGGGAGGGGGGAGCTGCGCAGACAGCGGCGCGGCAGTGTGTGACGTCACACTAATTTGCTTGTTTTCGGTTGGGGAGTTCTATCCACTAGTTCGGTATTAGGTAGCAATTTTAACCAGAATAGGGGTTTGTTTTGGGGCGCTTACCTTTCTGGGTGCCTGTTCCGGTCGATGGCAGACATAGAATGCTTCCAACTACACGGGGGCTTCTATAGGCCATTGCTCCCCTTGCCTCTCTGAGGGGGCCCGGTTCTGGCCGTGGTCCCCGGTAGGCCTAAGAACTCCATACACATGACTGATGCCAAAGTCTGACATTAGCATATCAGCCTGGGATAGCTCCGGGGAGCCGACGGGGCTCCCCCCAGAAAATTATGAGTAAGATATTAAAATATAATATTAAATCATCTAACTTGTTATTGTCCTTGATTCGAGAACTGTAAAGGAAAAATATAGAATAGAATGGCTAGGTATATGGGTGAGAGAGGTAGATCTCAATGGGACCCACCATGTATAGCTAACAGGCTTGCTGTTGGAAGGAAAAATTAATGAAGAAATATGTTAATAAATAAATAGATTAAGAAAAAGAAAGCAAAAAGATAAAATGAAATACAAAAAGAAAGAAAAAGGAGCAGAACTGATAAACAAGTTAACATTAAAGTTAAATCAATGAAATACCTCTTTCAGAAAAACACCTCAGCAGCTTCCCTCAGCTAACATCACAGGCGCATACACGACACTGTGAATCCATCAGGCTCCTGTACATGTATCAACCCACTGCAAAACAATGACCCTTGCCCACCCCTTACTCCCTTTAGAGGGGATGCAATGTTCCTTCTAAGGGGGAAAGCAGAAACTTGTGGGGATCAGAGGTCAACCCCACAACCAAGGTGTATCATTGCCAAAATACTGAGGCAACCAAAACACTCAACCTAACTTTTGAGTAATGTGTAGCAACATAAAATTAATTATTCACCCCCTAAGGAGGAACTTACACCTTAAAAAGATAGCTGTTGGTGAACAGTCATTGCCAACAGTGCCAGGGAAAGGAACCCTGAAACAAAAGTTGGGGCAGAGGATGATAATAAGAGACTCAATATAAACAGTCTACATTCTGGTGAAACATTATATAGATATATATTACTACAATATACCCATCAGTCCTATGGAATGATGAACACAGCCTTGCAAACAGTGGTTTCTGCAGGACTAAGACACAGCAAACTGGATCCCAGGAACAAGAGTAAAGTGGTCTCATCACCTGCACCTGATATTATCGAGGCCACCACCTCTTGGCGGAAACGAGAGTTGGTTGAAAACTATTTTTTTTTTTTTAGAAATTGTTACAGTTTGCTTTGGTAGTTCATAACACTTTTCAATAAATTTCTTGGAGGAAGTTTGAGTGTTTTATGACCTCTTTTTCAAAACTTTATGGGCAGTCTGGTTCATGCCCTATACTGGAAGCAGAGAGAAATTATGAAAGCCCTTGTCTCTGGTGGGCAAGAATGCCTCACAGGTACCTAGCACTGCCTAGTCTGCCTGGTAATGGCCGGAGTATAAGTACAAGAGAGAGACTGAGGGCAATGCCCAGAAACAGTTGTTATTGGGATACACTGCCCTATGATGAAATTAGAATCAGTTATACTGTATTACTATAAATAAATATTTAAATTTCTTCAAGTACATGTCATGAGCCATTCTTCAAAAAATTATTGAAAACACATTCTATAGTACAGTATATGAAAACCATAAAGTATACCAAACAAGCCTACCTAAATATGAAGTAAAAGTTATTTAAAGAAGACAACAACTTACGTCCAATACACCTCCCATTGTTGGATTTACAGCTGCATTGGAAACAAGTATGTCAATGCTTCCAAACTTCTCCAATGTCTGAAAATGTAGAATTTAAAAATATTATACTATGACAAATACATAAAGCAGGAACAACAAGAGATATACCCAGCCAGAAAATATGGTAGCTCCCAGACATATTATGTACAGTATAGTAAACAATGGTGCATCTGAACACTTGACATAACCGATGTAGCTTGTATGCTATCATTTAGGGGCAGAGTTATTCAAGCTCAGGGATATTTTGATCAGCAATTCCCTCACACCTCGGAGTCTACATATTATGAGTTACTCCCAGCATGCGTGCCTGCCACTTAAGACTTCTAGCAGCAAAACAATAATTTCTCTGTAATTCTTTGAATTTGAGTTCAAAAAAGACATTGTGTAATGGTTAGGTAAAAGCTTTGGGAAGCAATCCAAGAAAGAGGAATCCAAATCCATTGTATGATGAGACAAAATGGTAGAAGGTGTGGCTAGTTAACTTGCCATACAACATATTAATCTACTAGTGAATACTCTTTGGACTTCATTGATGCACAGGAAACTGGCCTATTTTGCCAGATGATATGACAGGATGCACTACCAGTTGTGAGAGAAAACCTAAGTATAATGATGAGTGTGTTGAAGTCATCGCTAACAGCAACAGGAATTGGAGCCCCAAAAGAAAGCTAAGGATGATATGGCAACCTGTCCTCTTACAAAGAATGTCGCATTTCAAGCGTATGCATTACATAAGGCTAAAAACTGTCATACTACCTTTATAAAATGGATGTGGCTTGTGAAAGTGACATACTGTCCTGTTTTATGTTTTGAGTCCTCTGGTAGGTCTGAGAGGACACTTTAATGTGACCATTTTCTCGACGATGGGAAAACTTAGGAGGACGGGCTGGATATGGAAGCAAGGGACCTACTTGAAAGGTGAACACCCTCACACTTGCAAAACACTTTTATCATGAATTCCAAATGCTGGGACCAACTAGCACAAAGATGTGCTAAATATTTAAGAGTAAGATTCAGTCCCAGTAGGACATCAGACACACGACTGTCTCAGACGACAGTCAAGAATAAGAGGTGGTCTACTCACTAGGTTGATGCTCTTGATGGATAGTTGTCAGAATTTTACTATGATAGTTTGGCACTATTATGTACATAGCTTATTGGTAATTTTACTTAGGGCAATATTTTTGTGACAAATATTTTTTAAGTTTTTGCACTGTGATGGTAAATAGCTCTGCTTCTGCTTTAGAGATCAATGAGATTTTAAAATATAGGTCACTGAATATTAAAGAAACTCATTAAATTGATAAAGCCAAAGACCAGTGACTGAAAACCAAATAATGGTAGCTATTATGTGACAAAATAAATATATACAGAATAGGAAGGATTTAAAAGGTACTATAATGTATATAAATGGATATACAGATAATTTTCAATTAGTATTGTATGTTTTGTTTGGCTATATAAAAATGACAAATATTGAAATGGCAATCATGTATTAACAATACTGTATTCTTAAAAGCTCTGAATGAATAACAATTTACAAGACTCTCAATATAAAGCTTTCAACTCTTGCCTATTCTTCATTATCGCTAGTAAAATGTGCCCGAATTTCTGCACAGAATTCGGGTATTTCTGCCCGAAACGCTGCACGTACTAGTGGCTTTACAAGATTGTAATTACCATATTATGAATCCTCACATTCCCAATGTACCTTCTTGTATATGCATAAATAAATAAATAAATAAATAAATAAATAAATAAATAAATAAATAAATAAATAAATAAATAAATAAATGTGTTCTTATACACACAGCACTTGCTCTTAACCTTGGAAATTAAGTTCTGTCTGTCTTGATCTTTGGCAACATGGCAGGTGAGACCCAAGACTGAACAGCCTAAACCTTCAAGTTCTGCTACAGCTGAATCAACATTGGCTTGCTTTCTGCTGCTGACCACGACGTGAGCACCATCTTCACCCAAGCGACGAGCAATAGCCAAGCCAATCCTGCAACATTTGTAACGTTTACAAATATAACCTGAAGTAGGGTGCATGGGTTTAAGCCATCCACAATTATGTGGTGCAATCTGCCTCACATCTCCATTTTCCTTAAATTCCTTTCTACTGAATTTTCCCAAATTCTTGTGTTTGTACTTGTTTTGCATATTGATGGAATCTTCCCCATGTAAGAGCAATGAAATCTTGCCAAACATAAAAACTGTGAATACTGTACAAGAAAATAGGCCTAGATCAACCCATATTCACAAATTGTAATTTAAAAAAAAATATATTTCTGTATATTGTATAATTACATTTTACAATATCCTTCAGGCTTTTTTTTTTTTAAATATCATGGGTTAGATTAGGCTTTCCAATTTGAATGTTAATTGTCTGTCAAAAGAAGTGACCTGCACACATACCATATACCGTAACCTAATGGTCATATTAGAACAATCCAATCCCTAAATGTTTCATGCTTAACACTAAATGCAACACCTTATGCTGAACTAATACTGCAATATTCTAATATCCAAGAGTCAATATGTTACTAATAAACTAGCACAAAAAATACAAATTGCAGTACAATGTAGACCTATTGTAGACCCAATGAGTATGCTCCATACTTTTGGAAAAGGGTGCCACAGATGGAAAACATGTGGCTCTCATGGTAAGGAGGTAAAGTAAGGTAATTATGAGAAAAAAGTGCTAAGCCAGTACAGCTTTACAGTACAGTACTGTACTTGCAAGGGAATATGATGACATAAATCTACAGATTCATTACAATTATGAACTTTTACCTAACATAGAAACTGTAGATTTGTTTGATATCTGAATTTACCACAGATGTCCACGGTTGTTAAACAGCCTCCCAGCGAGTGCAAGAAATATTGCCATAACAACTATGGACATTTTCAAGAGAAAACTAGATAATTTTCTTCAAGGAATACTGTATCAACCAGGCTGTGGTGGATATGTGGGCCTGCAGGCCGCTCCAAGCAACAGCCTGGTGGACCAAACTCTCACAAGCCAAGCCTGGCTTCGGGCTGGGCTTGGGGAGTAGAACTCCCATGACCCCATCAACCAGGTACCTGAAGGCTATTATCTCTTGAGTGGCCTTGATGATGACAGGAAGCCGGCAACTTGTCAAAGTTCTTGATTTTCACCTGATGATTTTATCGAGCTTGTTCTTGAAATATAGAAGTAGTTTGGCACTTACGGCTACAGCGGGTAAGCAGGTAAACGGGTTTATAACTATGAGTGAAGTGGCATCTACTGTTTCCTGTCCTATATTGTGGCTTGTTGCTCCTTGTGTTACAACGGATCATTTAAAGAAGTTGTCTTGTCAATATCCTCCAAATTATTTCGTATTTTAATAAGTTTTGATGAGATCTGCCCTGTCATGCCTGGTGTGCAGAACATTGTTAGCCTTGAGGCCCTCAACCCTTCCTGGTGTGGGAGTTGGTAACTATTAGCAGATCAGTACAGTAGTGTCAGTACAGAAGCAGTGCATTAATCATACAGCTGTCAAGGCAGAAACCATGGGCTAAATGGTTCATTCACCACTGTCATTTAGCTACAGAAAATCTAGGGGTTTTCTGTGGATAAAATTGCTGAGCTGTACAGAACATTGGGCTCCTGAACCCATTATGTAACTGTAACCTTCTCACCACCGCCCCAATGAGTACAAAGTCCATACTACACTACAAGAGTCATATTAACCCAAGACCAGAGTAACAAACCAAACAAGGATGCACAATTACCCGTCGGTGGAGGCAGTGACAATGGCCACCTTATCCTGGAGCTTGGCACTGTGCTTGGCCTGGGTGGACATGTTCCTGACACTGGAGGGCCGGGCACGCAGGAGGGCCAGGCTCAGGCCACGGTAACCCACCACCATCCTCCCGGGGAACGTAGTGTCTCACAAGATGATAGTGGAGACGCCGCCGATAACCTTGAGACAAGCTCCAGCAGCGCCCCGTCTAGACACTCGGCCTTTACACTAATTCCTTTCTCCTTCCTTTATTATAAGATATACTCATGCATGTATGTGGTGAACTGTGGCATATTGGTCTTGCTATCTATGTATGCAGCAAAATATTGAAATTAAATTGAAATAAGTTTATTGAGGTAAAATACACACAAAGGGATGATGTAGCTCAAGCTATTCTCACCCCGTTCAGTACATCGTGTTAATACATACATAGACACACATCACAAACAATAAACATATTACCAAACATTCTGAGAGATAAACATCTACATTTCCTAGCAAAATATAGGCAAATAAAAGAAAATATTGATAATTTATTGAAGATAAACATTGAGAGGTTATCATTTAGCACCGTAGGATTGGTACCATTATCAGAACAAAGCGCCGAGCCAGTATGACTATTACATTTATGGGTTAAAATGAAGTAATATTAGTACAGTATTATTCCTTGGTAACGTATATTAATAATACACCCTGACTTTATACTCAACCCATCTCGTCTTACAAATTTTTCACTGAAACGTTCTTTTGAGATATACTATAAATAGCATTTATAGCAATGTAAATCAATTTAAATTTATTTTTAAATATTAATAAGCTTATATGCACAATTAATATACATATTTACTGCTAGGTGAACACTTCGAGATAGCATGTGTATAAGAAATCCTTCCCTAACGTCTCGCTCCTTTACCTAAATTTACCTGAGGGCCGCTAACACTCTAGTGGCCTCGACGTGGACAGGAAGCTGACAGCTTGTCAAAGGTTCCCACATTTGCCCTGCTGATTTTTTTTCAAGCTGGATTTTAAAATTCAGCGGTTTTGGCTTCAGCGGGTAAGCTGTTCCACAGGTTTATTACCCTGTGGGTGAAAAAGCATCTCCTGTTTTCTGTCTTGCATTGTGGCTTGTTGAGCTTCCAACCATTGCTCCTTGTTTGTGTTACATCTGACCTTATGAAAAAATTGTTTGAATCAATATCCTCCAAATTGGTCAGTATTTTAAAGGTTTTAAAGGTTTCGATTAAACCACAAGTTAAGTTTAACAAATCTTAGACAACACTCACCAGTGGGCCTCGAACCTAGAAAGCACAACTACCTTCCAGTAGATGCCATAACTAGTACGCCTTAGCCCACTACACCAAATCAGACCACTAAAAGAGATAGAGACTTCAAGGTATTTACCTCAAATATCCCCATCTCCCAAGGGCACCAGATTGGTGAGGGGTTACTTCACATTTTTTCATCAAGCCACTGTCAATGTGGGAAAATTCGTGTCTATGCAGTATGCACTAACTTGCTTAAACCACAAGTGAAGTTTAACAAACTTTAGACAACACCCACCAATGGGCCTCGAACCCAGAAAACACAACTACCTTCTAGTAGCTGCCATAACTAGTACGCCTTAACCCACTATACTAAATCAGACCCCTAAGTTAAGAAGGGAAGGGAACTATCAAGTGAAAGCGCCAAGCCATTACGACAATATAGCACTGGGAAGGGATCTGTTGGGATGGGACGGGGGAAAGGAATGGTGTCCAACCACTTGGACGGTCGGGGATTGAACTCCGGCCTGCATGAAGCGAGACTCGCTCTACCATCCAGCCCAAGTGGTTAGACTTAATAAGGAGATATCATTATTTGACCCCCTGGACAGATTGTTGGCATGACGTCACAGTTTAAATTTCTCGGCAATATTGTCGGGGGAGAGTTTATATAAATACTATTGACAAATAGTTACTAGAAGCTTTACTTTTATAAGTGCGTAATAAAGATTTCAATATATATTTATGTAAATTGAGTGTAGTAATAACTTTCCAGTTAAATTATAATTCATTGGCTTTATATAACATCTTGTCGTTGTCAACATACTTCAGGCTTACTCTACACATCACATGTAATTCACAAACATTATTCGTACTGTCCCAACAACTATTAAAACAATGGTAATTGATTTGTATTTAAAATAAAATATACAGTCGTTAAAGTAGTGTTTATGTGTGTATTATATAGTTTTATTGTTTATTTTACAACGCGACTAAGTGCGCGCAGAACGTTTCTAAAAAAATGTGTATTGAAAATTCTGAAAAAGTGTGAATTGTATACACCTCATAAGAACCAAATATTAACTAACAGTTTGTAATTAATTTAATAAATACCTAATAAATATTACAAGACCAAATAAAAGAGTGAAATAAGGAGACGAGAGAGAGGGTGAGTGTAGGAAGCTCGGGTTACCACATGAGGGAGCAGGTCGTCCTCGCCGCTGGTCTTGTGGGTATTTTTACTTGAATATACCTGCTACAGGCCTCCACAAGGACAAGAAGCCGGCGGCTTGTCATAAGTCCCCTCTTTAACACATGTACGTACTTACAGACTACGGCTGCTGCTCGCTCCTGGCCACTGTATTCCCTCTGAGGGAATACAGCGGCTGTATGCCATTGGATGATCTGGCCTGTATGCACATATGGTTTTAAATATATCAACACACAATAGAATAAGTACTGTACGGTGGACAGAAATCGGATGTCTAGATTCAGTTAACACCTGGGCAAATACTAGTTTCGATATGAACAAATTACTGGGTAACCATAATTAGGTTACTGGGTAATAGACGTGGGGTCGCAGGATTGTTTCAAGCGTAGGTTTGACATGTATGTGAAAAGAGTTTGGGTGGATATACAAGAGCGGCCACATATTGACAGCTGCCCCTCTGCTGCGAGGGGCCTCACGGCTGAGAGGACAGCGCTCTGGGGTCGTAGTCCTAAGGGCCCGGGTTCGATCCCCGGTGGAGGCAGAAGCAAATGGGTAGAGTTTCTTTCACTCTGATGTACCTGTTCACCTAGCAGTAAATAGGTATCTGGCGTTAGACAGCTGCTACGGGCTGCTTCCTGGTGATGTGTGCATGTGTTAGAGAGAAATATATGTAGCAGACATAATAGAGGAAAAATAAAATTAGTTAGAAAGGTGATGTCCAAGAGCTAATAGCTCAATTCTGCAGATACAAATAGTAAATATATGAGTCAACCTTGTGAAGTTTCTTTATTTCTTATGTATTTTGAGATTTATTTTTCATTTTTGCTTCATCTTATTATATGTTGTTCATTTTTGGGGAACTGTGATACTAATAACCCAGAAGACTGGGTTTAATTATTTTTGTTCAATTGGTTATCAAAAACAGGCATGTATTACTTTCACAATTTATTTGTATCATTCATGGACAGGGGATGGATTATTTTACAGGTTTATTTATAAGAGTTTTATTAACTTGAGTGGACCTTTGTTGCCAATTGAAGCATTACCATGGGGTGTAGTAGTCCTTCTTAATGGTTTTTCGATAAGTCACATTCTTCCAGTAGCCAAATTTTCCAAGTGTTCTTTTGAAAGTTTTCAAAATGCAGAGCCCAACATGCAAGGTCATCATTGGCTATGGTGCTATATTTGACTCTTGGCTTAACAAGTACCACATCTTGTTTTCTTAATGTTGATACCTTATATTAATTTCATTGCCCTTATTTTTAGTTCCCATGCAAATATAATTGTTCTCTGTAACATAAGACTAGCCCCTAAAGTACCATCTAAGGCATTCAGTTTGGCAAAGACCCTAGTGCTCTGACCTTGTTTGCTCTCCCAAACTTGTCAACATTTGAAGTTATTCAAAGTGTTTGTAGAAGATTCTGTTGGACCACCTCATCAACATAGGGTATTTGCTAGAGGAAACAAAGTGACAAAGATGAAAATAGTAGCTATTACCTTTGTTTCTTACACACTATGTCTCTTGTCTGCAGATATTTATGCCAACTACAAAACAATCAAAATGGAGAAAACTCAAGCTAACAACAACAAGTTACCATCAAATTTACCACAACTGCAGAACCTCATCAAGCGTGATGCCGCCTCTTACGCAGAAGAATTTGATAGGCAATATTCGGTCTATAAAGCTACGCGTGTTATCTTTGAACAGAACCCAACCGTCTACATTGAAGACTTGTACCAGATGGTGATGTTTTTAGCTCAAGTGAGTTCCTTTATTTTAATTTACTTATAGGGGTATGACCTGTCATAGATTTATGGGTTTCATGGAGGAATAATATAGTTTTACTGATTGTATTATTAGGTTTAAGATCCAAGATTTTCAAGCTAACTCCAATCCATGTAGTTATAGCTGCATGGATTGGTAGTGCATACCACGATGTTTGTGAGATAGAATACTATACCATTGGTTGGAGACAGGAAGGCCATGTTAGACTTATGAGGCCTTCCTAGACAAATGCAAAACATTGCATGGTCAGCCATCCAGTGCTCATCTTAACCTGGTCAACTTAGTGATGTGCAATGCAAAAAATTGGCAAATCAATAATTAGGAGAGCTTATCTAGATGGTTCACATTGAATGAATGGATAATGATGGCCTGATGAAGAGTGGGTATTTGAGTGAGTTGATGGGAGGAGGAGAGAAATACAGAGATAAGTAGACATAGTAAGTGTGTAAGGAAATGGGTTCAGTCAGCGGCACCATGATATGTGGAGGACAATGTTGGGTGGCTGCAGTTTGGGACGAGGGAGTGAGTGTTTTGATTGTACTGTACAGCTTAACCTCACTTAAAGGGACTGACTGGGACGAGACCAGTTTTGCTTTACCAAGAATTCCAGTCAAAGTATTTCTCTTGTTGCAAATTAGTTGTTTCTCCAAAATAATAAAACACATTTTTGTGCATATAGTACATATAGATAAATTTATATTTAAACTGTTTTTTAAATATACTGGATAATAAAATAAAAGAAAAACAAGGGAAAAACTACCTATGTAGAGTTTTTTTTACTTCAAGAAGAGTTGATTAATCTTTTTTACCCTCTGTAGGCACAGTGTGAGCACTGTATATAGTACAGCACTGCATGTATTATACAGTAATGTAATGCAAACATTACAAAATTCTACTATTAAGTTGCAGCATAATTCATTTATATGTAGCCTCATATATGTGTAACTTAGTGCTTTCTCGTCATATAAAACCAAAGCATACAAAGTAATATTATTATTCTCTTTCGACCATTGCCACCAGTTCTTTGTCTTGGCATTAAACTTAAAAATCTTAATCTGTACAGTATGTATATACCGGTACATACAGTAATATATATCAACCCATCCTCACGAAATAAAAACACTTATAATAACTATTGGGTCAAAAGTACTATACCAATATGTAGTGATGGGCACTAGAAAGTTGACTTTTGTATTATTGAATTTGGACAAACTGCAAACTACTTTAACCACAGCATAAATGTAAGACATAACCTACCCTCTTTTAGCAATTCTAGGCCTAATACATGCTGTCATTGGCTTAATATAGTACAGTACCTATGTGCTATACTAGGTCTAGGAATATTTAAGTTTTCTTAGCTTTATTTTTTCTAGAGTATAAAATTAATAGTACAAAAAGTGGTTTACTAGCAGTCCATCACTCATATTGGTACTTTCCACCCAAAAACTACTAAAAGCACTATAATTTCAGAAGGATGGGTTGATACGTACAGTACTATATAGTATGTCCAAAACTATACTAGTGCCAATAATAAATTATTCAAGCTGTTTTACCTTTCTTAGTCTATTGAACCTTTTTTTTTTCTATAGTTAAATATCTACTTTCTCCCCTACTTGTTTTGCATAATTACTGTTATTGGTTGACATCTTTTCAATTCACAAATAAGGAAATGACAAAGAAAATCGCTGTAATAAAAATCATTGAATACAGAGGTTCTTCTATACGATCACAAAGGTAAAAAGCACACCTTCAGGATACATTGAGTTACATTATTGCCGAGACCACCACAGAAAAAAAATCCTATGAACAAGCTACTGTACATACAGTATTGCAATTTAGTTTTTTAATAAATATTAAATTGAAGAAATACTGTACATTTTTTTTACCAGTATTAACCACTAAAGGTATATTAAAAACTTGGAAAATATGAAATATAGTCCAGGACTGTGTGTTTTGTTGCCGAGGTGGATACTCTACCATGACAGCATGGTGAAGACGACGCCATACACTGGCGTCTTCCGTCTTCCAGCTGAGGACCATCAGCTGGTCCATCAAGATAGTTCTATGAAGCGTTGGATTGCTTGATATGGATGATTTTTGTTTAAGAGGTTGTGCTTGTTTATCCATGAGGCTGTTGGATATTGTTGATTGTAATTTTGTAATACTATACAGTACCTGGTATCTTAACTTTATTTTTTCTGTATTGTACTGCTTTTTTATCTCCAGGCTAATGCCTCACCACAATACAAAATTGGGAAAGAAAGTAGGTAGTGATGATGTAATAAACTTTTACTCCTGCAGGTAGCACAATGTTACCCAGACAAGCTCAGTGACTTTCCCCAAGACTTGGTAACTCTTCTCAAACGCCATAATACCGTCTTGCACCAAGAGATGCGGATGGCATTTGTTAAGGCACTGGTGCTCTTGCGCAACAAAAACATGCTTTCTCCCATAGATCTTCATATGCTCTTCTTCCAGCTTCTACATTGCCAGGTGAGTTTACAAAAATAATCAACTTTAATTGTTATTGGTACACAAGTGCATCTGTTTTATTTTTGTAATTGTTGTAGTGTTTATACAATATATGCCATTTTAAAGTTCTTGCACTGTAAATAATGATACTGTAATTTCAGAAATGTTGCTGCATAGTTCCCTTACACTGTACTTTCATTTGAAGTTTTAATTACACTTTTCAGGACAAGAGGCTCCGCCAGTTTTTAAAGCGGCACATAGTTACAGACATCAAAAACATTAATTCTAAAGGCAAAAATATGAAGTTGAACAAGGAGCTACAAAACTTCATGTATGAGATGCTTACATCCAAGCATGCAGTTGCTGCTAAAACATCTCTAGGTGTGATGATTGAATTATACAATAAGCATGTTTGGAATGATGCCAAAACTGTGAACATCTTGGCAACTGCATGTTTTTCAAAAGTTACCAAGATTATGGTAGCTGCAATCAAATTTTTTATTGGTCAAGATAAAGAAGAAGGAGAAGAAACGGATTCAGACAGTGAATCTGAGGATGAAAAAAAAGTTTTAAAATCTACATTGATATCTGTGAGGGTTAATAAGAAAACAAAAAAGAAGCAAAGAATACTTGAAAGAGTAAAGACAGTTGTGAAAAAGAATCAAAAGAAGAAGAAAACTAAGACCAACTTTGACTTTTCAGCTTTGCACTTAATTCACGATCCACAGGACTTGGCTGAGAAACTGTACAAACGTTTGGAAAAAATGAACGAGAGATTTGAGGTTAAATTAATGACCATGAACATGATCTCTCGTCTGATTGGTGTCCATCAGCTGTACTTGCCTAACTACTATCCCTTAGTTCAAAGGTTCTTATTCCCTCATCAACGTGAAGTTACCAAGGTTATGGTATTTGCTGCCCAAGCAGCACATAGCCAAGTTCCTCCAGATGATTTAGAACCAGTGGTTCGTACGCTTGCAAACAACTTTGTCACTGAACGTTATTCTAGTGAGGTCATGGCAATGGGTCTAAATGCAATAAGGGAGCTGTGTGCAAGAAATCCTTATTGTATGTCAGATGATTTATTACAAGACTTAACTCAGTATAAGACTCATAAGGACAAGGGAGTAATGATGGCTGCCAGATCACTTGTATCTCTTTTCAGGGATAAAAATCCTGAACTTCTCGCAAGGAAGGATCGGGGTGCTCCAAGTGAGCTTCGTGTGGAGAAAAAGGTAGAACAGTTTGGAGAAAACAAAGCTATAAGCTATATTCCTGGGGCTGAAATTCTTACATTTAAAACCCATGGCGATGATGAAGGCATTGGATTAAGTGACAGTGAAGATGGTGAATGGGTAGATGTCCAAAACACTGATGATGAAATAGATTTAGATGATGATGATGATGATGATAAAGCTGTCAATGAAAGTACAGACACTCCTAATGAAGAAACAATCTTTTCCAAAAAAGATGCCTTGAAAGAAGTAATGAAACTGACTGCAGAGGAAAGAGCCGCCAGGGCAGCTGATGTTGTAAGTTCTCGGTTTCTTACGGATGATGATTTTGCCAAAATAGCTGCAGTTCAGGCAGCCAAACAGGTAGAGAAGTTCAGTAAAAGTAAAAAGAACAAGAAACGAAAAAGGGAAGATGGAGACCAAGCTGAATCTGGTGAGATCGTATCGTTAAAAAGTATCGAAATGATTTATAAGAAAAGGAAACATTCGAAGGAAGCCAGAATGGAAACTGTCATGGCAGGAAGAGAAGGTAGAGAGAAGTATGGTACGAAGAAAGGGCGTATGAATCCAAATGCATCGACTACTAACAAGGAGAAAAATAAGGGCAAGAGTTTCATGATGGTCAAATATAAAGTGGGCCGAAAACAAAAAAAGTCTTTCCGAGATAAGCAGATAAAGTTAAGAAATTCATTGTTAAAACAAAGGAAGAATTATTAATTGTATACTCATTTGTTTTCTTTATACCTAAATGAAATACCTATACATAATTTATAATATGCTGCTAATTTGTCAATTGTTCATGATTTTGGCTACACAGCAATAAATATGGCCGATTTTTTATTTTTACGGTTACTGTATAATATTTGTTTTGCATTTTTTTTTTTACCTAAAAATCATTTGGGAAGTGTGGTTATGTGCAAGCTTGAAGTGTGGATTGAGATCATTAGGTGGGGACATTGCAGTCAGGCAAAGACAGCTAAAATTAAGTCCATATATTTCATACTCTAAGTTATGTTGTATAATTCAGTATACTTCTTATTATACTTATGATGCTGTATAATATTTATCTGCCCTTAATTATTGCCTTTCTAAATTACAGTATTTCTGAAGCAATTTAATGTTAAGAAAATTTGCAGTTATTAATTAATGGCTCTTAATTAAGAAATATCTATGTCTAAAAAATTGTGCCTGAACTTCAACACTTTGTATATTCTGTTGTGTTGGAATCTTAATCCAGGACTAGGTACTAGAACTAGTTAAGTTATTCAATACTGTGTGTGTGCAAGAGGCCTCCAATGAGTTCAACAGGAGGGCACCATGAGAAAGTAATAGTATGACTTTGTCTATGAAATAGCTTTGATCTTTTCTTGAACAGTTACACAGATGGTTTTCGTCAACATGCAACTTAATTAAATAATCAGGCGTTGAAAATTATCTACTGTATTCTGTTAGTTTTGCATAAATCAAAAGGATTTTGTTGCACCTAAATTAAATGTCTGGTTAAGATACCCCTCGCAGTGAGTACATAGAATAAAATAAAGTTTTGTTTACAGTACTGTATATGTGACTGTATGTTAAAGAAAATGTACAAGTCACATTTTGACATAAGAGTATCCATTGTTAGAAGGCAAGTATCTGTCATGCACACAAATGTCATTAAATTATCATTCACTATACACCTCAATTTGAATAATGCAGGAAGGTAACCAAGGAAAGCTCAAATATTGTGACACTTGAGCTGAAGCTGGCAATGGTATATACCATGAATAACAAGACTATTACTACTACAATACTAATATTTATGCTGTAGTGCATCACAAAAGCATATTGATAAAAAATACTTTATAATGTACTTCACGTGGGCAGATATAGTGGAAAATGCTATAATGAAGAAATGTTGATTCCAATATTGCTATAAAATTTTGAGGGACAGTAAATAAGTATATGAATACTGTAATATATTTTATAATTTATATAAATTATAGTAGTAAAAATGATAATACTGTAAAAAAAATATAATGATGTGATTGAGCATATTTAATAATGAGATTATATACTCTGTTGACTTGGGTGTGTACAGTACTCTTACAGTATAAAGGTATATAAACTAAATAATAATTTAATTATTAAAATAAATAAACCACACTTTGCATATTTCCTCACCTATCGTTTATATATATGAATGATTATGCATAGTGTTATGTAGAGATACAGCGGTACCAGAGGCAGTGAAAACCAGCAATTAAAGAACAAGGCAAGTTAATGAAAACTTAAAAATGCATTGGACTGAACTTTCTATAAGGTTTGTATCTTATCTGTAGTGGTCTTGATCTGACCTCCAACCTCACTGATTTATCTTCAAAGACACATGATACAACTTCAGCGAGGAGGAGCACCGAGTGCTTTCTTATTGGAGAAAGAAAAAGACTGCCTAATTCTATGATTGTAATTTATCAGTGAGGGACAGAGCCAGTTTCATAACTAGGATAATGAATATACAGTAATGATACAATTCTGCTTTAGATATTGCAGAACACAGGACAGGAGATCGAGTTTTATATGAGCATCCCATGAGCTATTACAGGAGATTATGTTTATGTAAATTGGTAAAAACATGAACTCTTGTTACCTATGGTACCTACTACTGAAAATCATAGTATAGAACAGTATTTTCTTAATTTGAAAGTTATTAACTGTTGAAGTTTGGGATTATTTTCTAGACCTTTCATTACAGTGAATGGCTATATAATGAATATTTTTAAATATATTTTTGTATTCAATATATTGTTAATATCCTAAATCTTTCAATCAAGAGAGCTCTTCAATTAACTTGCACTGCTCCGAATGCCATATGAAATGTTCATAGGGAGCTGCTGTACATATAACATTTGCTTCATTTTGAGATTACAATCATCAGCTGGCATTTGATGCTACTCTCAAGGCTTGCCATCATTTGAAAATGTATCTCGAGTCCCTGAACCCATCAACCTAAACCATGTCCTCCAACTAAACTCGACGGAGTGACCATTATGCCACATTCACCCAGTAATGCGACCAAAATGCTTAATTTCACCAAACTGATTGTTTTCTAACAGTAATTTTGAATACAATGTAATATATATTAGGTAGAAGACGTGGCTGTACTTGCAGGAGTAGGTATCGAGGATGTTGTGGCCTTCTGGAGTTCAGGAGGGTGGGATCCTGATCATATATAATAATAGAAGAGGAATGAACTAAAATTACCATTTAGGGCAATTTGTTTCAGAATTTAATGCAACATAATTTATAAACAACTCTGACCAATTCAATTATAATTTTGAGATGTATGCTAGGGTTGACATCCATTTAGTGTACATTGGGAAGGAGTGGATTAAAAGTACTGAGGAGAGGGGGCTTTATATTAGGATTTCTCAGGGTTTTAACCTCTATAAATTAGTGAGGTAGGTATTCACTGGACCTGTTGGGTGAAATGCAAACCTGTAGGTAGTTATTCAAAGGTGCTAATTCAGTTCAGTTATTAAACACTGTCTGGTACGGAATATTTCGGGAAGCCAATACAGAAGATGAGGGATGCTTACGGAGGATTGCAACTAATTGGTCTCTAGATCAAACCACAGGTAGGGCGAGATGTTTAATATTTCCTTATACCTGATGGCTCTGTTCACCTAGCAGTTAATAGGTAAGTGAGAGTTAGAAGACTGTTGTGTTTTGCTTCCTGGGAAAGGTCAGTCTTTACTCTTAAGCCTTAACTCGAGATGATTTCGGGGCTTAGTGTCCCCATGGCCCAGTCCCCGACCAGGCCTCCCGGTTGCTGGACTGGTCAACCAGGCTGTTGGACGCGACTGCTTGCAGCCTGACGTATGAGTCACAACCTGGTGATCAGGTATCTTTTAAAGGTGTTTATCAAGTTCTCTCTTGAACACTGCGAGGGGTCAGCCATTTATGCCCCTTATGTCTACTGGAAGCGTGTTAACAGTCTCAAGCCTCCGATGTCGATAGAGTTCTCTCTGAGTACCTATTGCACCTCTGATAAGCCCATTATAATCCTAATAGGTTTCCTTCTTAAAACAATGGGACACCCATATTTTTCTCACACATAAACCCGATTAATGTGGCAAATATTCAAAAATATTTATCTGGTTCTTCACTAATAGAAAACTATTGAATATGTTCTAAACACAGTTCTGCCTACTGGTGACCCTCAATTTGTATTGGGATTGTGTTCCTGTAAAAACTAAATAGAAGAACATGCAAATCAAACTTAAGGGTATAGGGGAAAATAGGCTTAGGTTTCAAAAACCTCTAAGCCACTTTCCCCCACTTTAATCACTAAAATGCCTATTTGAACTTCACTATCTAAAGCTTCCTTAAATTTCCCACAGTATGTATAATGAGGCAAGCATACAATCCACAAATTTCATTGAACTGGAATGTGGCATAGTGGAAGCCCCATAAACTACAGGGAAAAAAAGCTACACCTATGGATTTGTCAACCCATCCTCCTGTTTAGATAGTACCCATTGTGACGATCATCAATACTGTAGTCAAAACTTGTACGTTCTTAGGGTTTAGATACTAGTATACTGACTAGTAAGGAATTCTTTTAAAATTAAGCTAAAACACAAACTTAAATATTCCTAGGCCTAGTATAGCACACATGTACTAGGCCTAGGAAGGTTAGGTTAGTTTGTCAAAGCAACACAAGTAAAAAATAGTTTTCTGGTTTGTCCAACTCAATAATTCAGATTTCTACGTTCTAATTTCGTTGTACGTCTGTATATATACATACTATGGTCCTTATTATTACTAAGCACTACTGAAACAGGAGGATGGGCTGGGATTTGCTGTGTTATTCCACACTATTCATTCATCCTTGTGCTGCATTTTGAAATACTGTACTATAAAGCACTTACCCTAATATCATCGAACCTTCCTCCAAAACCATGCAAATAAAAGGGTTACATTCCTTATTATTACACTTCTGTAATACTATGTATCAAGAGCAAGTCTTAAATGTATATTCAAGACTCACTCAAACTGTGTACTCTCTGGAACAGGAGAGAAAATAAATAAATATTAACAAGGAAAATACTTGAAGATCATGTTCCAAACTTACACAGTAAAATGAGTGAGAGATATTGTACAAAGTGTAGAAAAAAAAACATTGAACAGTAGGGAGTGTGAACATTAGAGGTCCATGACTTCAATGTTCTGCCAGCAAAAATAAAACAAAATATAACTGAAATAAAAGTGAAGCTTTCAGAAAGAGACAATGATAAGGTTCTACAAGAGATGCTACACCAGCTAGGATGTGATAAGCTATATGAGCCTATGGAGAGTTAACATGGACGCATTTGACTGTCTCTGGGTTACCCATTCCATCCTCTGCTACAATACATTACATGCAAAAATAGCATTTCATATTTTTTGGTATATACTGTTTGTGTCAACCCATCCTCCTGTTTAGATAGTACCTATTGTGATTGTGATGGTCGTCAATAATCACGAATTCTTACATACTTAGCCTTTAGATAGTAGTATACTGACTAGTAACGAATCTTTTAAAATAAACGAAGCTAAAAAACAAACTTAAATATTCCTAGGCCTAGTATAGCACACATATGTACTATATTAGGCCACATATGTACTATATTAGGTCAGTATATATACTATGGTCCTCATCGTTACTATGAGTACAGTACTGTACTACCAAAACAGGAGGATGGGCTGTTTATATAGACATAATTCTTTATATTGTCTGAATATGCAGAAACCCTTTATTGACTAATTTGCAATTAAAAATCTATAAAAATATGGTAATAAATAGCCCCAAAATAGCATTTATTTGGAAACCTGAATTATTATTGGTTCTGGATCAAATCCAGAACACCATCAATTAGATTTTGAAGGTTCCATAACTCAACCATATAATAATAAATTGAAGAATAATATAGGATTATGGATCAATAAAATTAATATTAAATTTTAATAAAAATTACAAAGTTCGCAGATTACACTTGAAAAACTAAATAAATAACAATTACAGCATATATATATATATACATCTTAACTGTTTATTATGACTAAGAAAATTGTATGGTAATGTATCCACATTGTATGGTAATGACTAGATTTGAAAGCCACGTGAAAAATGTATTACTAAACCTTTGTAACTGTTGAATATTAAAACAATGTTAGGTAATCAACCACTGTTGTAACCAGGAATCTGATAAAAATTGTATGTTTTGCATCCAGTACAATAGTTGGCCAATTGTAAATAACACACACTATTGTAACTTTAGTTCTAGTTTGTTGACTTTTTTTAACAACTAGTAATCATAAACTTGTAATAATCATAAAGTAATCAAAAAATCATAATCACATTTCACTGCTCTCTAATGCAAAATTTGAGTCACAGTGGTCTCGGATCAATTAGCATGTCTGTTGTGATGTTGCAGGATATCTGTTGATAAGATAACTGGGACTAGATTCACCATGCAAGTCAAGGCACTGTAGCTAAGCTACAGAGACCAAAAGCCAATCCTAATTATAAGGGACGAATGTACTGTACATTATTTTAGTGTTATTTTGGAAAAGCCAAACAAGACAGGATTAAACCACATGAGGGCTAATAGACTATAAGAAGATGCAGCAATGGCAAAGAATGTTAAATAGTAATTCCAAACGTTCTTTTGTTCCGATAATCATCCAAACTAATGAGATCTGAGATGCAGTCACCTGTTTTCATTATCAGTTTGAGATAAGTAAATGAAGAGCAACCGTCCCAGTGCCTTTCAGTGAAAGAAGCACATGTTTTTGTCAAAAGGATATGCCACGATGCTGCAGAAATTTCACATCATCCTAAGTCTTCAAGACATTTAAACCTTTCTGGAGTTGTCATCTGCTAGATGATCCAAAGTGAACGAACAAGGTGTTAAATACTATCTTTTGTTCTATAGAATGACCTTTGAATAGGTAAGGCCTTATTGCCAATAAGTTCATAGAATAATTCATTCTTGCTTTTTCAAAGAAACTAAATAATTTAGTGCCATGACAAGTTAGAAATTACCTGTGGCTAGAAGACTAATACAGTATCAAGGTTTATGATTTCTCCTTCATGTCAGTGCCTACTACATTTATAAACAGATAACAATCTGTAAATGGACTGTTTTCAATCACATTTAGTATCCAGCTATGCAAGGGTGTACAGTACATGTTTTCTCTTAATGGACTGGCAAGTGCAGGGCTGGAGATATCTAATTATTTTATTATTTTAAAGTGGAAGATTTCAGTCTCATTCCTTCTTCATGCTTTCCTTGTCCTTCATAATCAATTGCAGAAAATCCTTCTATCCTTCCCTATTCTCTTTTCCTACTCCATTACATCACTAAGCACCAAAAAGTGTATACTCTATGTACTGTGTATTATTTTTATTTATTTATTTATTTATTTATTTAAGTATTTAAGGTGATAGCTTATAGAAATCCATAGCAAAAATTAGCAGTTATTTTAAGAATCTGTCAAAAGATAAGAATATGCTAAAATATGGTTATTTTGTTAGTGTAAATGTGTATAAAAAACTTTTGCCTAAAAATTGCTGTGAACTATTGCTAGAGTGCTCATCACTAAATGTGTGTCCCTCTGCACTTGAATTTACATACTGTACAAATCAACTAAAGGACAGTCTTCTTTGTAGTGGTTAGCAAATTCTCAGAAGTACGAGGACCCGAGTTTGAAGCCTAGACAGGGTGGGATATTTGGCCACTCTTCAACTCTGTGCATCCAATTTCCAAGGGAACAGAGCGGTTATACGTAAAGGAATGTAAAATAATTATAACCTTCAGATTAGATTTCAAAATATACAAGCTAAATCCTTCACATTAAATAAAGATAATTATGGAAATGTGAATTGAATTTTCAGCAAGATGGGCCTTTACTTTAAAAATGTGTACACAATGTTGACAAATGAGCGACTCAGTGCATACATTGTACAAAAGTTTGAAAAGAATAGACTGACAGGTAATATTGTACCAAATACAAATGTTACTTAGGCTCATAAATATTAAAACAACAGGATATTAAATAAAATGAAATGTTTTTTCAGAGTTGGTCCCCTGGTAGCTTCTTTGAGCCAGCAGTGTATATGGGTCCATTCATACACATGCCACCTGCCTACTCTCAATGACTTTTTCACCCATCATGACCAATAACAGCTCAGAACCTGTGTCAGCCAAAGCAGGGAATTGCAAGCACTGGAAACACATTGCACAGGTCTTCAAATACACAGACCCACCATAAGCTGCACAACACAAGGAGAACTCAAGCAGTGTTAATGTCTACAACTGACACAGGTCACACGCAAAGATGAAACTGATCAGGTACCCAATAGAGGTATGTTGGAGGCAAGAAGGTAGTATCAGAAAAAGGGGAGAAGGGCCACATATTTCAGACTCGGTAGGGATACCATACCGACCTGACCAATGAAGCCTTGAAAAGACAAGTCTTGAGTACAGGTAACTATGCCAACCAACTTCAAGATGAAGGCCAAACAGGCAGCTCAACCACAAGTGGACTGTACTCTGTGTAAACTAACCAAAACCCATCATCCAGAGTCGATGATGGTTACTGATGATGGTAGCTCGAGGCAAAGACACACAATGTCCCTATGCCCTCAAACAGCATGAAGAGAAGTGTCAAAGAACCACACACAGTCTTGCAGTGAATAGTGTTCTGAGTGGATCATTCAGTTCCGACTACAGGAGCAGCCAAGAAGTCTAAGGTCAAGAGTGTTACCCTATATGACCTTATGGAAGAGTGAAGAAATATATGTTTTTGGGCAAAATAGGAATGTTAATTATATTTCTCATCTTTCCCAGAGTTGTATTCTATTTTTTGTGGTCAAGACAATTTAAATAAACTTGTATTTACCTTACCTGATTTACCTGAACCATTTACTAACCATAGTGGCCTCAACGGGGACTGGAACCCAGCAGCTTGTCAAAGGTCCCCCCCATTTGCCTTGATGATCTTTCCTAGGTATATTTTGAAACTCAACACAGTTTTGGCAGTTACGGCTTCGGTGGGTAGGCGGTTCCATGAGTTAATAACTATGTGGAAGAAAAAGCATCTCTTGTTTTCAGTCCTATATTGTGGCTTGTTGAGCCTGAAACTGCTGCTCCTTGTTTGTGTTACATCTGATCTTCTGAAGAAAATATCCAGATCAACATCCTTTAACTTGAACAGTATTTTAAAAGTTTAAATGAGATCTGCCCTGTCAGGCCTGGTTTGTAGTATTGAAGCCCTGTGGCCTTCAAGTGTTTCTGATATGGCAGATGACTTAGCCCTGGAATGACTTTTGTTGCCCAGTATTGCACTTTCTCCAGAGCAGCTATGTCCTTCCGAAAATGAAGTTTCCATGCTTGGATACAGTAATCCAAATGGGGGCGCACCAGAGATTTATACAGTTGAACCATTACCTTCTTTTTCTCATACTGTAGTCAAAAGTACACTTGATTATCCCAAGAGGTTGGTTAGCTTTTCTAATTGCTGCACCCACCTGTTGTGCAACTTTTAATGAGTGGTGGATTTTGACTCTAAAAGTCCTTTGCTTCATCAATCTGCTGTAATGTAACGTATGAACCATAAATAATTAAATATTTTAAGAACCTTTGAACATGACTAGTTACTTTTTGCAAATTGTTTTTGATATTAAGATCATTATTATTTAAATCAAGTCATTGGTTTAAATAAAAATGTCTTCAAATGCAGACAAGGTCATATTTTATATACCTCTTTTTTTTTTGTTTCTCCCTCATGTCTGAATTCATGTCCATGGTAAAAAGTTTGAATATAAAATTATACCTATAAAAAAATACAATAGGAAATATGACAAAATAACTTGCCCCCAAAATGGCTTAGGAAGCTCTGAAAGAAGAGAAACATGGTAACGCTTGGTCATGTTCGCAAGGCATTCAGCGAGATGATCATCATTTTCTTTGGTGCTTTCCTCCGCAGAGTTCTTTGGATGATCTGAGATAAGATGGGCAGCAAACCAGTACACAACAGGACAACTGGAACACAGTAGTCGTGTGGTCACCTGTTAAAATATCAATCTTTAAGTCAACTATTATATGCCACTTTGCACAAATTTCCTCACAACCCACTGGAATCATAAGTACAGTATGGATAAGGTTTTTCAATTCACTGAGCAACACTACTGTTATTCATTAATAAACTTGGAGAATACATTTGATCACTTAGGGTGGAATTTATTCAAGGTGCAGTCTGTTCAGGATCATCCAGCTATTAAATTCATATGCCCTGGAGTCTTCTTTCCATGGAAAGAAGTTAGAGATGAGTGAAGTTAGATGATCCACACAATACACTCGTCTTTATATTATATTCTTCTTTAATTTTTGTTCCACTTAAGTATGTGTTACTGTATTAATATAAATTGTGGAGCGCAATGAGACAACTGCCATCAATTTTAACAGGATCATTAACAATACTGTAGAGACATGCCTATTGAATTTGAAATTGTTAAAGTCTTCTACCTGAATTCTACTAACAAATAAATTGTACATTAAGTGTGACATTACAAATCCCTATTCAGTCCCATCTTCAACACCTGCTAATTTAAATGAAGGGAAAATGCCTAAGAAGGAGACCCAAATTGCACTCGGTTTTGGTTGGAGTTGGAGACAATGGGTCAAGCATAAGGAACAAAAAAAGGAACTAACAAGGTACTATGCCACATTGAGTACTAATCAGTGTACACAGCCTTGTAAACAAATCAAGTTAAAACAACATAGATTTAAACAAAAAAATTCCAGCTGCCAAATGCATGTTCAAACATGTACCATACAGTAATTTGTTCAAAATTGCTCATAATAAATAGGGAACACAAATGGGTATTAAGTTTGTGGAGAGAATTGTATAGATTAAGTCAATTAAGCTTATATTGTAATTGGTGCATTTTTACCATTTGAAAAAAAAATTGCCTGGAACTTATTACTCCACATATTATTTTATTGTGCAAGTTAAAATACCATAGTAGGTGTATATATTAAATTCTGGATTTTGTATAACGTTAAAATATTTGTTGTGTTATTAAACTGGTAGATGTGACATGGGGTCTATAGTTGTTAATGACAGTGGGATCACACTCTGTGTAATGTTACTCTAGCTTTTGAGCACATCACAAAACGTCTATTTTATGTGTGAAGTAAAGAAGAGATTTCATTCTTCAAAATTGTCAAAACCTGTTAGCAACAAGCCTGAGGCCCCTGTAGTTGGTGGCAGCTGAGAGAGAGCAGGAGCAGTGTTAGTCAGTCGGCCTACTCAATGGGCTCGACGATAAACTTTCCCATGAATATCGAGTATACTGTACTACCAATAGTTATATAATAGTTGAAACCATTTAGTAACAAATTTGAAGTTTATTATATTTGTAAATACTGTAACTTATTTTTAGTAATTATGTAGATATTTGATTCTGAAAGTACAGTACAGTACTTTTCTTAAGTATTTTTGCATATATTGCTTGCAATTTTATTCAAATTAATTTACAATGCTGAATATGTATTTTTTCCAATGTTCAAAAACTTTCACCCTAGGGAAAAAAAAGTTTTCTCTAATGCTGTCTGAAGAGAGGCAGACAGTCAATCAGCGACTTACTTGGACATGAATGCATAGAACACAGAATGCACACAAGCAGAGAGAGTGAGCAGTGTAGATAAATATCCGCCAGGAATTAATGCCATCTTCTGCCCAAAAAACAGTTTGTTTACTGGTCTTTTGTTCTGCCACAGACTGGGGAATGCCTAGAGCCCAACAAACCTAAAAACAAAAAATAATCATTTCAATCATCATGCGTATATATATATGGCATTTATTATTAACCTAAAAATTATAGATATGAATTTGACCAAATATTTGCTTACCTGCTAATATCCCGCTTGCCAACTGGTTGAACAAAGAATAATGTTCGGACAACAACAACAGAGTAACACCAAGAGTAGACTGATTGGAGGTGATATTTTGCCTGCAAGTGTTTCTGAATCTAACAGACACATACTCACGGCACTCACCGTTTATACAGGTCAAAGAAGAAGAGGTGAAAGTGGGAAAAGGTTAGAGAGGTGAAGGTGTAGTGATGTCAGGGGGGCAAGTGATTTATAGAAGCACAATTTAGGATGACAAAACCACATGTCAGAAAGTGAAGAAACGACAATGTTTTGGTCCGTCCTGGACCATTATCAAACCGTCTTAAAAGAAGAGAGGGAGGTAAAGGCAAATATAAGGTAAGAGAGTGAGGTGAGGAGCAGGTTAGAGTGAGGTAAGAATAAGGTAAGAATTTATAAAACAAAAACAAAAAAGTTTAGCCAGTGTAGTAGCAATGCTGAATTCTTCTTGATTCTGTTCACTAGTGGTGGTGTACTTGATGGCTGTAGAGTGGAGACTATATATGGTCTTGTAATGTTTTCTCTTTTGATGAGCACCATATCCTATAATGGCCTGGCAAAGGCCACGAAATTAATGACTTAAGTGAGGCACTGCAAAATGAGAAAATATTGAGGGCCCCACAATAGGAACACACTTGTATTCCCGGATTTCCCAGGAACTTTCAGTCCAGGAATGTATTCTCAGTTCCATTACATGATATGACCTCAAAATTTTTTCATAGATAAATCATGTTCTTGTAATGTCATTGTGCACACTGTAGAATATTTAAACCCTGTTTAAATTCAAGAATTACCCTGTTACTGCTACAGTAACTACCACCAGCGTGTTTACAGCCTAGTCACTACCCATACCCTTCACCAGGTGACAACACCAGCAGTGTAAACAATGGATTTCACATCACTTTCATCCCAATGCACTTTGAAAGCCACAATGTAAGTTAGGACCAGTGGGAGGGTACAAAAGGGACCAAGTGGGTTGGAAGGCCAACACCACTGACCTTCCTGTGTACATGTACACGGTATTTACACAGTACACGGTATGTAAAATGTACATGGTAATTACACTTGGGTAATTATTGTGTACATTCTAATGGAGCACAAGGTGTATGGAGAAAGAAAAACGAACAGAACCTACTACATGTTGAAGGCAAAATGTCAAGATCAAACCCAAGCAGGAGAGGCTTGGCCAGAGCCACCCAGTATAAGGGATTGTACAAAATGCCTATGCAAAAAAAGACCATACTCCAAAAACAGCCATGCCAGAAAGAACATTAGAAGCACAAAAATGAAAGAGGAACAGTAGAGAGCCAGAAACCTTTTTTACTACAGAAAGTAACTCAATCACTAATTTCAACAACAACAATTTCTTTAAACATTCAGATACAGTATATACTTAGCACATGCATATATTAAAACAAGACTGGTATTCTAATTCATATCACTGACCTACCTGTTGGTTATCAAACATATATATATATATATACAGAATAGTAAAAACATGACTAACCATTGGTTGTTGAAAACATAGATTGCCGAGACACGATGCACCTACCTGTGGGTTGTCGACCATATACAGTGCTGCATGACAGATGATAATCATCACAACTGGCAAGGCTAGGATGAAATTAGGCACTTGTCGCACCTCATAATACCGCAAAAATCCCACCTGTAAGAAGAGTTCAGACTCATGAAGCAAAATAATACATATGTATTTCATAAACCTACTTACTGTATCATGTCACTGTAATTAAAATTAAAGACAGCCATCAAAACATTTAATGTAATTTGAATGTTGTGATTAAATGCAGAAGACAACCTTTAGATGTTCATGGAATATATATCGACACTTTCCTTGGATTGTTTGATGATACAGGTCTAAGATGTTTTGAAGATGAAAGTTAAGAAGTAGAGTTAATGTAATCCTATTTGTTAAAAAATACATCTCATAATAAGTATTTATATATTTCTTTCTAGTAAGATTATGCAATGTAACATGTTTATTTTCCTTAATATAGTGCTGTATAGACAGCAATTCAAGTTTGAAAGAATAGGATTTGCCATGTATGATGGATATTTTTCAAAGTCAAACACAGCACTTATTACCTAGTAATATAAGTTAACCCAAAAATAAATTAGCTCATTTTGTAATATACTGTATATACTGTACTGTACTTATATATAACATGATTAAGTGATTAACAGTTTAAACACTTACATGTTTTAATACTTAACTATAATTTAATTAACATGTATTTGTTACTTTTCTGAAAATAGATGAAACAATAGTGTGTATATTTAAAGGATATTATACTGACAGCTTTCCACTTACACAAATGCTGTTATTCCTGCACAGGAGATAGTGTGGTACAGCTAGTCTAAATTTGCCTGAAAGCTCACACATGCACTTCATGAACAAATCCACAAGGGCCGTGACGAGGATTCGAACCTGCGTCCGGGAGCATCGTCACGGCCCTTGTGGATTTGTTCATTTGATGCATCACGTTAGTGTGATCTCTGTGTGTAATGCACTTCATCCTTTACCATCATCACTACTACTCTGATTCCCACTTTCCTGGAGTAGGAGGCATCAGCCAGGAAGAAATGACTGAGTAAATGGAAACCAAAGGGCAATGATGTTAAATAAAAGACACCACGTCCATTCACCATTCCTTCCAAACTATGTATTCAACATCACATAAAATCAAAACTGTCACACTCCAGCAAGATTTGTACAGGAGCAGATAAAGATTTTAAAAGGAGCAGTTAAGATTTCTACCCTATGAAATGTACACATTGAATTACCATACATGCCTGCATATAAGTCTACATCTGAAGCCTAAAAACCTTTCTCTAAAACCAGGGATCGACTTGTTTGCCAAACATAAAATGTGAACCTTTACCACTATGTACAGTACTCAAAATAAATTAAAGTTAAACAGTCTTTCAGTATTTATCCTGTTCATGAGAATAGGCCTGCACAGTACGTTCAACTTACCTCCCAGAATTTATCCTGTACCAGAGAATATGAAAGCACACACAGTTCAACTTACCTCCCAATATTTATCTTGTACATGAGAATAAGCTAGAGGAGGAAAGTTATAGCACCATTCAGCTTCACCAAGATCAGGGGAATGCAGGAAGTTTGATCGCACAAACACCTCCAGATGAGGAGCGAGGGATGGATAACTGCCTTCTTCACCACAGTACATCTGTCATAATAGAAACAAATAGTTTATGTAGGGTATAAAAATAAAATGTTGGGATAAGAAGAGCAGTTGATAAGAAAAAGTGGATTTTGTGGATGCAAAGTGAAAGATTAAGATTGCCAAGAAAATAATGACTGAAGTGTCAGGAGAAAAAATAAAACCACATTTTTCAGAAAAAGAGAAAGAATTTTTGGAAAGAAGATAGGAAGCACAGCAAGAAGTCTGGTTGAAAAGCCAATGTAATATTAAAAGATAAACATGGGTGAATAATAAGCTAGTGAAAAATAAATTAAAGTACAGTACTACACAGTACTAGATAGTGAAACCCCACTCAGATTGAAACATCTTGATTGGTAGTTCCGATGCAGCAGAAACAAAATCTTCCAGTGATATATAAACTAATTGAGGTTCACTATATACCAAAAATTATTAATAAATTTCTAGTAAAACAGCCTTGGCACCTGATCTGGCCCATCAGTAATTTAGGAAGCAATGACCATGTCCATTTCTCACATACATTACCTCTGAGAGGCCAAGTGCACAAGCCCAGTTGCATGCTGCCTGCATTTTGGCCCCGGATCAAATTGCTCAACCACCAGCCACTCGAGGAGAAACCACATACAGTATTTATATTTTTCCACACATATCTTTTGCTGCCAAGGAAGGGGTAATACTGTAGCAACTACATTATTGTATTTTTAATGTAGCAGCTACTTGAACATACCAGGAATTCCAAGTATTGTAAGTACTGTACTACAACTAAAATGTTCACATATTTCCCAAGAATTTCACATACTACAAGTGACATCAAGCCATTTCCCACCAGCCAATTAATGAGCAGCCTTGATTTAAACCATGTCAGATAGAGAGGGATGTAAGTCTATCTGACTACATCATGTGGGCAGTCTCAACACAACTCAACCAGAAACACTACTACAGGTACCTCTAATAAGCCACATCTAGCAATTCCACCCGACAGACTTGGTTGCAACCATTACTCGTCATCTCTTCCACCACCTGCACTATACAGATTTACTTAGCGGCTTGCCTGGTTATGATGCTGTCGCACCAAGCATCAACCTCTGCAGTAAACATTCACATCAAATATACATTTAATTACCATACTGTGTTTATTGTCCAAACCTGCCAAAACATTGCAATGTTATTGAAGACAATTCACTTTAAAATGATTATAATTTAAGATGGCAGAGTACACTTCTAATGATTGCCATTGTGATGCTTAGATGGCAATGCTAAATACAGCGAAAGAAATAATGCCTGGCAATATTTTTAGAGCAACATAATAAGTGTCACCTGAAATATCTCACGTCTCCAAAAGAATACAGTTTACTCAGCGAACTTCAATCGTCAGGGAGGTGACTATTTTGAAAGTACTACTCAGATGCTAAGGTAAGCTTTTCTTTCCTGAATATTAATAACAATATCTTTTAGCACTTCTTGTGAAATTTAACTTACATTATAACACCACATTTGGAAGAGGGCAAATGGGAGGATGACCAGGAAGCAGCCAATAAACAAAGGTATGAGAGTATAGTTGAACGTCAGGACCAGTACCAAGAGGAGAGACAGCTGGCCAGAGTCTGTAGTTGCATTTCGAATCCTGAAAATAATAATCGTTTTGGTTAAACTTCTGCTTTTGAACAGATTTATCACATATTTTTGTCAGACTTTTATATAACATAAATTACGAGTTCAAATAGTATATACAGTACTATAAGATATCCACAAAAGGAAAAAGTGCAATTTTGGGGGGGGGGAATAATGTACAGTACTTAGTTAGAACTCACTTATAAAAATAATTTGAGCAGTCTTGAAGCTTTCTGTAGAGTATGAATCCAACATTAACCAAACCATTTGATCTGGCTGCAGAAGCTAGTCCAAAGAGTATGGCAGCAGCAGAGGTGCTCCTGGTCTCATTCATCAAGAGGGCAGAGAAAGTTAAGAAGGCAAACAGCCCCTCTGAGTATGGTGCAGTGAAGAAAATACTTGCTGGGTTCACACAGAACAGCAATGCTGCTCGATATGCTAGCACATCGCTCCTTAGCACTTCTTCACTCAATTTATGAAAAATCACTGCTGTCTTTATGAACAGATAAAAGTTTATGAATACTGCAGATATTAGGAGGACACTATAATAATTAAATATAAACTGCAATGGTACATTCAAAATGGCAGTGATGAAACGCACAATTAAAGGAAAAAGTGGAAAGAAAGCAAGGGTGTTTTCATGTGTGTAACCATATTGCGCAATGTGTAGAAAGTATTGGGCATCCCAACGCACCAAACCACCCAAGAGCATTTTGACTATCTGGTCTGGCCATGATACCGGTACTTCAGGATCTTCAGGAGAGATAAAAGCATCTGCTTGGTGGTCTGGTATCAGCAAATTTGATATAGCCTGTGGATAAAATTAATAGGGTAAATTAATATATGTTTATTTAGATTATACAGTACTGTATAGATAATACATTATTAAACACCCTAATAAACATTAATATGATATTGGAAAAATACAGTCAATAGGGGGTCTAAAAGACTAATATTGACATTATTGACCTGGCTGTAGGTCAATATTTAGTATTATTTTTTATATTTTAATTAGGAAAATTACCTGTTCTTTCGAGAGAAATGATTAAAAAAAACTAAATTTAAAAAAATTGTAATATAAAAAGCTTTTGAGACTACTTTCAAATACAAAACATGGTGCAAGTAGCTCAATATCAGGCAATAAATGTTCCTCGTGCATTCTAAATGATCATAAAAACAGGAAATACATAATTACTAAGGATTTGGATGGATTTTAACACTAAATATGAAATTAATTCTTCCCTGTTTCCCAACACTGTTTAGTGTTATTTCACATTTAACATGTTTTATTAGGCTAGATGTTTGGAGGAATGTTACAAGATCTAGAAACTATTACTGTATTTCAATGCATTTGGTAAAACTTTGCAATCATAGTGAATGACTTATTTTTTGAAGCAAGGATTCCTATACTGTACTTCATGCTGGATTGATGCTTGATAACCAGACCACACACTAGAAAGTGAAGGAACGATGATGTTTCGGTCCGTCCTGGACCATTCCCAAGTAACATACTTCAGCCACGTTATTGTGACTCATTGCCTGCATTTGATGCTTGATCCCTAAAGGTGGAAGTGCTTGGGACACCATTTTTTCACTTTGCCCTCATATCTCAACTCCTAGTCTGTCTTTATATCTCTTCCAAGTGAAAATTACATTACTGTACCTTTCCATGCTATTACAAAAATTCATCAATTTAAAATAGTTATATTTTGTATTGCATGCAAAATAACAATATAAGTATATGAAAAGCATGACTGAAGTAATTTCATTGTTAATATACAAAGTTACTATAGTAATGAATAGTGTTATGGTGGGGAGAACAGGTGTAGGTTTTGGGTTGCATCCTGCCGAAGGTCAGTCATTGGTTCAGGGGTATCTTAATATTCCTAACAGGATTATAGTCATGGACAATAGCAAAAGATATGAAGTGGAGTGGTTATCATGGTCAACTGATTATTACTGGATTTGATTCCCAGGCAGGTGAAATGTTTGGGCACATTCCCATACAGCTAATGATGCTTCACCTAGCAGTAACTAAGCACTTGGGAGTTAGGATATTGTTGATTTGTATCCTGGAGAATGTCAGTAATATGCTAGGGAAACCTTGATAAGCTTAACAGGCTTCCTAGAACTAGTAACTCATGAAAGTTAAATTGTTTATTCACTGGCTTAAGAACAGTAAAATATATAGGTTGACATAGATGCTAAGATGACAAATAGCTGGACCAAGCCACACGTAACTCAGAACCAGGTCACATGAGACTTGGGACCAGGCGACACGCAACTTCGGATTTAGGCCACACATGATTTGTATTTCACGGCACATGCAACTCGGGACCTGGGCACAAAATGTAGGGGTACTGGAACAAGCCTGAGGACCTAGTCGCTCACATTTCATGGTTTAAAAAAAAAATACGCACCTGTACTGCCAAGACAATGACCCTCGATGCGATGGCAAAGTTTTTTACTTTCTGTCTAAGGGTATAAGGCCTCATCTCTAGGCTCAAGTTATAAGAAGAGCAACCCTCTTCTTTTTCCTTGACGATGCGAGCAGTTTGCAGCCTTAGTGGGTCACTGTCAGCGAATAGGCACGGCTGGAGTATTATTTCTTAAATTAAACTTTATCCGAGTGCCTCTTCATTCTCACGTTACGTGCAGTTTGCATGAAGGTTTTTCTTCTTCTTGATAGTAGGTGCAGTTTGAATGAAGGGTTTGTCCTGAAGGTTTTTCTTCTTAATGTTGGTGGACAGTTGTTGTTGTTGTCATGGTGTCATGTGATCGCTTCGGTTACCGTTGCGACCATTACGTTTTCTATGGTTGGAAGAGGAGGGAATTATAAGGAAAAAGCCCCAAGTCATTACGATTATATAGCACTGGGAAGGGGTCAGGATAAGGATTAGGGATTGAAATTGAAATAAGTTTATTGAGGTAAAATACACACAAAGGGATGAGGTAGCTCAAGTTATTCTAACCCCGTTCAGTACATCCTGTTAATACATACATAGACACACATCACAAACAATAATCATATTACCAAACATTCTGAGAGATAAACATATACATTTCCTAGGATTTGGGATGGGACGGGGAGAAAGGAATGGTGTCCAGCTACTTGGACGGTCGGGGATTGAACGCCGACCTGCATGAAGTGAGACCGTTGCTCTACCGTCCAGTCCAGTTGGTTGGGCAACTAAAAAATGTAAAAAGAACTAACAACAAAATTGTAAACCAACAAAAAGTTTAAAAGGACTTTTGACGTGTTTGCTGACGATCTCTATAATTAGTTAATTAGTGCTGTAAATTACTTATCTAAATGAGTAGAGGTCCAGTTCCTGAGCCCGGATGCGGGTTTAACCTTCCTACCACCGCTCACAGTATCGGTATGTGGTAAATCAAAAAAACTAAATAAACTAGTTAGGAGAATTAATGTTCACAATTTAATTAATGTTAGAACTCTCATAGGCTTGTCAAGAAACAAAGATAAAGGTGTTTATGTACAAGACTTGACCCATATGCACGCGCTGTGAATGCTATGCAAATCAAATTATGAAACTAATACACCGTATATTATTTAATAATAATAATAATTACTATTATATGTAAGTTGTTTAGCTTTGAGACTGTATTTGTGGTCGGTCTCGAACCCATTGTTGATATTAAGCTGTGCAAGTAGCCTATCAAGACCGTAACTTACTTAGCTAACAGAATTTGGGGGTTTTCAGTCCCTGAGCTGCAATGTTAAATGGGAGTCTTGTACTGTTATTTGTCTATTTGTACTCACTGAATTTGTGCGCCCCTTGAGGGACTTAAAGTAGAGGAGGGGTAGAAATAGCCTAAGCTACTCTATCCATTTGTGATGTATTTCTTTCTTGTCTCGATAAACATACTTGAAATTGAGTCCCTGATCTCACTATATGGCTCTGTAGTTATTTCCACTACCACCAACAGGGCAGGTATGGGGGTGTATAACACAACAAAAAATACTACATGCAGTTCGAATATTTTGTTGAAATAATGATAAAATAGTAAATTCTAGCTTTTGATATTAGTAGGCTATGCGACGCCAGTGTTCAAAAGAGGCAGCAGTTGAGTTGCCCCGCAAGCGCTGAAAAATCTCGCTTAAAAAGTCCTTATCTGGGCGTGAAGATATTATCGGGCAGTAGCTTGGAGTCCCCCGGCGGACACGCACACACACACCCTCGCTAAAATCCCTTACTCTACACCCTTCGCAATTCCAGGTAAGATAGCAGTTCAATATTATATATAACGCCTCATAGATACCTCTTGAACACTCATTTGGATAGAGTTTAAAACTGCACAATATCTAATTATTTCTTGTGAATAACAAGAGTCGCAATGTCTATTACATTAGTTATTTTTATTGAAAAATAATAAGAAATGTAACTGGACACGGCTGGTAGTATATCATATATGTGTAGTAAATTAAGAAGCAAATTTTGCCCCCTCCATCTGCATGACTATGAAGTACGAAATACCTGAAATTTCCTGTACATTTCCCATTAGAAAGATATAGGATGACCTGTAGCCTTACCAGCAAAACCATTCAAGTTCAAATATGTTTATTGAGACAAGAAAGAAATACATCTCAAAGGAGTAGAGTAGCTTAGGCTATTTCTACCCCCCTTGGCAGGACCATATGTGTAAGTTGTAGATAAAGCTGCCCAGTGGGACCAAGTGCCTCTGATGTTACAATATAATGAAAGATGGAATAAATGTCCACCAAACCTTCCACAGGATCATGGCGGACGGTGCTCACAGGGCCCTCACAGAGACCTCAAATAAGATATGGCTGGAGGACATGCTCAAGTCCATGAACCTTGTGGCTATGGACGCCAAGGTGAGCTGCCTGCTTCTCGTCCATTTTCTTTTACAAGATTTTCTTTTGTATGTTAATATGGTTTCGCAATATTTTAGTTACTCGTTGTCTGCATTATACAATGTATGACAATGCATAATGAGTGGAATGCATTCTGCACTTACTCCCGCTTGCCTTTCCGTGTCAAAGACTTTTTGGCAGTCCAGACATATGCCCTCTGCCCAGCCTTTTCTGTCCTGCTTTATTTTTCTTATTGTCATAGAGCTCCAGTAGGTTTTATTGTCATAGAGCTCCAGTAGGTTTTATTGTCATAGAGCTCCAGTAGGTTTTATTGTCATAGAGCTCCAGTAGGTTTTATTGTCATAGAGCTCCAGTAGGTTTTATTGTCATAGAGCTCCAGTAGGTTTTATTGTCATAGAGCTCCAGTAGGTTTTATTGTCATAGAGCTCCAGTAGGTTTTATTGTCATAGAGCTCCAGTAGGTTTTATTGTCATAGAGCTCCAGTAGGTTTTATTGTCATAGAGCTCCAGTAGGTTTTATTGTCATAGAGCTCCAGTAGGTTTTATTGTCATAGAGCTCCAGTAGGTTTTATTGTCATAGAGCTCCAGTAGGTTTTATTGTCATAGAGCTCCAGTAGGTTTTATTGTCATAGAGCTCCAGTAGGTTTTATTGTCATAGAGCTCCAGTAGGTTTTATTGTCATAGAGCTCCAGTAGGTTTTATTGTCATAGAGCTCCAGTAGGTTTTATTGTCATAGAGCTCCAGTAGGTTTTATTGTCATAGAGCTCCAGTAGGTTTTATTGTCATAGAGCTCCAGTAGGTTTTTTTTAGACATGATTTCCCTTTTCTCAAACCATGTTGATGTTTGTTTACATACATAATTATCTGTAGATGTGTAACTAGTCATATTCTTGTTGTACTTTCAAGATGCAGGGACTGGTTCTCAGTGATACTGGTCCGTAGTTAAGTGCCTCCTATCTTCATTCTTGTATATTGCTATGTGTGTGTATTTACTATTTGTACCTGCAGGATCGAGCTTTTCTTTGACCCCGCCTTTCTAACCGTCGGTGTCTAATATACTGACTACTGATCTATTTTTCCTCTATCATAATTACTAAGATAGTTAATATGATTACACACGCACATACACACACAACAGTTTCAAGTGTAGATATGACAGAGCCCAATAGGCTCAGGCCCCTGTACACCAGATGAGAGGTGGCCCCAAAGAGCCAGAGCTCAACCCCCTCAAGCACAACTAGGTGAGTACACATCTCCAAGAGCATAAAAAAGAAAACTATGAGGAGAAAGCACCAAGCCATTACGACTATATAACACTTGGAAGGGGTCAGGATAAGGATTTGGGATAGTGTGATAGGGTAAGGAATAGTGCCCAACCCTTGGACGACCGGGGATTGAACGCCGACCTGCATGAAGCAAGACCGTCGCTCTACCGTCCAGCTCACGTGGATGGACAGGGGCATCAAGTGAAAGAAATTTTGTTTACGCTTCGACCAGGAATCTAACCCGGGCCCTTAGGACTACGACCTCCGAGCGCTGTTCCTCAGCCGCGAGGCCCGAACGTGTGTGTGTGTGTGTATTCACCTACTTTTGCTTGAGGAATTGAGCTTCGGCTCTTTGGTCCCGCCTCTCAACCGTCAATCAACAGGTATACAGATTCCTGAGCCTACTGGGCTCTATCATATCTACACTTGAAACTGTGTATGGAGTCAGCCTCCACCACATCACTGCCTAATGATGTGGTGGAATGATCCATTCCATTACAGTGAATTAATGCATTCCATACAATGAGTGTGTGTGTGTATTCACCTAGTTGTGTTTGCGGGGGTTGAGTTTTGCTCTTTCGGCCCGCCTCTCAACTGTCAATCAACTGTTTACTAACTACTTTTTCTTTCCACACCACACACACAAACACACACACCCCAGGAAGCAGCCCGTGACAGCTGACTAACTCCCAGGTACCTATTTACTGCTAGGTAACAGGGGCATTCAGGGTGAAAGAAACTTTGCCCATTTGTTTCTGCCTCGTGAGGGAATCGAACCCGCGCCACAGAATTACGAGTCCTGCGCGTTATCTACCAGGCTACCAGGCCCCTAAAGGGTAAAGGCCCCTTGTGTGTGTGTGTGTGTGTGTGTGTGTGTGTGTGTGTGTGTGTGTGTGTGTGTGTGTGTGTCAGTCACTTGCCCTTCCCTTCTCTCCCATGCCCTCCCCTCCTGTGCCCCACCTTCTAACCCTGCCTTTCCTGCGTGATCTCCACCAGCACGACCAGTTATCCATCGACTTGCTGATAATAATTAACTCGTGCATCGCCATCTTCATCGTCGTCAACATGGGCATCTTCCTCATCTTTCTTCTGCAACAGAAGGAGATGCAAGACGCAAGTGAGCGCTGATCTAACTTTACACTCTAATGCAATAATTCTCAAACTATTAACTATTTAAATGAAATAGAGTAAAACTATAATTATGATTTAATGGTGTTTCAGTTCTGTTTTTATTTCTTTCTGGCCACAGTGTTGACTAGGGGTAAAAAGCGACGGATGATGGCGAAGAAGGAGGCGGCTTACATGTACTTGAAACCCAGCAAGTTTTGCCAGACAATCTTCCCTGAGGTGAGTATGTGGGTCCTGAGGTGAGTATGTGGGTCCTGAGGTGAGTATGTGGGTCCTGAGGTGAGTATGTGGGTCCTGAGGTGAGTATGTGGGTCCTGAGGTGAGTATGTGGTTCCTGTGAGTATGTGGTTCCTGTGAGTATGTGGGTCCTGAGGTGAGTATGTGGTTCCTGTGAGTATGTGGGTCCTGAGGTGAGTATGTGGGTCCTGTGAGTATGTGGGTCCTGAGGTGAGTATGTGGGTCCTGAGGTGAGTATGTGGGTCCTGAGGTGAGTATGTGGTTCCTGAGGTGAGTATGTGGGTCCTGAGGTGAGTATGTGGTTCCTGTGAGTATGTGGGTCCTGAGGTGAGTATGTGGTTCCTGTGAGTATGTGGTTCCTGTGAGTATGTGGGTCCTGAGGTGAGTATGTGGGTCCTGTGAGTATGTGGGTCCTGAGGTGAGTATGTGGGTCCTGAGGTGAGTATGTGGGTCCTGAGGTGAGTATGTGGGTCCTGAGGTGAGTATGTGGGTCCTGAGGTGAGTATGTGGGTCCTGAGGTGAGTATGTGGTTCCTGTGAGTATGTGGGTCCTGAGGTGAGTATGTGGTTCCTGTGAGTATGTGGTTCCTGTGAGTATGTGGGTCCTGAGGTGAGTATGTGGGTCCTGTGAGTATGTGGGTCCTGAGGTGAGTATGTGGGTCCTGAGGTGAGTATGTGGGTCCTGAGGTGAGTATGTGGGTCCTGAGGTGAGTATGTGGGTCCTGAGGTGAGTATGTGGGTCCTGAGGTGAGTATGTGGGTCCTGAGGTGAGTATGTGGTTCCTGAGGTGAGTATGTGGTTCCTGTGAGTATGTGGGTCCTGAGGTGAGTATGTGGTTCCTGAGGTGAGTATGTGGTTCCTGTGAGTATGTGGGTCCTGAGGTGAGTATGTGGGTCCTGAGGTGAGTATGTGGGTCCTGAGGTGAGTATGTGGGTCCTGAGGTGAGTATGTGGGTCCTGAGGTGAGTATGCGGGTCCTGAGGTGAGTATGTGGGTCCTGAGGTGAGTATGTGGGTCCTGAGGTGAGTATGTGGGTCCTGAGGTGAGTATGTGGTTCCTGTGAGTATGTGGGTCCTGAGGTGAGTATGTGGTTCCTGAGGTGAGTATGTGGTTCCTGTGAGTATGTGGGTCCTGAGGTGAGTATGTCGGTCCTGAGGTGAGTATGTGTTTCCTGAGGTGAGTATGTGGTTCCTGAGGTGAGTATGTGGGTTCCTGTGTATAGTTCAGAGGGGGCTAACTCTGCCTGTACTCATCAGTACTGGCATATTCGCTCACTGTTCATTCCTTGTGTTCGCTCAGTGTTCAGTTCGTGTTCGCTCACTGTGTTCAGTCCGTGTTCGTTCCCTGTGTTCGCTCAATGTGTTCGCTCCCTGTATTCACTTCCTGCGTTCGCTCCATGTGTTCACTCTCTGTGTTCGCTTCCTGTGTTTATTCCCTGTGTTCGCTCCCTGTGTTCACTCTGTGTTCGCTGTGTGTAACATGTCCATAATGAGGCAGGAACTGGTGGGAATATTTTCTGATATAAACCTCAATTTAATGAACACAAACTTATCTCAACATAAATAATGAAGTTAATTGTGATACATAAAATAAGTGGATGTTTTATTAGCTTATCACTGTGTGGCTACCTCCGTGCCACTGTCCTAGCCACTATCTTGCGTCATTGTCCCGTGCCCGTGTCACTAACCATCTATATATCATTTCATTCCTCCCTGGCTCCCCCTATCCTCCCTTACCCACCGCCTATCCTTCACTCACGGCCTCTCCCTTGCCAGCCGCTCTACGCCACACCGCCAGACAGCCACTACTCCAAGATCTCCAGCGACTATGCCTTCTACGAGAACGCCGACTTCCTGGAACAGCAGCAACAGGCTACGCCTCACAGCATGGCTCCCGTCTCCTCCAGACTGACACCCGGTAAGTAGCGCCTTCCCCGTCTCCTCCAGGCTGGCACCAGGTAAGTATTTACATGAATTTACTGATTTTTAAGTAGCAACTACCTCATTCTCTCCTACAGGCTGACATCCTGAAAGGCGAATTGTACTTTTAGTGCCCTAATATCCACCAGACAAGGGTCAAGCAAATACAAGTCTCTGATCCACATATACATATATTCATTAACTGTACAAACCCAAGGAGGGTGCGAGAGAGAGTTCAGTCTCGTGTTCTTCTTGATGGTACTTGCTGTTGTTGGTTAGGGGCGACGACGATCCTGGGATCGGATACGCCCCGGCGTACCCGTGAAGGGTGAATCGCAAAGCCAGGAAAGGCGAAATGCCAAGCCAAAACGCGAAACGAGTGACGCCAAGCACTAGAAACTAATATGCCACACGGCAAAGCTACGCACAAAGGGAGAGGCAGAAGCACATAATAGAACAGGGCAAACAAACAGCCAGAAGGGCACACAGCATGTCATAGAGCAAATACACAGGAAATCAGAGCACATACTTGCCCGGGAACTTGGCCCGCGGGAATCTTACATTGAACGTCTCCCAGAGCACCCATTGCCAAGGGTCTCGTCCATCCACCGGGGACGCCATAACATCAGGAACCGGGACAACAAACACCTGCAAACTGGGGACCCAGATGGTAGTACTCATGAGGCGAGAAGTCGCCACTCGCCCCCACAGGAAGGGAACTTGCCCCCCACGAAAGCACTTCGGTCCGTCAGACAGCAGTAACTCGGCAATCTTCGACCAGTGACCCGGTGGCATCACAGACGCCGGCAACACGTCCCCCAGGGCCCCAACGCGCACCCGCACCACAGGGGTACCCGCGGCCCCGGGCACACCACCAGACGACAGCAGGGAACCCGGACGGCGCGCATCCTTCCGTAACGTCACCACCAGGCCACGCCCAGCACCAGAGTCCACACCATCCCTGGCAGCGGAAGCCACCCCCCCCCCACTGTGGAGAGTCCCCCGGCGGAGAAAGAACTGAAGGCACGTCCGAGACACAGGCACCAGCACCGGCAGGCACATGGACCTCCGCCACCACGAACCGCGGAGACATCGACGCATCCGTATCCACACTGTCAACATTCGAAGCCCCACAGTCACTGAAGTCACCAGCGTCGGCCCAGGAAGAAGACGAACGCCGGGAACGTTTGGGCACCGGCCGGATATCGTCCGAGCCGGTAAGTGACCCAGAAACACGGGTACCACGAGCCGAAGGAACCGACGCCAGGACGGCAGCAGCCTCTACCACAGGGGGAACCGGGCCACACACAGCAGGAGGCTCCGCAGCCACCCCAGCACCAAGCACATCCGGGACCTGAGGCACGGACACAGGGCCAGGCGCAGCATCAGAAGACGAGGGAGAAGACAGCGACGTCACACAGGGGGCTCCAGGGAGGCCCACGGAAGCAGCTGGAACAGCGACAGGATCAGGCAGACCAACGGACGGTACCTCAAGAACCGGAGGAGGGACGGCAACAACCGGAGGAACGGCAGGCGCCGCCGGGGAAGCTGCAGCAGCAGACGGGACGCGCACCACCTCATCAACATCACCAGAGACAGCCTCCAGAGGGAGCGGCGGGAAATCCTCGTCGCGGAACAAGTTGACAGGAGCAGCAGGGGCCTCAGAGTACCCGGCGGCCTGATGCCCCAACAGGCCACACCGGAAACAGGTACGAGGCTGCCGGGCATAATATACCCAGACGTAGTACCCCATAAGCCGGACAGAAGGTATATCCGACCGCAGGCGCATCCCCAACGTGCGAATGTTTGTACGCCTCCCAGCATACCGCCCCGAGGAGAGCGTGTTCACCCGCACGCTGACAAGAGTACCAAACCCCCCGAAGTAACGCCGGAGGAGGTCATCAGGGAACTCCAGGGGCGCACCATGGATACTGACATAAGTCAGGGCACCACTGCGGTCCGAAATCGCCACAGAGCCGGCATCGTCTGGCAACGGCAACGTACGCCCCCCGTACCGATGGATGAAGTCCCGGTACTCGTCCTCCCCCACGAACTTAATAACAACCCGATGGGCCGTAACTAGCTCTACACCGTAAACAGCTTCCACTGGGACACGAAGCATGTCACACATCACCATCTCGATGGTCGGATAATCAGCCTTACAAGTGAACTCCAGGCCCACGGAGTTCACACGCTGAACAGGAGGAAGATGGCCCCCCCATGTCAGCACTGCCACGTCAACGCAGCCAGGCAGGCAACAAAACTGGTAGGGCAGGGACGCCCACACCACCTGGCGACCAAAACAGCAAACAACTCCAACAGCCACGGAGGGTCGGGAAACGTCCTCACTCCATGGCTGCTAGCAGTCGACCGAAGGGTCTTGTGTTTATCTCCATGTCGTCTTCTCGCTGGTCGGTTGCGACTTCTTTGCGCCTTTGCCATTTTCTCTGATCTCCGCCGTGTTGAAGGGGGAACTTAGTCATTACAGTAGACTTCAGTACCCCTCCTACATACTCTTTCTGTGGCTTATTAATTTCTTATAATTTAAATCATTTATTATTAGCTATTTTTTTCTCAAAATTATTGATATTTTAGTTATATGTTTGACTTTATTTACGTATTGCCAGGCAAATCGTTGGGTGCTTCAGACTCGTCCAACTTGTGGCTGAGGGTCCGCAGCACGCTCACTGGGAACTACTCCGACTACCGCGACACCGCCAGCAGCCAGCCTAACAGCAGCAGAGCTACCAGTGACAGCAAACACCTTGACGACAACAGGAGCAGCGGCAGACAACCTCCCAGCAGGAGTGACAGCAATCCGGCTGTCAGCAGCAACCGTTGTGACTGTGATAATTACATCAATAGTAGTAGTAGTAGCCCCAACAACCGCAGCACTGACAACCACAGCAGTGACAACCGCAGTAGTGACAACCGCGGCAGTGACAACCGCAGCAGTGACAACCGCAGCTGTGAAAACCGCAGCGGTGAACACCGCAGCAGTGACAACCGCAGCAGTGACAACCGCAGCTGTGAAAACCGCAGCGGTGAACACCGCAGCAGTGACAACCGCAGCAGTGACAACCGCAGCAGTGACAACCACAGCAGTGACAACCACAGCAGTGAACACCGCAGCAGTGACAATGACTACGTCAATGCCTGAGTTTTTTTTACCTGCATATATCGTCTTCTCTCTCGCTTTCCCAATTTATCATCCACTTACATTCCTCGGAAAAGCAACGGGTTTGCTTCTAGCATTCCGGAGTTCGATCCCCCGAGATGTGTGTGTATAGATAAATAGGCCGATGGATAAGTAGACAGATGAACAGGTGGGAAGACATGACGGTAAGTTAATAATCACAGATATACCTACATGTAGTATAATGAAATATTCTTAGTCATAGCTTGATATACCTTCATGTAGGTGCCTCAGGGTAAGGCAAATACCCGGAGCTAAATTAAGTCCCAATTTTATTATATTATTTCAACATACAGAGGGAAAATGAACAGTAAATTAGATTCTTAGAGCATTGAGGATATAATGGTTCAACCCGATTAAACTTATACTAAACTTAATGTTGAAACTGTTTACTGACTGTTTCTCTGGCCAGTTAATTCTCTCACCAGTTGTTCAACTCGCTATCAATATTCCTCTCCAGAGATGCATAACCTTCAAAAGGTTATGAAACATCTGTTGAACACAACACGTTATCACATTCACAGATTCCAGAAGTGCAATTGAAACTCTTGCTACAAGAACACTTGCGTGTCAACATCCATCTGACCGGAAATGTTGCAGCACTGAAGGAAACATTTACAGGTGAAGGTCATTGAATAGGCTTATAGGTTTCAAAAGAAGCTACGAAACGTCAGCATTGAGGAGAAATGGTATTTCGATCTCACTACCGGCTGGTTGATACCTGGTTGATACCTGTTTTTTTTCAGGGATATTCCTGCACGGGCCCTAAGCCTCTGGCTGGCCCACTGGGCGGGCCCTAAGCCTCTGGCTGACCCACTGGGCGGGCCCTAAGCCTCTGGATGGCCCACTGGGCGGGCCCTAAGCCTCTGGATGGCCCACTGGGCGGGCCCTAAGCCTCTGGCTGGCCCACTGGGCGGGCCCTAAGCCTCTGGATGGCCCACTGGGCGGGCCCTAAGCCTCTGGATGGCCCACTGGGCGGGCCCTAAGCCTCTGGCTGGCCCACTAAGTGTTGCTTGTTTCTGTTTTACTTGGGCGGAGTATGAGTATTTATGACTCGTATGGTCGCTTCAGTAAGATTTTGCCATATGTGTTTAACAACTTCTTCTGCTCTGTTAAATCTAAGTTGAAATCTTAATGGGTTTGTAACTGTGCACTGTGTTAGATAATGTTCCAGTGGTCTGTTGTGGCTGTAACTGTGCACTGTGTTAGATAATGTTCCAGTGGTCTGTTGTGGCTGTAACTGTGCACTGTGTTAGATAATGTTCCAGTGGTCTGTCGGGCATTTCTCCACAGTGCTGACACTTGATACCTGGTTGATACTTGGTTGATGGGGTTCTGGGAGTTCTTCTACTCCCCAAGCCAGGCCCGAGGCCAGGCTTGACTTGTGAGAGTTTGGTCCACCAGGCTGTTGCTTGGAGCGGCCCGCAGGCCCACATATCCACTCTGGCCATCACCACCAGCTGCTGTCCCCTCGGGCCCTCAGCAGGAGTTCTGGGTGAAGCTGTAGTAGATGTTGGTGGCAATAGAGTGGTCGTTGGAGGCGTCCTTGGTCACCAGGTACATGTAGTTGGGGCCTTGTAACGGTATTGTAAACGGCGCCTGCTCACCCCAACAGAAAAAGAACAGTTAGAAGTTTTGACGTGTACCTGAACATTGGTGAGTTGAGAATGGATAATAATAATTTTTGACAAGTATATTATTTCATACATATACAGTATGTAATTGGAGAGGGAGGTATGTCATTACAAGAAGGACAGGTGTTGCCTCGTTAAAAGATGTGAGAAACATACACACACTAGGAACAACCTACAGGATCCACGAAGGTCGGAGTGTGGACGCAGGTCACAGAGGAAGGAGGGCCGCCTCCACTCACAGGATAGGGCCACTCCAAGGTGTCCCCACAGATGGGCACAAACTTACTATCCCTCAGGTCCTGGTAGGTCGTCTGAAGGTACGGGAAAGATGGGGGTTAATGGTGACTGTGGGGGTGGTGATGGTGGTAATGGTGGTGGTAGTGGTGATAGTAGTGGTGGTGGTGGTTGTAGTGGTAGTGAAGACTGGTACATGTGATCAAAGTACATAATTACTACCGAACATAATTATCTCTAATCAGTATATATATGAGTATCTATATTAATTATAATCACTATAATCATTGTGTAAAATAATTATCTATAATTATTATTTGTAGTATATAATGACGATAATAATTTGAAAGAATATAATGACTACCCCAACAAATTATCTACAGTGAATGCATATGTAGATTATATTGACATGTAACATGTATATATAATGAGCATCAGTTATTATACTCTATTATCTGAATATATCAGAAAATATCTATAGATATAAAACATTATCAATACTTATATATAATCACTTGTTATAAGAATTACTTTTAACAAGTATTTTAAACCTAATAAAAAATGATTAAAAATTATTATTTATAATATGAATAAAAATGAATGATAATCCAGGCCTTTTTCTATATTTGCCACTCCGTTAAAAATGCAACCGTTCTCCAAACCAGCAACGCACGAGCCCATTCAACCCACTTAACCTATCAACGTCGACGCAAAGCAAACGATAATATCACGAAGCTAGAACACGTGACTAATGCGTCGCATTTTTAACGAATTGTTCGCAGCCATAGAAAATGGGATATGTAAACAGGGATCTCACCGAGCACTTGTTGAGTTCCCTTCTGACACAGATGGCGTAGTTCTGGCCTGATAGGTAGATCCCTCCGTAGTTCCAGCCCTTAATGGTCCCGGCGGGGACGGTGAAGTATTGGCCGCACCCAGAGGGAGCTGTACAGGGGAGCGAGTCGTTATCATAGCAACGGGTAATATGAAGCAGGGTGGTGGTGCTAGGAGACACAGTATGAAGCAGGGTGGTGGTGCTAGGAGACACAATATGAAGCAGGGTGGTGGTGCTAGGAGACACAGCATGAACCAGGATGGTAGTGCTAGGAGACACAGCATGAACCAGGATGGTAGTGCTAGGAGACACAGCATGAACCAGGATGGTAGTGCTAGGAGACACAGCATGAACCAGGATGGTAGTGCTAGGAGACACAACATGAACCAGGATGGTAGTGCTAGGAGACACAGCATGAACCAGGATGGTAGTGCTAGGAGACACAGCATGAACCAGGATGGTAGTGCTAGGAGACACAGCATGAACCAGGATGGTAGTGCTAGGAGACACAGCATGAACCAGGATGGTAGTGCTAGGAGACACAGCATGAACCAGGATGGTAGTGCTAGGAGACACAGCATGAACCAGGATGGTAGTGCTAGGAGACACAGCATGAACCAGGATGGTAGTGCTAGGAGACACAGCATGAACCAGGATGGTAGTGCTAGGAGACACAGCATGAACCAGGATGGTAGTGCTAGGAGACACAGCATGAACCAGGATGGTAGTGCTAGGAGACACAGCATGAACCAGGATGGTAGTGCTAGGAGACACAACATGAACCAGGATGGTAGTGCTAGGAGACACAGCATGAACCCGGATGGTAGTGCTAGGAGACACAGCATGAACCAGGATGGTAGTGCTAGGAGACACAACATGAACCAGGATGGTAGTGCTAGGAGACACAGCATGAACCAGGATGGTAGTGCTAGGAGACACAACATGAACCAGGATGGTAGTGCTAGGAGACACAGCATGAACCCGGATGGTAGTGCTAGGAGACACAGCATGAACCAGGATGGTAGTGCTAGGAGACACAGCATGAACCAGGATGGTAGTGCTAGGAGACACAGCATGAACCAGGATGGTAGTGCTAGGAGACACAGCATGAAGCAGGATGGTAGTGCTAGGAGACACAGCATGAACCAGGATGGTAGTGCTAGGAGACACAGCATGAAGCAGAGTTCTGGAGGTTCCTACCTAAGGAGATCTGGTCGCAGCAAAGCTGACAAAGCCTGACCTTCCACTTGCGAGGGTAGGAGGCGGTGCCCGTGTTGAAGGTCAGAGTGAGGGAGGTGCTCACACTCGAATCCACATCCAGGTAAACTGTAAACAAACACACAGGGTAAACTCAGGTAAGGAGAGTATTGCATGTAAACACACACACACACTCCCTCACAATTTAAGGGAGGGGAAGGGAGTAATCTATTGGTGTACTCTCACTCTTACCTTCAGAAATGGGTTAAAGGGTTAAACTGTAGGTATATATATTTCCTGTTTACTCTGTCTAAGGGGAAGGCTAATGGTTGGGTAAACCCCATTTGCTGTTATCTCGAATGAGGGGGCGTGAGCAGAGTGATTCACTCGTACAAAGGGAGATGGCAAACAAGGTCCTTCCCTCTCCTCATCTGTGGATACCACACCTGGGATACCACACCTGGGATACCACACCTGGGATACCACACCTGGGATACCACACCTGGGATACCACACCTGGGATACCACACCTGGGATACCACACCTGAGGTAGACTGAGCTCACTCCTTTGTCGAGACAAACGATCGCCCATTTGAGGAGCTCACCTGGGCTCCTCATCTAGGTGAATGGTACAGTACCTTACGGTAGGAGATAATTTATATGAAATACCTTTATATAAACACAAGCATCCAACAGAAAATGGATGCTCAATCCTCTCAAAAGATAAGATAAGATGAAGAAAATGAGGCTGAGGGAGCAGGCACTTACAGTGGGTGTCGGTGGTGGTGCCACACACTTTCTCCCACTTAATGTCCTGGGAGAAGGTGAGCCCGTCGTCGATACAGTTACCCTGGGTGGTGGGAGGAGCCAGATCCACCTCCACTACGTCCATCCTGTGGAGAGAGGCCAGTGATCCTTGTTATACTCCTATCAATTCCCTAAATACTTTACATGTCTCGAATATGTCTCCTTTATTTTTGTGTAAATTGTTAGAGGGATTTCCTTAGTTCCTCTTCCATTGTTGTTCTAGGATCTGTTTCATTGCGTGATTCTGCATTTTTTTTCGTGTCCTTGTGAGACTAGCACTGCATGCTCTGGGAGTTGTCTCGCGTAGGTGGTATACAGTATTCTGAATGCGGATTTATAAGGTTTCCAAAGACTATCCTGAGGTTCGGTAGTTTCACGTATGAAACTAACGTTATCCAATTTATGTGGCTCCAAAGATTAGACTTACTGTTATACATTCTACAGACGTGACTCACCTGACCCGGTCCACCCACCAGACCTGACTCACCTGACCTGGTCCACCAGACGTGAATCACCTGACCTGGTCCACCACCAGACGTGACTCACCTGACCTGGTCCACCAGACGTGACTCACCTGACCTGGTCCACCACCAGACGTGACTCACCTGACCTGGTCCACCCACCAGACGTGACTCACCTGACCTGGTCCACCCCAGACGTGACTCACCTGACCTGGTCCTCCACCAGACGTGACTCACCTGACCTGGTCCTCCACCAGACCTGACTCACCTGACCTGGTCCACCACCAGACCTGACTCACATGACCTCGTCCACCCCAGACCTGACTCACTTGACCTGGTCCACCACCAGACGTGACTCACCTGACCTGGCAGACATTAGCAGCGAAGGTGATGGTGTGAGTACAGGTGGCAGCGTCGTTGAAGGTGGACGGGTAGCCAGGACTCTCCACGTAGGTGCAGTTGTTGGAGGTGCTGGAGGAACACCCAAGTGTGGCTGAGGGAGAGACGTGAGAGGTGAGGGAGAGACGTGAGAGAGAGACGTGAGAGGTGAGGGAGTGAGGGAGAGGTGAGGGAGACGATTAACACTACAATCCATGCCAATATTATGCTTTATGCCAATACCTGTTGCCTTATCACCGTCTTTAACAATATATTCAATACGAAAGGTACCACCAAACCTCAGTCTGGTTACGAACTTTTTTTATGTATTTATGTATTTTTTATGTATTTATGTGTAATAGTTGTAAGTTTTATACGGGTTATTTCTACATGTTAATTGGTTCACTCACTTCTAGGGAAGCAAGTGTACTTCTTCTGAACATGTCTCCACCAGACCAATACTCGCTGACCCAGCAGACCAATACTCGCTGACCCAGCAGACCAATACTCACTGAGGCAGCAGACCAATACTCACTGACCCAGCAGACCAATACTCACTGAGGCAGCAGACCAATACTCACTGACCTAGCAGACCAATACTCACTGACCCACCAGACCAATACTCACTGACCCACCAGACCAATACTCACTGGCCCAGCAGACCAATACTCACTGAGGCAGCAGACCAATACTCGCTGACCCAGCAGACCAATACTCGCTGACCCACCAGACCAATACTCGCTGACCCAGCAGACCAATACTCGCTGACCCAGCAGACCAATACTCACTGACCCAGCAGACCAATACTCACTGAGGCAGCAGACCAATACTCACTGACCCAGCAGACCAATACTCACTGACCCAGCAGACCAATACTCACTGACCCAGCAGACCAATACTCACTGAGGCAGGAGACCAATACTCACTGACCCACCAGACCAATACTCGCTGACCCAGCAGACCAATACTCACTGACCCAGCAGACCAATACTCACTGGCCCAGCAGACCAATACTCACTGAGGCAGCAGACCAATACTCACTGATGCAGCAGGAGCCGTACCCCTCAGCACAGTGGCCAGAGCCGTGCCCGCCGCCCCGACGACACTCAGGGTATGAATAACAGATACCCACGTCGCTGCCCAGGCTCTTGCACTCACTGTTCTTGAACCTCACCACCGTGAACAACGACACTGTTCAAGAGAACAGTGTTAAGAGAACAGAGTTATGGGGACAGTATAATAATAATAATAATAATAAGAAGAAGAATAAGAATAATAATAATAATAATAATAATAATAATAATAATAATAATAAATTATAACAGTGTTAATTCAAGACAAAGCACCGTTGTCAACACTGGGAGCAGCGCTGACAACGGTAAATAATTTGTTTAATAATAATAAATTTCGGTGAATTTCGTATATAAACAAAGTTAGACAATCGAAGGTTTCTGAGAGAGACAGAGAGAGAGAGAGACAGAGAGAGAGAGAGACAGAGAGAGAGAGAGAGAGAGAGAGAGAGAGAGAGAGAGAGAGAGAGAGAGAGAGACAGAGAGAGAGAGAGACAGAGAGAGAGAGAGAGAGAGAGAGAGAGAGAGAGAGAGAGAGAGAGAGAGAGAGAGAGAGAGAGAGAGAGAGAGAGAGAGAGAGAGAGAGAGAGGGGGGGGAGAGAGAGAGAGAGAGAGAGAGAGAGAGAGAGAGAGAGAGAGAGAGAGAGAGAGAGAGAGAGAGAGAGAGAGAGAGAGAGAGAGAGAGAGAGGGGGGGAGAGAGAGAGAGAGAGAGAGAGAGAGAGAGAGAGAGAGAGAGAGAGAGAGAGAGAGAGAGAGAGAGAGAGAGAGAGAGAGAGAGAGAGAGAGAGAGAGAGACAGACAGACAGAGACAGAGAGAATGGGTTGCAACTTACGGAAGCGGTCTGCTCTGGTATTCTCAGAGTACTGAAGACTGTAAGACAATGGTGGACGCCACACCACCATCACTGTCAGTAGCACCTGAATACTCCACATCCTTACGTTATCCCTAACTAGGGGAAATGAACAATATCGTCCTCGTCACGTCAGGAATACGGAGCACCAAGTTACACACCGGAGCACCAGGCTACAGAACACAGCCACACACCTCCCGCGCAGGTCCCATACGCTAGGAACCGCGATGAAGTAATGGCGGTGTGGAAGAGGCTAACTCAACCCACCTCACCTCAACCCCAGATCATATGCTCACCCCCCTCCCTCCCGGCCACCGCTCCTGTGCCAGGTAAGTCCACTACGGGCTCACCATAGCCCGTGCTACTTGCCCCGCTCCTGTGCCAGGTAAGTCCACTACGGGTTCACCATAGCCTGTGCTACTTGCCCCGCTCCTGTGCCAGGTAAGTCCACTACGGGTTCACCATAGCCCGTGCTACTTGTCCCGCTCCTGTGTCAGGTAAGATACGGGCTCACCATAGCCCGTGCTACTTGTCCCGCTCCTGTGTCAGGTAAGATACGGGCTCACCATAGCCCGTGCTACTTGTCCCGCTCCTGTGTCAGGTAAGATACGGGCTCACCATAGCCCGTGCTACTTGAAACTTAGTCCCCAGTAGTTCAATCTATAACAACAACAACCCTCCCGGCCTTAGCTTAACCCCCATGCTAAACTCCCACAGACACAGCTCATCTCCCACTACCTCTATAGCCTATTTCTCTCAATTTCACTGTTAAACTCTCCCAGTCAGTGTTAGGTCACCTGTTTAAGATTGATTTTTGATTAAAGAAAATCATAACTTCATTGCGATAACAAATTTTTAGCTAAATCTATAATATAACTATTGTAGTGATATTACATATTTTGATTTAGTATCTTTATTTACCTTTAGGAAGACATGATCCATTTAGATTAGTTTATCATTTCTTGTTTTCTTTTATTTTTGGAAGACTTGTTTTTTTCCACCTTTTCATCTATTCTGAACTATTATCACGAGTGTTCGTACCACTCGTTATGTCGTGTAGTTACCGTCTTTATAGCCAACGTTTCAAATGCAACCTATTACGAACACTAACGACTCCACACATGTTTCCTAGGCATCAGACTCGATAGGTTAGGAGGGTTGCTTGGGTTCGTATGTTTCTGGCTAGGCTACAAGATTTAAGTTTCAACGGCGTGGCAAGTAAGAGAACGAACTGTTTGGAATTATATAGTTTCCATCTGATTTCCAGCAAGAACAAAGGCTACATGACATGGGATATACAATTCGTAAATGTGTTCGAGTTGCCGGAGACCCAGCGGATCTACCCGGCCTGTTAGCGCCAGCAATTGGCAATTTGTTGCGATTATCGATTGATTGATTAATTGACGAAGATTAAGCCACCCAAGAGGTGGCACGGGCATGAATAGCCCGTAAGTTTTTTTTTGATCACTGGATGACGAGTTGCCAATTTAGCGGTTTCATCGGCTTTCTCATTTAATGGGATTTCATCATGGGATGAGATCCAGTTTAAAGTTATGTTGAGTCCTTAGCTACTTCTAGATACAAAATTGTGGTAATTATTTCCACGTTCTTTCCAGTGTTTTTGTCCTAGTATTTGAAGTGCAGTTTTTGAGTCTGTGTGAATGATTGCATTTTGAGTGTTTTGTGCAATCACATAAGGGAATGCCTGTTGTATGGCAAACAGCTCAGTTTGGGTTGATGATACTAGTCCTCCCAGTCTCCAATATGCCTGTACGCTGACCGTGCAAAGAGCAGCGCCAGTACTCTCATATTCTGTGTCCACCGATCCGTCTGTGAAGATGTGGGTGGCTCCTGCTACTGCAATGTTGCTCATTTGTTTTTCTACGATGCGCCTTAGGATTGTTGGATCATAGGCAGCCTTTTTTATCGGATTTTCTATTATTATTTTGAATGTAGGCTCCTCCCACAGTGAGGAACAAGTGTAGTTTAGGTGTGGTTGATCTCCGCTATCAAGAATCATGCTTTTTAATTATAATTTCTTTAGGACTTCTCCCGCTCTGGCAGCCCAAACGTTTCCGTTGTTTTGGCCAAGTCCAACCATCAAGGCCTGTGATTAACTTGTCAGGAGGGTGGATAAGGCGTGAGGAGCGCCATATGGCTGAGGTGGGAACTCTGTAAGCTGGGGGGGGTGTTATGTGCACTCACCTAGTTGTGCTTGCGGGGGTTGAGCTCTGGCTCTTTGGTCCCGCCTCTCAACTGTCAATCAACTGTCCTTGGCGTGTGTGTGTGTGATGGATGGGTGGCTGGATGACTGCGTGTGACTGGATGACTGCGTGTGACTGGATGACTGCGTGGGTGACTAGGATGGATGATATGATGAATGGGTGTGTGACTGGATTACTAGAAGGGTGATGACTGAGTGTATGAATGGATGGGTGACTGGGTGAATGTGTGGCTTGGGGGGGGGGGATGGCCGCGAGGAGAACAGGGAGTATATAACGGTGGTCCTTGCGGGAAGGTGGCCTCTATGTCGGGGACCAGCCAGTACGCCTGCGCGTCTGCTCCCGTAATTACCTCAGAGTAGTTAAAAGTTACGCTCGTGGTGTCCCGTCTTCCCAGCACTCTGTCATATAACGCTTTGAAACTACTAACGGTTTTGGCCCCCACCACCTTCTCACTTAAAGTGTTCCAACCGTCTACTTTAAACTTATTTGAATTTGAATTTGAAACCGTCTACTGCTGTGCAAAAATGAATTTTCTAATATTTTTTGGCACCTTTATTTCCTTAACGTGAATCTATGATCCCTTGAACAAATCCACAAGGGTCGTGACGAGGGTTCGAACTTATGTCTGAGACGATCCCAGACGCTGCCTTAATCGATCTGACATTTTCCCAGTCTTAATAGTCTGGGATGCTCTCGGACGCAGGTTCGAAGCCTCGTCACGGCCCTTGTGGATTTGTTCATTTGATGCATCACGCTGTTGTCATTTCCTTGTGCTATGACCTCTTATTCTTGAAGTTACAGGTTTACAAAAACTACTCCTGGTCTTTTTTGCCAATATTTGATGCTATTTTGTATATAGTGATCATGTCGCCTCTTTTTCTTATATGTTCAAGCCCCGGTATGCTTAATGTCACCAGCCTTTCTTCGTAGCTCATGTTCTTAAGTTCCAGGAGGCATTTCAAATCAAAATCAAATATTTATTCATGTAAAGTACATACATACAAGGTGAGATACAAAACGTTGATGGATTTATAGATAGAACTAGTACATACAATGCCTAAAGCCACTATTACGCAAAGCGTTTTCGGGCAGTTTATTTAATAAATTAATAAATAAATTTAATAGCATATTTCTGTATTCTTTGTATTCAGACCATCACTCCACTGTAGCCTACTCCAATTTTCGTCTCACAAATTGCGAGAAGAGTTTCTTAAATATTTCTCCGTTCATATCTCCGTGGTGTAGTGGTAAGACACTCGCCTGGCGTTCCGCGAGCGCTATGTCATGGGTTCGTATCCTGGCCGGGGAGGATTTACTGGGCGCAATTCCTTAACTGTAGCCTCTGTTTAACGCAACAGTAAAATGTGTACTTGGATGAAAAAACGATTCTTCGCGGCAGGGGATCGTATTCCAGGGACCATAGGATTAAGGACTTGCCCGAAACGCTACGCGTACTAGTGGCTGTACAAGAATGTAACAACTCTTGTATATATCTCAAAAAAATATATATATATATATTTAAACGCGGCTCTGAAAAATGTCTCAGAGGTTTACCAGTATCTTTTCACATAATTCGTGTTCCCAAGTTTCGTTTAAAAGTCGATATTGAGGCTGGTTCGTTAGAAAATAATGATAATAATATTCATTTATTTATTTATTTATTTATTTATTTATTTATTTATTTATATACAAGAAGGTACATTGGGTTTGTGGTGTATACATAGCATAGTATTTACAATCTTGTAAAGCCACTAGTACGCGCAGCGTTTCGGGCAGTAATACTAATATAATACTAATATTATTATTATTATTATAATGAGGGATTTTATTACTACAATAATAATGATTAATAATAATTCTAATGAGTATCCTGGTAGTACAGTTGGGTTCGTTCTCGACGCACAATCTAGAATTTTGGGTTCGAATCCCGGACGGGACAGAAATGGTTGGGCACATTTCCTTTCACCTATTGCGTCTGTTCACTTAGCAGTGCGTGGGTACTGAGGAATTAGTCAGCTTGTCGTAGGGTTGCATCCTGGGCGGGGTCAGTAATTCCACCTAGTACTCTCACTTTCTGTCCTACGATACAATGAATTATTATTAGTTTTTTAGGTGTATACAAATTACTATTGTTTACGCTTTTATTAATATATCCATAAAAGAAAACGTAAATGGATATGAGTTAAAGAAAACCAATTTTATCGGATTTTAGATGACTAACCAATGTAAGCTATATATTACTTGATTTTTTTTTAACTATATTTTTTACCCGAGGGCAACCATCTCTGTAGTGTTCTCGACGAGAACAGGAAGCCGACGGCTTGTCAAAAGTCTCCCATTTGTTTTAAGGATTTTATCGAGCTGGATCTTAAATTGCTGCAATGTTGCAATTTAACGGCTTCAGCGGGTAGGTTGTTCCATGGGCCTAAAGGTATCTTCTGTTTTTTGTCTTGCATTGTGGCTTTCTGCCCTCTGAATCACTGACACTCAAAGGTCAGAAAGCACTATTATAAATAGTTACAATATGTTTACAACCAAGAACTGTATGCACAGACAGCAGAAAACTTCCCCTGGACTAAATCTGGACTGGACTTCCCCTGGATTGCGTAATAGTGGCTTTAGGCATTGTATGTACTAGCTCTATCTATATATCAATCCATTAATGTAACATCACTTGTATGTATATACCTTACCTGAATAAACATCTAAATAGTGTGACATTGTGGTTACCAGGATTAAGCTGAGATAATGTACATGGATACTTAATGGTAGATGGTTGCAGGAAACAGAACTCGCCACAGTGAAACCTCCAGTTGTAAGCTATGTGGACAAGAGCTGAGACACTCCCCAGCACTATATACACGCGAGTGAACTGCTTTCACTGTCTGCTGACCAAATGACATGTGGTAATTATCAGCAGAGAGCGCTTTTGTTTTGCAGGGATATTCCTGCGCGGGCCCTAAGCCTCTGGCT